TAGAACAGGTAACGACCCCATCATCATGCACAAGAGAAGAGACAATGTCCGCAAAGAATTAAGTGCAGGTCACACAGTCACCTGAATCTTTCAGCGTGAAAACTACGGAGTGCAATGACATGCTTTCCCAGTGAAACACGCGAATACTCACGCCAGACAGGGAGTAGTAAAATACCGACATTATATTATTACATGTACTTCCTGGCTACTGCTTGAAAAGTACTGGTTGATCCTATCGACCATATGGCATATCCAGCGCAGGAAGGGGGTGAGACAGGCTAGGCCAGGATGAGGCCCACAGACGTGTGCACAGGTTGTCCACGCAACCAGTACTGCAGTAGTTTCTTCTTTTACTTCGGCCAGTATGACTTCTACAGTATTCACTTCGTCTTGGGCCCAGCTGGGGGTCAGGCATGGGGAGGTTGCCATGCTGGAGTGTGATAAGACCAGCAATACCCACATACGATGTAGCCTGGCCTATACATACACAGGGAACTTTGTTTCTGAAACGTGGAAATGCTGAACAAGCTCGACGGCTAACGTAAGAGGCTAGCATGCCTGCCAACAAATCCCACTGCATGCCATTAGTAGTATGTTTCTTTCGAAAGACACTAAAGCATGACCAAGTGGGCTGCCGATGTCAACTTCTCCTGAGTGCTGTGAGCTGGAAATGTGCTTCCGATGGGTTTATGCATCCATGGAATGAAGAAAGCCTAGCTGTTGTCGAGCCTCATGAGCATGATGAAACTGCGGTGCCTTTCAGTACCTTTGGAGGTGCCCGACTTGCCACGCTCCACAGCACTGATTTTGAAACTCCATCATCTAAAGAGCAGACTATAATACAAAGTAGATCTACAATGACTATGTAGTTCAACTGATATTCAATGCGGTTGCTTGGGTAGCACTTGTCAATACTTCTGAAGCAGTCGACCATGTATGTACATGCACTTGTTTCATGCAGTGTGTGTGCGGTGACTCTGTGAGTTCGCTACTTTTGATTATTATGCGTTACTGGTTTGTAGATGGTGATGGTACGTACGTGTATTGTATGACCCCGATGGTTGTAGAGTTGGTCAATCTTCATGGTCCTTTTGGGGTTACGTAGATCTAGATCGTACATGACTGCTACCATTGGCTCCGAGTGTATGTAAGCGCTGCATCACAGCCAACGAGTACTAGTAACGTTACAATTGTATGTACAATAATGCATGGTGGTATTATGGCATGAGCGGGCCCAGGGACTGTCTGTACATCATACAGGTAAATGCATTCAAACCACTCGCGAGTATTGACACTCGTCTCAAACATATCCAGCTAGAGTGTAACCCTTTAAAAGCCGCTCCATACTTGAATGTGTCGAATTCTACCCATTCGTTTGTGAAACTTCAACAGGTCGTAACTCAGTCAAACTTAAATACTTTCTTTCTGTTCTTTTCACGAGAAACCACAAACTTCGAGAACAGCCTCGGGATACTTCCTGATAGAGGTAGCTGCGGTTGCGTCTGTGGTGGTGAAAATGGAGTATCTCCGCCTACCTGAGGTCTCGCTTGAGCGACACTTCAGTGCACCAAAGAGCGGGCCGGAAGAGTAGACAAATGGGGTCGGGGGGGGGGGGGGTTGGAGTGGCCCAAATATGATACATGTTCAATGAATTAAGTACAGCAGAGAGGTGGTAGAAACAGCGCAACGAAGAAGAGCCCAAACAACAGTGTCAAATGTGCCTTTAGGCTTTTACCCATTACCGGTACTTTCGATGTGTATGGGTCACACATTTAACGCTCTTGTTTTTGGCTCTTCTTCCTTCCGATGCTACATGTACATGGACATGTAACACCAAGAGAAAAAATGAGCTCCAAGCTTTAAACTGCTTACGTACTCTTGCCGCTTGGTAACCATGGTAACACTGTACATCTACTAGGCTAGTGGGTCGGTGCTTAGCTCCGGGATGGGCATCCGGACCTTGGGCTCCGCGGACTTGGAACCTCAAACCTGCAACGCTGCCGTGTGTGTTTTGTGGTCTATCAATACAAGTAAAGACTCATACTCATAGAGTCACACGCTTCCAGTAATATGACTACTAGTACTGCATCCCCGTACACTGCACGGTGCCCGGGCAAGGGAAGAACAGACAGTACCAGTGGATTCACAGTCTCGCCTAAACCCGGCTTCCATCCTTCACCGAGCCTCTGAGTCTGATGTACTCTTCTCACTAGCCCTTGGTCGATAATGCCGGCAGAACAATTGGCAGAATTTGGTACATTTTCATGTTTGTTTCATGCATGTTTGGTGTGTGGATAAAGAAATGGAGCAGAATTCAAAGAAGTGCCTGCCATAAGGTTTGTACTGTTCTGCCAATTTCACTTCTTTTCGAGTAGAATCTGCCAATTTTTCGAGCATTTCTCCGCCTAGCATGCAAGGGGTTTTTCTTACACAACCTTCCTAATCCAATGCACCTCATGCCGGCTGCATGCTCGGCGTTACGACCTAAGCGTTCCTCGCGACTATGGCTCCAGGCGCAGGGCGTTCGGGTACTGCCAGCGCTTGAGATGATCGATATCTCAACTGAACGATGCACTGATCGACAGGGAAGTAAATTGCCTGAAATTATTTGAATGATTGTCACTGCGGAAACCGCCACTGCTGCTCATTCTCTGAACACTTGTATGTACCTGATGTACCGGTACATGATTGAACTGTGCACCTGGCGTATACTACGCGCAAATATGCACAGGCAGTTTTCACACGCGAAGATCGTGTACATGTACTGTTGTTGTAGGTATGCTATAGCGCTAGGGCATGCTGCGAACTCGATGAGGTGTGTGAATCCATCGCAACCCGCACAGGAAACACAGGTACCGGTTGACGCCATGTTTTGTTTTGATACAACCAAAAACTGAAAGCGGATAAGCTGCTAGTGGAATGCTGGGGAACTGGAAACATCTACCCGGGTCTAGACCAACAGGCTGCAAACAAAGAGGATCTTCCTCTTGCAACTGTTACTTCGACATTGTGTCATTCATACCCGTGCCAAGGCGACCACCAGGCATCTGTCCTGGAGGATTACTGCAACCACTGAACCAGTGTCAAACTAGTAAGGGCAGTGTTCCCGGTCGCCAACCGCCAGTTTGCACCAGGTTCGGCAAGGGTTGCCTCGCGTTCCGGGGGGGGGGGGGGGGGGCGCCCAGCTGTGGAACGCCTTACCCAGCGATATACATGTACGTGCCATCTCCACGCTCCGCCAGTTCCGCGCCAGCATGATCCCGCACACCCTTACGGCCTTAGTACCTAGAGTACCAAACGTCCTGTTTGATGATCAGCTGGCTTAGTTTTTCTCCACCTCTATCCTTATTACATCCCTCCCCAATTTCATTAATTCCTGCTTTCTGTCTGCATTCGCCACCTTTTCATTGGGCAGATCTGCTCGTTTGGTTTGCGAATTAAAATAAACACAACAACAACAACAACAACAACAACAACAACAACAACAACAACAACAACAACAACAACAATCGTTACCCTAAATAGCCCCGGGTATGGAAACTGTGCACCTGCCACATACATTCATAAGTTGTTTTGTTGGACCTCATGACCCCTTCCCTCTCCCCTTCACCCCCCCCCCCCCCCCCCCCCATCTCTTTGATAACTTCAGGGCTCACAGTCGGTATGCAGGATCGACAAAAGCGTCGTGCGAGGGCGGGTTTGGTGCACGTGAGTCGCGTGACCCCACGAGAGCACGATCGTGTACATCCTACGCATCCCAACAGAACAAAGAAGAGAAAGAACCTTGGCTTGAGTAGCCTGTTCTTGTCTTGCAGAGCCGATGTTCGCGATATTTTGGTCGGACCTGTCCTTTCCTCGCCTTCTCTTGGCATGCAGTGTCAAACCATTCTCGTTTCCGTTCGTCTCGATCTTGTGCTTTTACGATCGTGCATACTCCAGTGGAAATAGTTTGCTTTATTATTTGCACTGGGAATTGCACTGCAACACTGAACAGTTACTGCCAGCCCTCGGCAACGACTTGCCTTTCACTGTGCCTTGTAGAATTGGTCCACCGAAGGAGAAGGCGACAGGCAACCTGTGCTAGTCCCAGGAAATTCATGTCATGTAGCCGCTGTTCGACCAAATGCTGATGCTACAATGAGCGATCGCGATGTTCCACAGGTAAGAAGACAAACAAACGAGTCAGAGCTCGCCAGGCAGGTAACGCCGAGAACATACCACACAGAGCTGCTGATCGGATGGAGGCGAACGGGACCAGCAAATCCGCCAGGCGTTAGTTGAGGGCCACTGAAGGCCAGGTTTCCAGAGGTACCAGTTCCTCCATGATGGCGAAATGCGCTGCCACAAGAACTCCAGCGAGAACGAAAGCACAGCAACCAACTCCGCGGGCGAACTGAGGAGAGAACACTGAAAAATCTGTGCGCAATGATTTTCTGTTGGACGGCGCGCGCGTTGCTGTTCCGCTGCATGCATGCGTTTTTCTTGTTGTTTGATCTGGTGCTGCTTTTGCACTTTTGGCGTTCTGCGCGCTGAGTGGCACTCACTCAAAAATGTCCACTACATCTCATTCTTGGCGGATTTTGATCATCTATGGCTTATTTTTTTCAGCGTGGAATTCTCCAGACATTTACCGATCACTTTTCCGATTGCTGTGCCGAAATCGAAGCCAAAACGACCAGACTTTGGCTAATCCGTGCCGGAAAACTGGAGGGAAAATGGTGAAACGCTGCGGTAGATCACTGAGTTTGGGGGTTTTGAATCAGCATAGCGAATCCCAGCTTCGTGGACATCAGGGCCGATGTACATGTAGTGGACTAGATCAAAGATTTGAGAATAGAGGAGAATAGAGGCCTGTGATTGGTCAGTTGTCATCACGTGACATCCGCGCAAAGCCGTGCGCGACTCGACGCTTTTGTATTGGACTGTGAGCCCTGAACTTGCTATGACATGCTCCAGTTCGACAATTCGGCGATACCAGGGATACGTCACAAGCTGCAGAATACCACTCCACTGCAGCCATGGCAGCCATGAAAACTGACACTGAGCAGCCAAATGAAGAAAACAAGTACAATACAGTGACAGGTGCGCACCGAAGCCTGGACCAGAAGGTAATCACTACCCAGGTTTCTCTTCCATGTGTTCTGTCTTGCTGCTATTAAAGACTGGAAATACTGCTGCTGAGACTGGCCATTCATATCAGGCAATGAGAGGCATTGCCATTCAGAAGCGAATAATTTTTTATAAAAAGATCCTCAGAAGTTTGAGTGAGCTGATATGGGAAAAGTCTGAAGAAATATTTAAAAAACATATTCAATAAAAATACCTTCGGGAACCGGGGGTGGGGGGGGGGGGGGGGGGAGAGAGGCTAATAATTATTACTAAATATAGGCAAATACATACAATACTTTAACAAAAATTGAGAATTGAAACAAAATTCCACAGTCCATAAAGATCCACATTCAAACTGTATGAGCTCCTTTAGAGTGTCTACATGCCTGGCCTGGTGGGCAATTTTACCCATACAAACCTGCCGTGTCTGACTGACCTCCGTCCGGTCTGAACATCATACAGGTGGAGCACACGAACACGTAGCCTGGTGGCCAGGGGGGTGTACACCGTGTAGAGTGGGATAGCCAGAACAGCCATTCTCACGCCGCCACTGATCTCTTAGTCCTGGTGACACATGCCACAGGTTTGTGCTCAGTGCATGCGGTACCAGAGAGAAACTATATCCGGAGCTGCGGTCATCCGAAATAGGTTCGATGGCATCCCGTGCGCTCAGCCGGAGCACTGCAGTCGGTATACGTCGCATTTCAAGGTCATGAACCACTGCCGGCATATAATACCCAGAATCACCGTCAGCTCAGCGTGCGTCTAAGACGGACCAGGAACGCCTCGATGTCGGCCGGGCCAATCTGATAATGTACGATGGCGCGGATCAGCGTGTCGCTGAAGGCTAAGAGCAGGAACCGCTTTCCGCTCTCGTCCGCCACAGAGGGGTCCTCCTTGTCAAGAATGTCGACCAGCTCTCCGGCGCTATACCCACACACCGCTTTGTCCACGGTGAAAAACACAATATTGGTCTCCGTCACCTCCGGGTTGGAATCTAGACCCAACTCTTTCATGGAGTGGCAGCCTGGAGAAATAAAAGGTAGATGCAGAATTTAACATTGTGGAACTTTGATGAGAAGTTGGGGAACTGCATGCCAAACTACTGTTAGAGACACTTTGACAAGACATCATGCTTTTCTCAGGACTCAAAAACCCCGCAAGACAGTACAGCACCGTACAGTTGCCGCCGACATGTTGTCGGTTCTAGCATCTACTTCAACATACATCAGTACAATGCTACAACTCCTAAACGTTATGGAACCACTTTCGTTTCTCTCTCTCTCCCCCCCCCCTCGCAAACTGTATTTTCACTGCGAATAACTGACTTCACATTTCACCACATTTTCGTCCACAGCCCATCAACCATACCCTTCGATGAATGCTCCTTACACGTCTCTGTTGTTTTCCATAGCTAGTCATCATTGTTGAGACGGATTTCCCTCAGTGATAATGGTCTCATGAAATCGATTAGAAAACTTCTACGCTCATTACATTTGAACAGGCGATGTGGAGACAATAATCTTAGTAAAGCAATGAATGCAACTGTCTGCGCATTTATATCACAATCATAGCAACATTTTGAGGTTTTCAGAACGTTTTCTTGCCACAATTATCAATGGATTTCGCGACTAAAGGCAATGATGAAACTACAATAGGATTTATACACTTTTAGAACGAGGTCTGTCTCGTTGTCCAGGAAACGACCAATCAGCGACCAATTAGCGGCATTCTCGCCAAGCGCCTTATCAGAGTTTAAGGAAAATGAACTCTGCATAATATGTACGGTGTGCTACTAAGGGTGTGTTTGGTTGGTACGATCTAGAACAGGATCGAACAGCTGGTGCACATGAAGCAGCCTCATGTCAATCAAACGGTACTCCAGAAACAGAGCACATTTTAGTGAAAAAATGTGCCAAACTTGGTGCATTCTTCAAAATGTGTAGGGGTCACCATGGTCACTTTGTACGGTACAACGAGTCCAACCCAAAAGCGTATGCACGTGTTCTCTGTCCACCCTGCACTCACTCGTTGCGCACACATCCGCACACTCACTCATACGTGTACACCACTATTGAACACGTGAACACTGCCAGTGGGGGCCACCACAGCACGGCGCCCCAACTTATTGTCTTTGCACACAATTCCGCGGTCATGACTATACAGAACCATTGCCTAGTCTAACCAAAAACTCCAGCTACGTACAACCAGAAAACCACGCCCGATCATTATGCATCCGCACACTCTAGAATAATCAAATCACTAGAATAATCAAAGCGATGATGTATGAAATTACATGATGATTACTGGGGTGGGTGGGTGGGCACTCTCACTCAACTCTCCGCACAAAGACAAAAGAGGCCGACCCTGCACTCGTCACCTCCTTTTATCCCACACCGTGCTCCCTCGTACCCGTTCCCGGGTGGACAGAGAACACTACTTCTCTGCTAATTCTTATACTGTGACGTCAACCGCAGAGAAGTGACATATCATTTGGGACCAAAATCGATGTTCCTGCCAGGCTTCACTGTGAAAAAGTGAAGCTGCTCGGTCTGCTCCGGCCTCGAGGCCGGAGCAAGCAGAACATGTTCTGGCCGACCCACAACAGGTGCAGTCCCAACCAAACGTGCTGTTCTGGTGAATCCTGTTCTAGGTCGTACCAACCAAACGCGCCCTTAGGGCATGTTCGATTGGTAAGGATCGGGATCCCGATCTCAGATCCGTCGGATCCTTCAGAGTCAACTGAACACTTTATTTCGGACCTTGACTGTTGCCATGTTGACGAAGTAATAGAATGGCGCTCACAAGTCACCCAAAAGGGTGAAAGTCGTACTCATCGCACACATCGTACAAAAAGTAAACAAACTCTATCTCAATCCACGTGTGCGTACCACAAGGTGTACAAAAATGATTTTTACCCGCCATATACACACAAAGGTCACATTTGGATCCGTTGGATCCGCCCAACCCTGCTCCCGGAGGTGGGTTGACCGGATCCAAATCCGAAGGATCCGGATCCGGATTCGACCAATCGAAAGGGTGCGAATCCAGTGGATCCGGGGATCGGGATCCCGATCCTACCAATCGAACATGCCCTAAAACAGCTACAAATTTGTTAGAAGTGTGTACGGCTTTTGCCTCCCGTACTCTTTCATCTGTACGATTTCCCTTTGTCAAAAGCTGGCGGAACCCTATAAAAACCGAAGATCAACGTCATTATCGGTATCGAAAAGGGGCTCTCGAAGACCCTAAATAGCTCCACAAGCTACGGATACGAATGAAGCTCGCAATAAGAGCTCAGCATTTCATTTTCTTCTATTCTACTTTTAGTAGTCCTCAGTGGTGCTGAGTTACAAGAAGAAAAATTAAATTCTATACCACACCAATTCTGTCTGCACACAATCCACAAAACTACCCAATATAATGGGTACACAAGCACAATGCAAGTGAGATAATGTGCATGTAACCTCGTTCTAAAATAGTTAGTGCATGGCAGGGAGGGCTTTATGGCTTGTTTGTGCCGTTCAGGTTACCCCTCGGGCCTACGGCCCTCAGACTAACCTGCCGGGCACTAACAAGCCATAAGGCCCTCCCTGCCATGCACTAACCTACTTCCTCCGTTAACAAAAACTTCGTGATGGATTTTTGAGGGACTGGTTTGCGCACAAACTGCCATGAAATGAGTCGCGATCACTTTCCCGGCCTTCCCTGGCATGCCATGGAAGAGGTCTGATGCAAGGAAAGTGACCTTTCACGACAAGCCGAGCGGAATCGATGGTTGCGCTGTGGCAACAAAGGTGATGACAGTCATGGCAAGCGAAACTGAAATAACACTTCTCCGAGGGGATAGTGTGCTGCACGCTTGGCCTCTCTACTACTCTAGCACTGACTCTGAGAGTGATAGAGAGTGATGGAACGGAGCAGCAGGCCTACACAATGAGTGAGTGAACAAGCAGCTGCTCCGATCGCACGGCATAATGAAATAATTCTGAATTAAAGTTCTTGTTCAACCTGCGCAAAGCCAAGATTCGAATGCCGATGACCATGCATTCTTTCAGAAGTCTGCAGTCCGACGCGAGTCTCGTGGCTAAGGAAAGTCGACTGGACTTGCTAGTCGCTGCCGTTCAGTGCTGGTAGGAGTATCCATCCGAGAAATTGGAATCAATTTGGCTGTGACTTTACTCCCGTGTTTTCACAGTTTCTCTTTACTCCCGTGTTTCGCGGAGTTCTGGAGAGTGGAGATGAAACCAGGAGTCATAAAATATTTTTACGACTCCCTGGTGGAAACGAGTAATCGCCACCGCAGCAGATCAAGCAGCTTGAAAGCCAACTTGAACGACGGCAACATCACCAAGGTTCAGCGGAGGGTGATCAAAGAAGCCGAGGAAAGGGTGAAACTAGCTGAACAACGACTCGAGAGAGATGACGACTCGCGTGCAGCAGATGACGACAGCGACGCAGGGTCAAAAATGAGTCGAGCAAAAGCGACGCAAACTGAACTCTCTGCTCATTCTGCCAACAGGTTCTCTTTAAAGATGCTGTACATGAGCTGAACTACCTTCGTCCAGTGATTTGCAGTCGATACAAACTGTTCTTGACCTGTTCTAAGCGTTTTCAAATCCATCAAAATTCATCACGAAGTTTTTGTTAACGGAGGCAGTATAATTAAAATAAAAAGTGTATGTAGTGACTCATTATATAACTTGCTATTGCTAAGTTCAATGTTCACCTCACTAAATATTTTTTGTTATTGCTGTAATAAAACAGTGTGAAAACTAAGTAATTGGGGTCTACGAGTCTACCTTCTGATAAGTGTTTTGCAAGGATGTGATCCTTGTGCAGTCTCTTTGACATGACCTCTAGTGCAATCAGGCCGGGTGCAGCCAACACTCCGGCCTGCCGCAGTCCACCGCCAAGCAGCTTGCGGACACGGATCGCCCTGAAAACGGAGAAAACACGTGAATATGTGCACCAGAACCTTTAAGCGAAGGTAGAGCACACTCTTTATAACACTTGATAACTTCAAACTTGTAACATTCAGGGTACTAGTTGTGATTTAGGGAAGAGGAACAGTGACCAGCTCTAAATATCAGGTAGCATGACTGGTGTGATGATGGCATTGTGAAATAATTTACCACCTAATGTTCTTGGCGTATTGATGCTTGCAATTTCTGTGCGGAGAGCGTAAAACGAATGCGTTGCAAAGCCAGGGTGAAGTACAATTCCAACAGTGCACGTGTAGGGCCACAGTGCTCGTTGCGCGAACATTGGGCAACTTACATCACCAACTTTGTAGTTAGCGCACACACGTTCACGTGTGCTGGCATACAGTACTGCCTGGTGCAGAACCGGAACGTTCAGGGTCGTAGCTTAGGCCGTTCCTATTTTCCTACGGTAGAACTCTCAAACTGTCAGCCACCATGTGTGTGCCTGTAGTCGACCATGTGTGTGCCTGTAGTCGATATCATGTGTGTGCCTGTAGTCGACCATGTGTGTGCCTGTAGTCGATATCATGCAATAAGGGCAATACTGCCTGTTTATTCCTCGACATTAAATATACCAATCCTATCCAATGTACATAAGGGTACCCTGCACCCGGTGAATTCTAGCCTCTTCGTTCTTTAGCGTCCAACAGCACTTAGTATACCCATGGGTTCCATTGAGGGTATCATCATAATATGATACCTATACAGTCAACTTCGCTAATAACGACTGCGGATATAACGACAATTCGTGAATAACGACAGAATTTCCATGCCCAGAGCAAAGTCCCATCTAACTGTAATACATAATTATAATGAGGCTTCGGGAAAAAGGACACTTTTCTGATGCCCCGCCGAGTGTCGTTATACGCAAGTTGACTATAGTGCAATGTGGTACTCAGGGCAACACTGATGAACCCAGCCTTCCCGGGCAAAACACAGCTGCTGAATGCCAGTCGCAGAAGGGAGCATGCGGCCGTGCGCTGCACTTACTTGCGGATGAATTCCTCCGAGCCGGCAATCACCGAGCCGACAGGAGCTGCAAGGCCCTGGTCCAGCACATTGCGACAAGAAAGAAAGAGCACACAACATGCAGGTAAGACAATAAGAAGAACAACTGAAACGTATCCTTCCTGCAAAAAGGCCACGGCTAATTGGGAAAACCTTGCTTGACGTTGTGACATGAAGGCACAATGTCCAGTTGAGCTGCATTCGGAGAAATCAAAACATTACATGATCCGAAGGCTGCCAGGTGCTAAGCACACTATCCTGTACGGCTTTGCAGACACGACCTTGATTGCTGGGTACATGAAGCGTACATGAGGCAACCAGCCTGGTCCTGGCCCTGGGCTCCACCCTGTGCTAAGCTGACGTAGCCACGTAGAGACCGCAGAAAGTTTGAAAATTCACTCCGGCAGAACCCCGGCCAGTGCAGAGTGTATTGTACACTTGCAAACGCTGTGTGTTCTGGACTCCTGCCAGTATCAAGAGTAGATAAACAAGAGTGTGCAACTCCGGATCTCTCCTGCACAATCCGCAGATACCCCTACTCATGGCGGAATTTTTGTTGACGTCACCTTTTTTTAAAGAAAAGCACGCATTTTGCCGCACAGCAGTGTGAGAGCACGTGCTGGGCACCGACCTTGTAATATAAAGCCCAGCCAAGTGCACGAGGCAAAACTTTCCAACAGACTCGCAGCGCGTGGGTCGTAGAAAAGATTACGTCAACAAAGTATTCCACCGTGGGCGAACCCATCCGCGAGTTGCCCACTCTTGTTTACTTACTCTTGCTAGTATCAAGAACAGGTGATCACCAAACACACATGTGATGCTGTTTAGCAATGGCTATGCATGACATACATGTATTGACTGACCTTGGAGAGACAGACGCTAACACTGTCCACGCCAACTAGCAACTCTGACACGGGAACGTGCAGTGCGGCAGCGGCATTGAAGATCCGTGCACCATCGACGTGAAGCGGTATGCCGAGAGACTTGGCAACCTTACTCGTCTACACACACGCAAATACAAGACGAGAGGGTGCCGTACATACATAGTATCATTGTTGATCCATAGATTCTTTCAACAACAAAATAATACGACAACAGCAGCAGCAACTAGGACAAGGTTAAGAACACCATCATTTTTTCGGCCATCATCCGTCACGGGAATGAAGATCTGAAAGCCTCACGGCTCGCTCACCTCCGCAATAAAATCCGGCTTCAGCACACGACCGCCGCACAGGTTGTGCGTGTTCTCCAGGCAGATTGCCGACGTCACGGGGTAATGCACGTCGTCTGCGCGCACCTTGGAGCGAAGGTCGTCCAGGTCAAGTCTGCCATCGGCCAGGGTCTTCACTGCCCTGGGATGAATGCCGGCCACCTACATGCCACACACGAAATACTCACACAGTACATGTACTGGGGACGGTTGATAACACATTCTCGCACTCATGGGCAACAGGGAAGTCTCAGTGTACTCGGTATCCCAGGTACAGTCAACTGCGCTAATAACGACAATTCACGAATAACGACAGAACAAGGCTTAGTTTTTTGTATCGATATACTGTGATACATACAAAACAAAACTGACAGGTCTGAATACTATCCTGATTTGAATAGAAGCTGTGCCCTTTCAACAGAATACGCCTGGATTATATTATAGTTTATCACTCTCTTAATATTGACCCCCACAGAAACTTGTGTGATCTCTAAGCGGTCAAATATCAGCATATATTGACTGCTTATATTGACCACTTAGCCCGAGGACTTAGAACTTTTTCCTCAACTTAGAAAAAAATCTGAAGCCAAATGCTCGGATTTGAACCCAAACTGTCAGATTCTCAGTCAAAGAACTTGGGGAACATACTACAAGAGACAACTAAAAACTTCGGTTTACACAGAAGTAATGTCTAATGTAAACGGCATATGTACATACTATTATACTATTACAATAGTATTCCTTTCTTCCTATAGCAAAGCAAAAACAGCTTTAGGTATGCTATGTCGTGATAAATCTATTATTGCCCTCATAATCGGTCAATATATGAAATATAGACCTCGTAAAAGACCTCGGGGGACCTCGGTCTTTTACTCGTTCTATATTTCATATATTGACCTCTTTAATCGTGCAATAATAGATACATATTATATAATATAATTTTACAGCAACAAGCAGGACAACTGTATTGTGATGGAATAGAGGACATGAAGATCATGTCATCAGCAAGATGATTGCTCAACTCACAGCTTCAACCGCCTCATCATCTGTGACACTGCAGCATATAACCCATCTATGTTCTGCAGCTGACGGCTAGGTGGTTTCAAGTTTTAAAAAATGCAGCATTCTCTTCACACACATGCAGCCTGCATGAAAGCACTAATCTGCAATACCTGCGCAATGCCGCCTTGTTCGTACTCTAGAATATGGCAGCGGTCACCGAGCAGGACCTCTGAACCCCGCTGCCAGCCGTGCACCATCACTGCACCGTACAACAACAACAACAACAACAACAACAACAACAACAACAACAACAACAACAACAACAACAACAACAACAACAACAACAACAACAACAACAACAACAACAACAACAACAACACACACACACACACACAGCAACAGAGTTGCTATACATGCACCCGCCATTGTACCTTCGATAGAGTACCTCGGCTCAGTATACTGAACATGTTCAAGTGTTAACAACCCATGGACGGGTACTAAGCTTGGCATTGAAGTTTCACTCAGCTTTGGCAAAGGGCTCAAGTTTTAAGTTGAACTCGGCACCACCTTTGGCTTTATATGGAGCAAGCTCACAATGGTCCCTCCTAATCCCAAGCAGCAGCTGTGGCACTGGAACTATGCACGAGTATGCGAAGTGCGGCGGTGACAGACCGACACTCTCGCTTACGTGAAATGAGATTTCCCATCGTGCCCGACGGAACGAACAAGGCCTTCTCCATTCCGAACATCTTGGCCGCGGTCTTCTGAAGTTCTGGATACGAAGCACACAATAACACGAGCCAAAAAGACGGGCAGCAGAATGAAAATAATATTGTTACACCATTTAACACAAATGCCCAGACCCTCAACAGTCTTCACGTACGCATGAGACCCAGTGCTCAAAGCTGAATGCAACTTAGGCAATGCCGCGCAGGTTTGCTCTTAAAAATGTCAGGCTTTGCACGTATTTCCAATGTATGTACACATTTGAAATGCTGATCTTTGCTTCACCCTCCAATGTTCACAGTTCCTATTGTTTCCACCTTACATACATGTATGTGTTCTTGGTAGGGGTGAAATGGTTACCCTTTAAGGTAACAAACGGGTATCTGGCTTAACGGGCGGGTTATCGGGTACCCTTTATCCGCCATACTTTTTCCAAAACGTTGCATTTGCTTGGGATCGTAAGCGCAACATGTCTTTTGCAGGCATTCTGATAGGAGAGCGATTTTCGGGCAACAATTGCTACAGTAGCCTTCCGGATTTCACGCCGGGAGAATATGCGAAGTCATACAAGTACACTACACCGCGACAAGCAGTGTGCACAATCACTGCGCTACATGCTAACAGTCGAAATTGTCGTAGCTACAATGGATACCATGATATGTAGCAGGATTGAACGAGGAAAAACACACTCAAAACTGTGCACTGAACTGTACAACTGTACAAGCAAGCTTCTAATACTGTACCCTACAATCCTACACGACTATCGGGTACTGTATAAGCAGAAAATTTCGTCGGTCAATAATTTCGTCCAACTCCAAAAAAAGGGAGTTCGTCCGGTTTTAAATTTCGTCCATGGATCATAAGAGTGTATTGAAAAGCTGGACAAATCAATATTAGTCCGGCATCTAATTTAGTCCAACAGCTCATAGGACGAAAAAGACGAAATTAAATTCCAGACGAATATTTCTGCTTGTACAGTACTCGTTTGCTAACGGATCAGCAGCTAAACAGACGGGTACCCGGGTTACCCGGATCACCCCTTTCACCCCTAGTTCTTGGTCCTCGCGTTCTGGATGCCATGCTAATGAGAGTGCCTTATGTAGCAAGAAGGAGCCACACGTGTGTGTGTGTGTGCGTGCGTGCGCGCGTGCGTGCGCGCGTGCGTGTGTGTGTGATCCCCGGTAGCCTAATCGGTAGGGCACTGTCGCGGAAAGACAGGGATGCTGTGTTCGAATCCCACTCGTGGATCCTTCTTTTGCAGCACTTACTGTCAACTGATGGGTCATCACCGTACACGTCGTCACCCACCGGTGCACTCAGCATTGCCTGGCGCATGTCCTCGGTCGGCTCAGTCACCGTGTCCGACCTCAGGTCCACGCGTCGTGCCGACGATGGCGATGTCATGCTCGACATAGCCTGTCGCCGTGGATACTGATGAGCTGATGTCGCTGCACGGGCAATGTCAGCCGCGAGTCGACTCACGGTGTGGTGTCCCCGGCAGTGTATAGCTGGTCAGGGTCAAACAATCAACAGCATTCGCTAATAATAATAATAATAATAAATACTTCAACTTCTACAAGAAGAGTATAACCCCTGGAAGTATTGAGGACGTTATAGCCCTGCCCTAAAACGCTGAAATGATAATCATACTCGAATAGCACGAATGCATTGTGGACCATGCTCGGATTTAGGACATCCCCCCCCCCCCCCCTTCCTTCCCCTAGCCTAGCCCTCCTCTCGCGCTGAAAGAAAAGATTATGTATATGACCGGTAGCCGGTAGTTACGTAGCGTGCAAGTCGCATGTACCATCCCATGGTGTACTGCTGCGAGCAAAATTTTAATACAGATTTACAGAGTGTAGACTGTAGTGTGAGCGGAGCTATGATTCTCTACAGCCAGTATGAAGGAGAAGTAAGAAAGTTTCCTTCGACTTGTTCAAGCATCAAATCGGATAGAGATGATCACGTATGTTTTCCGCTGGCCGTGACGCAGGGAGGACGTTGCCTACCTTTCGCTCCACTGCTATAGCGCCAGGTCCGAGAAAACTGAGCCAGGAGCTTGCCGTGCCAGGTCATCTGCGCTGCAGATCTGGTGTCGTGATGGTTGATGGTGGAATTGCAATGATCCCAATAATTATTATCATAAACACACTATCCTCCCTTCGCCGATGCAGAATGGAAACTATAATTTTTTTAATTGAAAATCAACATGCATACGCGCAGGTGTTCACAAAAAAGGAAGTCACGCACGCGATCGGCCGGCCCGGTGGGCACACTTTTTACATGTACCGGTACATGTACCGGTACATGTACCGGTATCACGTATATCCGTAATAATCGCTAGATGATCAGTCTGTTGTTGCTGCTGCTGCTGGTGACAGGCTGACAGCCACTGGTACGTATTGCTACATTTTTGTGTAGTGTGTATTGCTGTGGGAGTGTGGACATACATGATGTAGTCATTATTGACGAATACCTGCACATCAGTGTGTATTGTGTAACAGTAATACTGTCAGTACTGTAACAGCAATGCCAGTGGCTTCCCAAGCACCAACTGGAGGAGAGAGAGGGGGGGGGGGGGGGGGGGAGGTTGATGCAAGTACATTCTGTCTGAGGCAAGTTGCTCCGCTTCCAACACAACAGAGACGGTACGATAAGGTCATGTTGAGAAGTAAAGCGACGTTTAATACTTACTAAAAGATCACTCCTAATGTTGTCCCCATGGACACAAAGCACTGTCCCTGCACAGTAGCCTAGGTTACTATTACCAATGCCAAGAGTATAATACCCCCCCCTCTATATAATAGTATTCAGTATTAAATTTATACTCTTGGTAATGCCAAGAGTACATAACCACTACTGGTTATGTACTCTTGGTAATGCCTACCTATGGTAACTGAGTACAATGCACTTCAGTACACCACACTGGTACACGGGAAGCCTGAAGAAGATGTTGAGGTCTCTGCTGGGGTGACAGTTACATGACTGTACACGATACTGAGCTTGGTGGTTAGAAGAGTATCGCTGGCCGAGTCCTGGTGGTGACAATCAATTTTTTCTTCTTCAGACTTTTCCCGTTTGAATCTTTCCCTATCAAACTAATGGCTAAACCGGTGGTAACGCGAGATTTTAATACATGGCTTTTCTACACTGCTTATCAAAATTAATTATGAAAAGCCAGATTGGATACCTTATACAAGTACCTTGACCCTGCCCAGGGAGTTGTAAAATACGTTACATACATAACTTGTTACTTTACGAATTCCTGACCCTGCCAACACTTCTTCCTTCCACCTCTTTGACCAGATAGTTTTCTAACGGCCATGGCCGGCTCATCTCGAGGCCCTGTCCACTCGATCACATGGTCATGCATCAATATTGCCATACTATCACCATGCATGCAGGTCACTGGGAGGTGAATTGTGAGAAAACTTCACAAAAGACATGCATAACATACAGAATACAATGTATCACCTGATGAGTGGGGTGCATACGGCAACTATTACTTGGCTAATAACGACTGCGGATATAACGACATGAAACTTTAAGTTGTGACTGATCAGGCCATCTGTTGTTCTGACTACAGTGTATAATACATACCGGTATTTGTATACAGAAGTATAAACATACAGGGGGAAGTGGTCCCGTCCACCGCAAAGAGGGCTCAACAACGCTGGGGTGCACTGGAGCTAGTACACAATGGAAGCGGTCCTCACCAAGAAAACACAATCCGTTGCTACTCCGAGTTTCTTGAGTTTTTCAATCGTCAGGCAACTTTTCTAACTAAAGCAGGGCTGTCAGGTCCACTAAAGAAATACACAACCACACAGCAAGGCGCACAAAAGAGAAAGCGTGAAGTGTGGAGAGTGAAGAGTTACTGCTAGGTGCAGGCAGTGTAAAATATTGATATCAATTGTCCATTACTGTAACAAGCGCTGAATGGAGCACGTAAATATGGAGTTAACTAGCGCATGCCTGGCGTCAGGAGGTGTAAGGCCATTACACCATTACATTTCAGCCGTAACGTGAGAACAAACGTCGCTGCTGCCTTCCTCACAATGATCGACCGGCATTTCAAAAACACCCCCCTGAAAAAGATCTTCAACCGACATAACGTGAAGGTTAGCTATTCATGTATGCCCAACATCGCAGCGATTATCAGTGGGCACAACAAGCGGCAACTGATACAAGAACCTCCTGAAAAACCTTGTAATTGTAGGAAAAAGCAGGAATGCCCCATGGAAGGACGTTGCCAGGCCTCTCACATCATCTATGAAGCACACGTCACCAGCCAGGATGAGCTCAGGACATACATCGGCTCAGCAGAGACAACGTTCAAAACAAGATACAACAACCACACGATGTCCTTCCGCCACGAAAAGTACCGCACTAACACGGAGCTCTCCAAACACCTCTGGAAAAAGAAAAACGACAACAAAGAGTATCACCTGTCCTGGAGAATCAAGGACAAGGCCAGCTCCTACAACCCCGCAACGAAGAGATGTTGCCTTTGCACCACGGAGAAGGTGCGTATACTCACTGCTGACAAGACCAAAACCCTCAACAGGCGAAGTGAAATCATCGCCAAATGTCGTCATGCAAACAAATACCGGCTCGCTAAGTATAACGGAATCACGTAAAACCGGACATGGACAGAACAACCTGATGCCCAATGGAACCAGACACACTGCACCATTATTGTTATGATTAACGCCAAATATAGCACCGTAATGGCCTTACACCTCCTGACGCCAGGCATGCGCTAGTTAACTCCATATTTACGTGCTCCATTCAGCGCTTGTTACAGTAATGGACAATTGATATCAATATTTTACACTGCCTGCACCTAGCAGTAACTCTTCACTCTCCACACTTCACGCTTTCTCTTTTGTGCGCCTTGCTGTGTGGTTGTGTATTTCTTTAGTGGACCTGACAGCCCTGCTTTAGTTAGAAAAGTTGCCTGACGATTGAAAAACTCAAGAAACTCGGAGTAGCAACGGATTGTGTTTTCTTGGTGAGGACCGCTTCCATTGTGAAGTATAAACATATTCGCACACATGTACCGATAGTCTGGCCGTGGTACCTTTTTCTTTAAACGCCTATAGGCTCCAAAACTTGATAGAATTGAGGTGCAAAAGGGCGACGAGACTTACAACAGCGGCCGACCTGAGGTCTCGGCTTCATTATGATAGAGAGCTACATGCACAAATACCATGAAAGGAGATAGGGCAGGGGAGGGGGAGAGAGAAAGAAACTAGGCCACGTGTCATAACACATGAACGAAGAGAGAAATACAGTGGCGCGTGTCGAAAAGCGCAGAGACCAACGGTACACAATAGTGGTGGTCGGAGTAAGAGTAGGCACATTTGGCCTTTGGTGGTTTGTGTGTGTGTGTGGGGGGGGGGGGGGGGATTGGGAGGGCAGTAGGAAAAGAATATGTGGGAAAATATTTCTATTTCTATTTGAGCAGTTTGAACCAGAGGAGTCACTCGAATGAAACTGCACTTCTCTGGTTCAAAGTGCCGGGTACTAGTACAGACAAAGCACGTGACAACACAGCCCGGCACAGTGACACAATTTGGCCATTGTCAGTTCCTGCGTGAAAGAAAAATAAAGAAACGCGCTTGTGTGTTGGTACAAACAGGAGCCTGCCACTGGTGCTCTCTGGGTGCGGATAGAAAAGCCTCATACAGCACTTGCAGACTACTACACAATGCTGGTAAAATACTATCAGACAGAAATCCACAGAAATGAACATTGCAGCATAGAGACTACCTGTAGAGACATCTGTAGCGGCAAAATAAATAGGACAGGAGCTCAACAAAAATATTCTTCGTTCATCATTGTGTCAAAACATGGTGGTATGGTGGGGTTGAAGTGGCAATGTCATTGCGTTAGGTCTGATCCGATGAAGAAAGTGACGTCACGCAGACGTAAAAGCCCGCGTAGATGACTAGATGTATTCTATGGGGTACCTACAGGACGGTAGTTCAAGGCAACACGAACCTGTAGGTTTGATATTAAAGAAAATAGACCGGAGTAGTACGTTTCCATTCGTAGAATCTGTGATGAGGCTAGGTCGCGCCGCACAACGTCAGAGTCATCGACGACTCAGCGTGCGTCTGAGCCGGGCTAGGAACGCCTCGATGTCGGCCAGAGTGAGCTGGTAGTGCGTGACGGCACGGACCTGGGTGTCGGATATTGCGAAGAGCAGAAACCGCTTTCCGCTTTCGTCCGCCACAGACGGGTCCTCCTCGCCGAGCGCATCGACCAACTCTGCGGCACTATATCCGCACACCGCTTTGTCCAAGGAGAAAATTACAATATTGGTCTCCGTTGTCTCGGGGCTAGAATCTAGACCCAACTCTTTCATGGCATGGCAACCTGAAGAAAGAAATAGAATTCAACATTGCAAACTTTGATGAGAACTGCACGCAAACCAGCCTTGTAAGCCTTATAACCTGGGTTACCAGGGGCATCGAAAGGTATTCCACATTGGTGCAGCCATAAAGAGGCGGGTGGGTCAGAGCACCCTCCCGCTGGAAGATTTTTTGGAAAATTGGGCCCTAAATAGCCCATGTCGTATTGCTTCTAAAATCACAAGAGTGAATTATTGCCGGCTCTGACGCCCCTGGCTAGAAAGAATTTCATGAGAAGGATTAATCATCTCATTGTAATGTATATGGCGATGGTTGCCAGATCATTGAAAAACGGGGAAAGGAAACTGAACTCAAGTCAACGTTTCTGCCGCGATGGATATGCGTCACGTTTCCCAAGCACGAAGCGAAGTATAAACCAGTTGGACTTGTAGCGAGCATATGTGGAAATGTATTCTCCTTTATAATACAGCTTGAATTGAGCAAAAAGAGGGAAGGAAATAAAGCACCCCCCCCCCCCTCCCCTGGGCCCCTTGGTTCTTCATTTCTTTATTTGTTTCTATCTATCTTTCTCTCAGCCCTCCCCCCCTCTCCCCAGATTAGATTTCGTTCTTGAGCAAGCCACATAGGCATCAACCGTCCCAAAGAAGAAAGGATTTCCCCGTACAGATTTGCCCCCAAACTGCCCCCCCCCCCCTCTCCGGTACAGCACTTGCTTGACTGCCTGACAGCCAGCCTTCCTGCTCTGATGTGCTTACCTTCTGATAAGCGCTTCGCAAGGATGTGATCCTCGTGCAGTCTCTTGGACATGACCTCTAGTGCAATCAGGCCAGGTGCAGCCAACACTCCGGCCTGCCGCAGTCCACCGCCAAGCAGCTTGCGGACACGTGTCGCCCTGGAATAGGAAACGAAGCAATCGTGCACAGACGGAATTCCGTTATGTTGCAGCGTGGGCCCAAAGAAGGAGAACTGTTTCGGGGAGCGAAATCTACGGAGTGAGTTGGGAGTGACGTCAAACAAGAAACAAACGATGAACCTAACATCCCTTTAGCCTTTCTCTGTTCTTCGACGGGATTCTGTTCTGACACAGACTGAGAACATCGGTGAAATCACTAACTTCAAACTGGCAGGTACAGTATGGCATCGCCGTTAGCCAAACCTTTTCCTGACACTCATAAACTCCATGGCAACCATCCATACCGCATAAAAGTCACCAATACAGCGATCGCACTGCATAATTGTGTCGCTGCAAAACAAATACTTTCAACACTGACTGTCTATGATAAGTTGCCATGAAGATTGGCCATGGTTGAAGTTTTCGGAGAGCATTCGGAAAACATATTCGTTGCAAGGAGGCTATGCAGGTGGCTATCGAGGTGAGAGCTAGTCAAGACGACGATATCAATGCACAGACATGTATACAGGTCTACCCTTGTTAGTACACAACCCTGGGGGTTTCAAGTTTTTTTGTCTTGTAGCGGATATTATCTACTATCCGAACTTGCATGTACGAAATGGGTTTCAGGCCTCAGAGGATTTTGGATCGTTGTCTACTAATGAGGTTCGTCTTGTAACAGATGTCGTGCTAACGAGGGTAGACATGTACAGAGGAGGAGGCAGTGGAACTCTGGCATGTGTTGATGAACTCGTTCGGGACAACAATGCTATCATGTGCAGATCCGAGAGAGGTACTACTACTGTAGTAGAGTTGTCCACTGCTGCACTCACCTGTGGATGAATTTTTCTGACCCACCGATCACGGAGCCGACTGGAGCTGCAAGGCCCTGATTGCGATAAACAAAGAAAATTCAAAAAAGGAACAAAACAATATTACGAGCTGTAACCCCACGAGTGACATGACAAAATATGATCCAAAATATATTTCAGCACAGGGGTTAACGGAGCATTGTCTGCCGCTGAAAACACCAGACTACCACAGCATACAAAGACAAAATGGGTAGTTACCGGCAATTTAACAGCAGTCGTGTATGACAGCTCTGCCCATTACGGCATTGTACATCATGTGGACAGAAGAGGAAATATACTGTGTTGTGCATGAAGCATTATCACTGCACTGACCTTGGAGAGACAGACGCTAACGCTGTCTATGCCGACTAGCAACTCGGATACGGGAACGTCCAGGGCGGCGGCGGCATTGAAGATCCGTGCACCATCGACGTGAAGAGGTAAGTGCAGCGACTTGGCTACACTACTAATCTGCAAACACACACACACACACACACACACACATACACACACACACACACAGACACACGCACGCACACACACACGCACGCACGCACACAGACACACACAGACACACACACACGCACGCACACACACACACACAAGAAAGAACAAGAGAAGGGCATATGTGTCGCTTTTTCATTCTCAAGAGAGATAGAGATATAGATACAGATAGATACCCAATGCTGTAGACAGCACTAAGATAGCTCGTCACTCTAGCGCCAGAGGGCTCTAACTACGAAAAGTAGCGGGCAAATGCGTGATGCAACAGCACTAGAGCAGCCTACCGAGAGTGCACAGTGTAGAGATGGGTAGACAGCTAGATAGATAGATAGATATATAGATAGATAGAGAGAGAGAGAAAGAGTATTGTGCCAACTCACCTCCGCAATAGCATCAGGCCTCAGCACACGACCACCGAACATGTTGTGTGTATTCTCCAGACAGATCAAGGACGTTACTGGATAATGGATGTCGTCCTCGCGCACCTTTGAGCGAAGATCATCCAAGTCCAACCTTCCGTCAGCAAAAGTCTTCACTTCCCGTGGATGGACACCGGCCACCTAGGTGCAATATCAATAAGAATTAGAATGAAAATTTTTACATTCATATTGAGGGAGTTGAACATATTTAAGATCCGCATACAGGGCGAGAACACCCTTTCCGCTTCCGTGAGACGCCACCACGCCATGACCAGGCGTCAGATGCAGCTCCTGAACAGCGAGGGAGGAAAGATCAGATCCACCAACGGCCAAAATCCAATGTGCCATATCCATAAGACAGAAATAAGGGAGACGTAGCATTAAACACTTGTTGTAGAGGTGGTCCACCGTTATTTCTTCTTCTTCTAGATTACCGGATACCAAAGGCACATACCATACATACTCACTCGATTAGAAGCCAGGGGTTTCTATTTTTTCAATACCAATTTTGAGGAGGCTTCTATTCGAGAGGGGCTTTTATTGTTTCATTCCATACCAGTATTCCAATCGAATCTCTAAAACTTTCATATTCACAGCAACTCGGCCAATGTAGCATTTCTTATACACATGCACACGTCTCCGGCATAACGTTATCAGCAGTTGCATACACTACCTGTGAGAGGCCGCCCTGTTCAAACAGTAAGATATGGCAGCGATCACCGAGCAGAACCTCCGCACCTCGCTCCCAGCAATGTACCATCACTGCACCGTACGGCAAACAAAGATGAAAGAACGAACACACACACCCACACACACGTACACATACACACACAAGAATAGGAGGCAGATGGATAAAGAATTATCAACACATTGATTGGTAGTGAAAATCAAAACAAAATCAATTCAGATGGAGAGCCAAGGTTTAATTTATACAAAGAGAAACAGGTGACTGGTAACTAGTGGTGTTAGTGGACTGTATAGCGTAACTTGTCTTTCTCTTTTGTATAAAATCAATTCCTTTCCATGCAGAACACACACCCATTCAGTGGTTACGGACACGGTTGCTCACATGAAATAAGATTTCCCATTGTGCCCGACGGAACAAACAAGGCCTTCTCCATTCCAAACATCTTGGCCGCGGTCTTCTGAAGTTCTGGATGTGAAGCACACAGCACGCGCAAAATAGTCATTAAAGATGGACACAAGAAAGAATGAACATGTGCGAGACGATATCAAAGCAACAGAATTTGTTGTTATGCTGTTGTGGGATATCCTCGCTCAGCAAAGTGCTGTGAGTGATGAACGAAAGACTAAGGCACAACTTGTTCATGGACCATTCATGAAACATTTCCCAATTTCGACCCAAGGTAAAAATGAGACTAAAGAAGATTAGAAAGGGCTATTTTCCAGTGAATCAATTCAGAGCGTGACTGTTCAATTTCATCTCCATTTTGAAGACAAACTCGAAAATGTAGTCCACAATAAAGAGATGTCAGTAATGCTCAGTGCAGCAACAATATTAAAGGGGAAGTTAAGGCAAAAATTAAAATTTCACCAGTTGTAGTCTTCGGGTGCTGAGTCGAATGGTCTTGGTCCGAGAAAGCTGAGACGCTCCCTTCCTACTTGAATCCCAATCGAACTCGCGCACTTCCACCGAAACTGGGTGACTGCGCCCTACTAGATGGGGATTTGTATTCAAAATGTCACTAAAAGCGCCATTTCGTTCTTATAAAAGCACGGATGACCGCGATTGGCCCATATGTTGTAGTCTTTTGGACGCTGAGTCCACTGGTTTTGGTCCGAAAAGGCTGCGATGCAGCGTTCCTCCTTTATTCCCAATCGAACATGGTTGAACAAGTGGTCACGTGCTCCTGCGTACACCAGTCAGCTGGTCACCGTGCCTGCAGGGTACAACTTACTAGCCTGTTTGACCTTTTTTGGGTGCAGTCCTGTCACTCGAGTTGAACTCGAGTTGAACCTTGGTGTGAAAGTTGTCGCCTGCTGGCGTGGTGACCAGGTGATTTGGGCACCCAGGAGCACGTGACCACTTGTTCAACCATGTTTGATTCGGAATAAAGGAGGAACGCTGCATCGCAGCCTTTTCGGACCAAAACCAGTCGACTCAGCGTCCAAAAGACTACAACATATGGGCCAATCGCGGTCATCCGTGCTTTTATAAGAACGAAATGGCGCTTTTAGTGACATTTTGCATACAAATCCCCATCTAGTAGGGCGCAGTCACCCAGTTTCGGTGGAAGTGCGCGAGTTCGATTGGGATTCAAGTAGGAAGGGAGCGTCTCAGCTTTCTCGGACCAAGACCATTCGACTCAACACCCCGACGACTACAACTGGTGAAATTTTAATTTTTGCCTTAACTTCCCCTTTAATGAAGTGTACAATCCAAAAGGCTCGAGGGGGGGGGGGGGGGATGCTGAACTGCAGGACATTCATGCCGGAGGGTTTAGAGACGAGATGGCTGCTGCAAAAGCGGACGGGACTTACTATCAACGGATGGATCCTCGCCATACACATCATCACCAACTTGTGCAGTCAGCATTGCCTGGCGCATCTCCGGTGTTGGTTCAGTGACCGTGTCAGATTTCAGATTCACGCTTCGTGATGACGATGCCGTGCTAGACATACAGCGCGAGTGCTGGTGACTGCAGCAACTGGTGTCGGCTGCGGTAATGGTGCGTTGGCCCCTGCCGACCACGTCTGCAGCATTGGCGGCCTTGCGCAGGGCCCTGTCCAGGCGGACGCACACGTGTGCGCATGTATAAAACCCACATGTGTATGGACACACACACACACACACACACACACACACACACACACACACACACACGTACACCATGACAGTCCACATCCAACTGTTTAAAATGTTCAGGAAATGGCATCATCCTTATCTTTGCAACAGTGCCGGCAAAACGCTGTGCAGAATATGTCATCTATGGTACAGGTGATGGAATTGCTGTTGTCCGCATGGCGAAAGGCAACCTATTGGATGCAATGTACAAAAAGAAGCTACCCTACCCTTCCTTCCCTGAAACAGTGAAAGAAAATAGGACATGCATGTATGATCAATACAGCACTATGCCTAGCTATGGCTGCTAGAAATTTTGACTTTTACAGCACACCGCTGCATGTACATTGTACATTGTACAATGTATTGTAGTACCGGTATTCAAATGCGAATTCAAATACAGTACAACTACAAGGGTGCCAAAATAATCTTGGCAGAAGTGAAGAACGGACCGAACTAATGGTAGTACCTTCCAAGAAGTCGACAAACCATTTGGCTGGATGGACTGGTTCTGTCCAAAGGGGCCAAGTCCAAAAGATCAAGACGAGAACAGCTAGGCCGTGCGAGCTTCGACAAATCCTTTCGTCGTTCTATTCGTCTTGCGAAGAAGCTTCAACAAAGCAGAGGTCACTTCCTTTTTTCGAAAAGTTTCAGTGGGTTCGAACCAGCCAGGGCCTAGCGCTAGCTAGGCTAGGGCGACTCCCTGGTTCGAACGTTACGTTCGATATCGATACACAGGCCAGGATCTAGGACCACAGCGCTAGCGGTACGCGGTGGTGTTTGATCCGGTTCTCACCATGTGGTACGCACGCCGCTCGTACTGTTTTCCCGCGGAATAACCGCAGACGCCACATGTACGTCATGTACGAGCACTCGAGCAGTCGACCAAAAATGACTGGCAACAAAGACCGCGTACCGCCGAACCGCGGCCGCCGCGCCGCGCGTTAGTAAAAAAACATGTGTTCAGTGCATGTCATGTGCACCAGACCTGGGACTGGGAGTACTAAAACTAAAAGCCCTGCTTTTAGTACTCCATTGTGAAGATCATGCATGTGCACCGGCCTACCACGGCAGGCGCACCAGACTGAACACACATCGTTGAGCTGGATCGATTTTTCTTTGCTCTTTTTCAAGTAACAGTTGTTATTGGTTTTTAGATGAAGAGGCATGTTCAGGTATTTGACTTTGTAAAGTAAACCTCAAAATACCCCAATAGCTGACTCGCTGCGGACATTGTCGTGCAGATCAAGCAGCAATGGAGGACGATGCACCCGTCATCTATGGCTTAGAATTCCAGGTATACATACCACTGTCTGCTGAAATATTCAGACGTTTGAGAATTGTATGCACTTGCTCGCTTCTCAAACCCATTTAGTTACGATCACTTAGCTGTAATTAGTTATATAGACGTGATATGTTCAAGAAAAATGTGGGTGTCCTGGGGAAATAAAGAGACAACGGATAGAGGTGAATCTCTCATCCGCACATTTTGAAATTCAATCAAAATTTTGAAATCTGATTGTCACAAACACATCACTGATTTTCCCAACACGCCGAAAATGTATCCATAAATGTTGAGTATTTTGTGTACGTAACAGCCTGCAGGACTGTCTGCTTGGCGAAAGAATCGCATCGATCTACGAATGAAAGGTTTTGACAAGTGCCTTCTTTTACATGCCACGTGAAATCTTGCTATGTGTGTTTGAGTGATTTTGATTTCGAAAAACGTAGATCTACGCACCAAATACAGTAGATAGGTTTCTGCCCTGAGCAGCTGGCACACTGAAATATCACTATAATTCACTTGCTCCTCTCACTCATTAGTTTATGGCAAAGTTGCAAACGGGAAAATTCTAAAGAAAAAATTGATTGTCATCACCAGGACTCGAACCAGGGACCCTCGCTTATGGCCAGCTGTGCTCTGCCACTGCTTCTCTTAGGGCGCGCTCACACTGCGACCAAAACCAGCGGCCATGCGGCCAAGTTACATGGCAACGGCATGAACTTGACCAAAACGTCGCGACCTCCGGAGGGGGGTGCCTCGACTTGGCGGCAACATGATCGTAGACGTGAAGCGTATTTGTGTACAACCTGGCCTGAAGTATGTTCAATTTCTCAAATTCCGGTGTGTTGATTCATGAAACTCGGCGGTTGTCGATGTCATCCTCGACATTTGCACATTTTTAAAATTTTGTAGTTTTGGTCCTGCACGCACGCACCGCCATATATGCATTCTTTGCCCTTTTTGGACGATGTCAATTTTGTTTTTGTTTTTGTAGTTGCTTCCTTGTCAGTTGATCGGGTCAGTGACCAATTTCTTCAGTGTACTCGTTCAATACGGTATTGATTATTACGATGGCAGCTTGGTCTGGCTTTTCGGTTTGGGAAATCATCCTTCTCTACTTTTCTGCGATGATGGAATGCCATACCTCAAGACATTTCAGTTACATATCATCGGAAAATACAGTTCTCATCTCGGCAACAGACGAAAGAAACCACTACCGGAATTTCCACTGCACTGGCACTTGCTCTGACCACGAGGTCAGGAAAGCGAAAGCGCTTGGATGTCAGCGGCAGTCCCTCAAGAGTCCAAACCTACCTTATTGTATGAATTATTTTCATCGACTTCAAGAATACGAGCCACGAGGCACTTCCTCCAACATACAACATGCGAAAAATTACATCCAAAACGGGCCACAACTTTATTAGGAAACGCACGAACTCTTTTGGATACGAACTGCAATTCGTTAAGTTGATGTGACAACTTCACGTCTACGCGTGTACGAGGCCTAATGTGAGCACGACTGCCACGTTTCTGCGTTTTGCTGACGCATAGACGCGTGCTCATGGTCGCAGTGTGAGCGCGCCCTTACGTTAGAATTTTCAATTTCTTTGATCGTCACTATCCGCAATGACAATAACTTTTAAAACAAAACTGAGCCATGCACAGGTCGTAGTGAAGGTTGAAGTTCCACTGTAAGAGAAGCAAGTGTGCTGTACTGCTACTGCAAGACATGTCATTATAGCGAGTCCCAAATTTAACGATTGTCCCGAATTCATAGATTAACGGGAACATACGTTAGCGATCTTGCGGTCTTCAGGCATATCCACGCGTAACGCATAATGAGGCATTACAGCCTCAACAGAACTTGTTCAGACTTCTACGCCTCTTGAACCCAATCTTTGTCTTCCATTAGACATTACAGTAACTTACTGTTTCATACAACGATGTTTATTTTCGGGGACCCCTTGATTTATGCGTCTGCCGTTGAGGAATCGCTCAAATAATAATTATTCCCGTAGCTATGCAGAAGACGTTACTTCAGTAACGTCTGGCGCTAGCCAGGGTCCACACAGCTTTAATTTGGTGTTTGTGTGTTTGTTTGTTTGTGTCACGCCTGGCGCTATCCGTATCTGACGGCAAAAAAGCATAGGATGTTATAAATTTTTCAATTCTCCTTTTTTTCAGGCATATCCTGGGATTCGAACCCGCACTATCGCCCTACATGCATTCCCCCATACACTTCGCATTCATACCCATTCTTCCAAGTTGCTTTACGTTATTATCTTGCGTTTGAAAGCCCTATTTGAATATTGCGGGCAGCTGTATGTGGCCAGCTGTGTTTGATGGTACGGTACGGTACGGGAGACGGTGTCGTATTACCCTCGATCGTACCTGTCCCGTCCCTATCCCCTACCGTACCGTGCCATCAAAGACGGCTGGCCACAATGCATATTCAAATAGGGCTTTCAAATGCAAGATCACAATGTGAAACAACTTGGAAGAATTAGTATGTATGCGAAGTGTATCGGGGAATGCATGCAGGGCGCGCGATAGTGCGGGTTCGAATCCCAGGTTATGTGTTTAAAAAGAAAAGGAATTTTTTAAAGAATTTATAACATCCCTATGCTTTTTTTTGTCTAGGTCATCAAGGCAAAAAAGCATAGTGTAGGGCCCTGAGCTTCCAAGCTCTCTCGTTTATTTCATTTGACCAAATGCACGATTATACCCTTTTTTATGAACTCAACACTCACAGACCCACAGTGTAATGCCTTCATGTTACTTCTTATCACTCTGTTAACCCTGCACAGGGCCGCGCTGTTGCGGCACGTGCTGGTGAGACCGACTCGATCTTCTTCCTGGTCGGGACGCAGAGCTTGAAGCATGACAACCAGGTGCGTGGGTGTGTGTGTGTATGTGTGTTCTTGAATCTTGTTATTGTTCTCTTTGTACTGGGGAGGGCAATTGATGAACACCTATTGAAAGCCTTGATCTTTGTTGTATTGTTCTGATGGGTATTACCATCCTACTAGTATTTTTGTCTGTTCACTTGAATTTGGCCAGGTTTGCGTTTCTGATGAATCACTGTTCTTCTCTCTCTCTCTCTCTCTCTCTCTCTCTCTCTCTCTCTCTCTCTCTCTCTCTCTCTCTCTCTCTCTCTCTCTCTCTCTCTCTCTCTCTCTCTCTCTCTCTCTCTATCTCTCTCTCTCTATCTCTCTCTCTCTCTCTCTCTCTCGCTCTCGCTCTCTCTCGTGTGTGTGTTTGTGTGTATGTGTGCGCAAGCATGTACGTCTGTGTGTGTGTTTGTGCGGGTGTGTATGTGTATTTGTGCATGTGTGGGTGTTTAGTTACATGTCCTAGAGTTTGATGACGAGAGCAATTACATAGAGAAGCAGATCTTCTCCCATCTTGCTGGAGAAATCAAGTAAGTGCTGGCGTATGGACGTATGAGCACATGCATGCAACGTGTTGTAACATGAAACGCTGCAACTGCTGCTTGGAGTTTGTCTGGTCATAGCTGCATGGTTTAAATATACCGTAAAAGTCCGTAAATAAGTACCTGCCCGAAAGAAATACCCCCTTCATTCTTTTGGCTCCGTCTGTTGAAGTCAAGTCAAGCCCGATAATCATACTGCCCGAAGTAGGTGCCGGTACGATGCGCACATGCAGTGTGTAGCATGTATATCTATTATGAAAATGACTTCTCCACTACACACAAGTCAGGTCCGAAAGTTAGTTCGTGCCCGAAAGTCAGTACCCGCCCGAAAGTCAGTACGGGTGTGGTCACTAAATTCGAAAGTAAATACGTACTTATTTACGGACTTTTACGGTATTCCAATAAGGACCGTTTGCTTCGCTTTCTGTTCCTTTGCTCGCAAGTTGCTGGGCCCTGATTCAGCTGTGTCGCCAGTTGATTTGCTGGAGTTTTGTACATGTTCTGTGCACAGTCATATCAGTACGAGTGTGGCCGATAAGGATTTGCTGGCAACCTGTCACTCTGCAGGTCAGTACCACCTGTTTTCTGCTGGTGTCTTGCCTTTTTGTTCAGTGCTTGTGCTTGAGTATTTTTGATGAGGATTCCATGGTTGTTTTGTGTCAGGTTTCATGAGTGAGTTTACTTTGATTTCTTGGATGTGTGTGTGTGTGTATGTATGCGTGATTGTGTGTGTGTGTGTGCGTGCGCGCGTGTGTGTGCGTGTTTGTGGGTGTGTGTGTGTGTATATGTGTGTTTACAGTTGTCGAGAACAAAGTGAAGAGCGGTGCTACGGTGTGGCGTCTGCCCAGTGGCACACCGTCCACTCTGGCTCTGGACCTGAACAGCAGCGGATCTCAGATTGGCTCAGGCACGTTACCGGAGCTGGAGCGTGTCGCGGAGCTAGGTGGTCATGATGGTGTCGTGAGAGGGTAAATACGGAAATAACTCGCTGGTGATTGGTGCTGTCGATAAATTAGTGGTAGTTGTGCCGTTTACAGCAAGCTCATGAGGGGACTAGTACCGTAACGTACTGCGAGAGCGCTGTCTTTTTCCATCGTTTGCCTTTCTGGTTGATGGTATTGCCCGTCGTCGCTACACGGTGAAAACATGACACGTTTTCTTCTGCTCCATTTTTCTCTTTGTCCGCTCTAGGACGCAGTGGCACCCAGGTGGTAATGGCAGTCGACTTGTCTCCGTTGATCACAAGAACTTGCGAGTGTGGGACCTGAAAGCCTCCAGCGGGTCTGCAAAGGTGAGAGAATGCCAAATGGTCGGTGCTTTGGGCGAAGAGCAGGGCCAGTGACATCACTGCTTCCATGGGCGTACTTGCCTCTGGAGCTCTGGAGTTTCTCTGCGTACTGGAGTATGGTGCATGCAGCTATCACTGCATTTAGTCGGACCGTGCTCTAAATCCTGGTACTAGCCAGCAAACTCAACACCTCTGTTTGTCTCTCTCTCTCTCTCTCCCTCTCTCTCTCTCTCGCTCTCGCTCTCTCTCTCTCTCGCTCTCTCTCCCTCCCCCCCCTCCCTCTCTCTCTCTCTCTCTCTCTCTCTCTCTCGCTCTCTCGCTCTCTCTCCCTCCCCCCCCCTCCCTCTCTCTCGCTCTCTCTGTGTCTCTGTCTCTCTCTCCCTCTCTCTCTCTCTCTCTCCCTCTCTCTCTCTCGCTATCTCTGTGTCTCTGTCTCTCTCTCCCTCTCTCTCTCTCTCCCTCTCTCTCTCTCCCTCTTCAGCAAGTGAGCTGTGCAACACTGGATGTTCGTCCAACGTTCTCCAGTGTGCGCTGGAACCCACACTTCAACTGCTCGCAGGTTGGCACTGCGGTCGACTCTGGCGTGCAGGGCTGGGACTTACGATCGATGAAGTAAGTGCCGTACAGGTTGCTTGCTAGCGTATCTAACATATAGCTGTGAGCCTATACAGTTTTCTTGTGCAGCTCTTTCAAAGTACAGTGCTGCTTAATGAAATCCGGTTGCGTGAGTCAGGTTTGCGCCTTGCACCCTTTCGCAGGTCTAGGGCTGCGCATTGCGCAACGCCTGGCGCGTACATGTACTTTAAGCGACTGGACTGGATTTCATGGAGCAGCACGGTGCACATGTGGATCTGACTCTAAATGTGTTACATGGAGTGATTGGTCACTGATGTATTGCTGCGACATGGTGTGACATGCGTTTTTTTGCAAACAGCGCCGGTCACTGCACAACGGCATCAAGCCGTTCGGCATATTCGCCGTGCTATCTTGCACAGACACCAGCTTATTGCTTGTTTTCTCGTTCAGCTGTTCGCGTACGAGTGATTCAGTTTATGCCGGTGGCCCTATTGTGGAGTGTACTCCATAGTCCATATAGTGTACGTCCAAGCTTGTATGATATTACTGCAAAGTACCACGAGATCGCCCCACCATCCCGTCCTTTCGTGGCCGTTTTGTGGATGTGGTCTCCTGTCTGTAGGTCATACGGCACGGACCTTGTACACATATTGCGCTGTGCAGTCAATCCATCCCTTTGAGTGGACACACGCTCCGTGTAAAAACCTGCTGAGTGTGACCTTAGGCTTAGTACACTAATGTTCTCACGCCGTACAAACTTCGTTGCACTCTGCCATACGATTTTCCTTTCTCTGGCTGTAAAATCAAGGTGGGGCGCTCTCGCGAGACGGGGCGCTCTGGCGATGCTTTACAGTACATGCTATGCAGCATCTTCTGGATTGTCCATTTGCGCTGGTGACCTGGTTTTAACCTCTTTTTTTGGTGTTCACAGGACCGCGTTCAGCATTGAAAATGCTCATGGTCAGCTTGTGCGAGATTTGGATTTCAACCCGAACAGGCAGTACTACATGGCAACGTGCGGTGATGACTGCCTGGTGAAGTTCTGGGACCAGCGCAAGATCGACGCGCCTCTCAAGATCTGCCAGAGCCACTCCCACTGGTATGGGGCTGCTGTACTTGTGTGTGTGTGTGTGTGTGTGTTTATTTATATATTTCTGCACCTCGTAGCATGTCAAGACAGCCGATTGAATTGAGAAGAGGGTGAGACCAACCACGGAAGAAGAGAAGAAGAAAAAACACGTACACAAAAGGGGTGTGTTGGTGGGTGGGTGTGTTGTATCTTCATGCATTTTTGCGCGCCATCTTGTGCATATCAGGGAGTCATACCAAAAACAGTTTGTGTACGACTCCGTGATATGCACATGCAGCATTGGTGTATTTATACTTGCTATGTAGCAACACCGACCCTACAATGTAGTAACCGAATCATGCGAATGCTTGCAGGATAATCAACAATTGATGGAGGCTATCACGATGGAGTAACAAAAATCCAAACAGCAACACCACCAAACCCTTGTGTCAGCATTTTTACGAAGCTACGAACAGCTGAGGTTCTATGGTGTAATGGTTAGCACTCTGGACTCTGAATCCAGCGATCCGAGTTCAAATCTCGGTAGAACCTGATTTTTTTATATATTTTTTTATTTTTTCCGGGTCAATCTTTGCAATAGCCCCGAGTGAACCATCGCCCTTTGAAAGTCACAACTGACAATTACTCTTTTGTTGTTAGTTCCTCATGTTGGCAAGAAATGTTACAAATTTGTAATCGATGGTCGTGGAAGGCACCTAGGAAGATGTACTAGTACTGAAGCAGAAAGACGACACTATGCGCCATCGCTACATAAGCATATCAGGGAGTCGTCCGCAGACTGTTTTCGGTATGACTCCCTGATGCACAAGAAGGTGCGCAAAAATGCACGAAGGTACAACACATCCACACACACACACACACCAACGCACGCACCTGGCACCACCAAATGATGCATGAACAACTCTTCAGTCCCTCTCCTTGTGGTGTACAGTGGTACACTTGACCGAAACTCTTTCTCACCGGTGGTTTTACCGGTAGGTTTTCTTGAGCAGTGTTTCTGCCACTTGCCTTTCATCCCATCCAACCTTCCAGGAAACTCCCCTGATAAGTACACACATCCGTTTTCTTTTGGAGAATCCTTCGAGTAAAGTATGAATGAATGAAACCCTTGGGCATGGTCGGTGTTTTCTCTCAGGGTATGGTCGGTGCGATTCAACCCGTTTCATGATCAGCTTGTGACGAGCAGCAGCAGCGACAGCCGTGTCATCCTGCACGGCGTGCCGTCGCTCTCCTCCGAGCCCATCGCTTCGGCCGACGATGAGGAAGACCCGGACACCGAGAAGAGGTCAGTGCTCGGTGCTGCCTGTCTCTCTGCTGCTCTCCTTTGCATGTGTTGTCAGGGTCCGCCGCCATGTGTAACGTGTACCGGCTGTGTTGACTGCTGCAGCTGTGATTGTCACATTGTGTTGTGTGGCTGATGCTGCTGTTGACAATGCCCACGTAAAATAATAAAAATTCATTGCAAGACGAGATAGTGGTAGCGACTTTGGCGATGGTTTTATAAGAAAGTGTCAAGTCGGCGGGAAAGCGCGAGCTCCGGTGAGGGGAGCGAACACCTTTCTTACAATACAAAAATACGCTGCTCTCTTCCTGTGTTATGCCCATATCCAGGGACCAGAAACCCCTCACCGATGGTGAGCTAAGCCGCTACGAAGAGCACGAGGACAGCGTGTACGCGGCAGAGTGGAGCGCGGCTGACCCGTGGGTGTTTGCGTCGCTCTCCTATGATGGTCGGCTGGTAATCAACCGTGTGCCGCGCAACACCAAGTATCAAATCCTGCTATGAGCGTGATGTAATAGTCCGCGCAACACCAAGTATCAAATCCTGCTATGAGCTATGTGACGTAATATGCCGCTCCACGGCTGAGGATTTTTTGATGAATTGCTGGTGTGTATAGCTGTTGGACCAGCATAGCACTAGTAATTCCGGCAGCAGGCCGTAGAACTGCACTTGTCTGTTGTGCGATAGTGCATTGTTTGTTTCATGTGTATGTGCGTTGTTCGTTTGTGTATTGCTTGCTTGTTTTGTGTTTGTTTGCGTGTTTGCTTGTACATACTGGTAGTTGTTTGACGATTTACTTTACTAAAGTTAAGTGCGCTGCTCCGCCTCTGCTGCTGCTGCTGCTACCGTATACATAGCGCTTGTAAATTGCCTCTCTCCTTGCTACACATACCGATCCATTGGCACTGCCTTCACGCCAACCCATTCACCCATTGCTCCCATGCACCCCTGCTAACCCATGCCTGCTAGTTCTGATGTCGGTTATGCCAGGAAGTACCCGTACTAGCTTCCTGGCTTATGATGAGTATTGAGTATGTTCTATTTTTCGATCCGGTTCTATATTTTATTGATGATTTTATTCGCTGTAGAATTTTTTTTAACATGCTATTCTGTACCGTGAGCCCAGGGCACTTCACGCTGTACTCTGTGACTAGACAGACGAAGAAATTAATGTCCTGATCCAGTTACACCATGGCTGTTCAATAGTGTTGAAGGCTGATTATCATCTCATTGGGCTCCACTGCATATGGCATGTACTATAATTATATAGTATGCATATCAGGTCCTGGCCATGGCATCGACTCAGGTCCTGGCCATGGCATCGAATTTTTTTGGTGTGCACCTTAAATTACATGTTATACAGTACTCGGAAATTTACTTCTGCTGACATGCACCGCACAACAAGACCAATGTTACAAGACGGTGCAAGTACAGTTAAACATGTGTTTTGAGGCCACCCGTCTTATGAGACCGGCGGTCAATTCAGGAGCCAGGCCATGTTGCAACATACAACCATTCGAACATGTGCGTTTTGAGACCACCTGCCGTTGCTTCGTAGGTATCCTGTTCACCAGAGATGGGCCAGTTGCCAAGCACAGATTGTTACAATAGGGAATTTTTCAGCATGCAATTGCACCAGCTGTGAAAATAATTGCTTTGAACAGAAGGAAATGGCACATAATGAACTGCATTGTACTTCAAGAACAAAGAGGTAAAGAGTAGGCAAAACCTGATAACCTAAATTAGCGGTCCAATTCCTATTGAAGCCACACACACCGTTGGTTGCAATGTGCGTGTGTGTTTACGCACTCTTGTTGTTCGCGCAGCTTATGTACAGGATGCGTGACGTCCAGGAGCAAATGTTATTCTAGTGGTATGTGCTCGTCAGGAAGACCTCTCCTGGTACAGTGCCGGCCAGAGAAATCCAACCTCGTGAATAAAACAGCACCGGGCGCTATGCAGCCCCAGCACTATAATTATATGTATATGCTCTCGAACGCGGCGCTATTTTATTCATCAGGTTGGATTTCTCTGGCCAGCACTGTACTTGCATGGCTCACATACACACCGCCAGTACTTGCATGACTCGCTTTCGCACAGGGGATCGGGAGTGAGGTCATGCGTGCATTAGCGAGTGATAACGTCCAGATGGCCATTGTCGAATCTAAGCACGGCCACAGACACTCAACACTAGGCGGTGAGGTCCAGAGTACCAGTAGCTGTTAGATATCACCGTCGCTATCCGAGTCGGACGACATCGGCGGTACTATTTGATGAAACGAGACCGGATTGGAGCTGCTGAAATGACTGCCACGGTGAGTGCCATTGTTGCTACGCGTCGGGTCGATTAGCAGCTTCTTGGAGCCGCCACCGTTGAAGCGATCGCGCCACACGTTCCGGCGTTTCATCATCTGATAGTGGCGTACCACCGCTCCGCTGAGCAGGCCCCCGAAGGACATGGCCAGCACGACCAGGAAGATCACCACCGCCCGGTTTCCCAGGATCTTCACGTACTCTGCAGGTCGAGTGACAACAACGCACATGGGGACACAAAGAGAGAAAACACTGCATTGGGAAGATCCCACACAAACATGTGTAAACGTGTGTGGGTTACGGGTCGGGTGGGTGTGCTGCGGTCACGTGACTGGCAAGTGAAATTCCCTCATATGTAATTTACACCGTTAGAGCCGGTCAGGGCAATTCGAGCGAGTCCTCAATGCAGCTGAGTGTGCAGAGCGGCAAACACTAACACAGGAGATCAGCAGTTATTCAGTGTCCTGTAAGTCCAAGTTTAGCAAACCAGTTGATCATTAGACAGCACGCAGGCTGATGATCAACTACAATGCAGTGTGGCGTGGAACTTGGACTTACAGCACACACAGCCCCTCATCTCCTGTATGTGCATACTTCGGTGAAGTCATAGTCAACATGACATTGTACGATGCCCTGCCTCTCCAATCACATGGCTGGCTGCTGAAAGCGGTGCTGCATTACTATGATCCAATAGGGCGGGTTTCACTGGCCAAGAATGTTGTAAAACAAAACAAAACAAATTCGACGGGTTCGCGTACCGGGCAGGTCAAGAACAAGGAGTCGTACAACTCCCTGGTCAAGAACCACCTTTCCGCTGCCCGATCAGGTGTCAGATGCGGCTCCTAAACGGAATGAATGAATGATGAATGATGTGATACTGGAAAATCTCTCACCTGCAGTGGCGTTAAGGGACTGGGCATTTGTCGTCGTCACTGTACACAATGGCAACCAAGCAGACACAAACACCGAGAGAGAGACACACCAGCTACAGTTATACAATCATGTAGAAAGAAGGTGACAGGGGCAATAAGTCATTTCGTCAGGATCCCTTCCTTGCCCCCTATCTCATTCGCCTCCCTGGCCTGGCCTTTCGAATGGGGAAAAAAGAAAAAAAATCAGGTTCTACCGAGATTTGAACTCGGATCGCTGGATTCAGAGTCCAGAGTGCTAACCATTACACCATAGAACCCTGTACGATGCCATTCCCTCAGATATTGAAATTGGGTAAAATGAGAAAGCGTCCAAATTACCAGACTGCAGCACATGCACTAGATCACATCCCGGCAGCGGGATTACACTAAAACCTGCCAAGGCGACCACACACCCGCGACCACATGTCCCGAGGACCACTGAATCCAGGTCCGGCAGGAATATCATTTCCAGTCAAATAACCCTGGATAAGAAGTCCATCTGTAAACAGCAACTGCTTTTTTCTCTTCCTTTTTTGAAGGACCCGTGAGAGATCGGCTTGGGCAGGTTCCACTGTATCAGCAAGCTCCCAGGGTAGAGTTGTTGCATGCCTGTATCTGTATTTCACTCTCAGTACTATGCTTGCCCTGACCCCCCCCCCCCCTGACCCCCCCCCCCCTGACCCCCCCTGACCCCCCCTGACCCCCCCCCCCCCCATCTGTATTTCACTCTCAGTACTATGCTTGCCCTGACCCCCCCCCCCCCCTGACCCCCCCCCCCCCCCTGACCCCCCCTGACCCCCCCTGACCCCCCCCCCCCATCTGTATTTCACTCTCAGTACTATGCTTGCCCTGACCCAACTTCAATACAGTGAAACCTGGCTAAGACGACCGCTCAAGGGACCTTCAAAGTGTGGTCTCTGTTACCAGGTGGTCTCCTTATCCAGGGTCATTTGACTGGAAATGGCATCCTTGGTCCTGGAGTCGCAGTGGTCTTCTTAGACAGGTGGTCGCCTTATCCAGGTGGTCGCCTTGACAGGTTTAGTGGAATCTGAAAAGATAAGCAGGGTTCTATGGTGTAATGGTTAGCACTCTGGACTCTGAATCCAGCGATCCGAGTTCAAATCTCGGTAGAACCTGACTTTTTTTGTCCCGTGATTCTGCAATACCCCTGAAACCATGGTCATTGAACCTCAGTTCTATAACTTATTAATTTTATTTTATTTTTTGACCTGAGCATTTTTGTCCATAATTTTCGAATTATAGTGTCCGGCCAATGAGAATTTGATCAGAACCTCTACTATAAGCGGACTTTCGTCTCACTATTCGAACTCTCATCGAGTCAGCCCTCGCCTTGTAAGCACGCCCTATTTGATCAAAGCATGGGTCGAACTGTCACGTGCTCTCCAAATGCTACAGTCATGGCACCGTGACGCACCATACCCACAGAGAAGTGCCACATTTTTGTTAGCAGATCAATGCAGTCCAAGTCCACCGCAAAGTACTTGTACTCTTATCTTGGAGGCAGCTGGGCGGTGATATTTCTGGGCTGAACTGGCCATCAAGTTTTCTCGGTCGCGGGCCACCAGCACTCCAAAAGAAGTTAGAGAGCACACTTTTCTCCAGACATTCACCGACAAAACTTCGTGTCCATCTAGAAAATGCTGTATAAGAACCCTTAAAATTTGTCCCATTAGGCCTGCCACTTCAAGTCTGACCAATGTATGTATGTATGTATAACTCATAATCACAAGGTGATCGTAGAGGCATTAATCAGCGAGAGAATTGTGAATGATGTCTCTGAATCCAACTCTATCGTGTGACCAATATCTACCAAATATATTTCAACAATGTGTCAACGGTACCTGCAATGTTCTGAGTGGCAATTTCTTGAGGCCTTTCCTTAGCCGGTGGCCGAACATCAGGTTTCGGAGGAGTTGCGGCAGCTGGCTGTGTCTTAGGTACAGCTGATGCCGGGGCTGGCGGGTTCACCTCGGGCTGTGGAAGAGCTGCCGCTGGTGGTCTTCGTGCAATGGTTGCAGGAGCTGGCGGATTTACCTCAGGCTGCGGAGAAGCCGCTACAGGTGGCTGTGTCTTGGGTGCAGTGGGTGCAGTGGGTACAGGCGTTGGAGGCTCTGGCTGTGGAGGAACTGCTGCCGGTGGTGGTGTGCTGGGTTCAGCAGCAGCTGCAGGAGCTGGCGGGTCGGTCTTGGGTTGTGGAGGAACCGTTGAAGGTGCGGCTGTAACAGGCATCACCACCGGAGCTGCAGGCGGCTGGTGCCGGGTTGGAGGTACGTGTGCTTCAGTCTCGGGTGGACCAGGCGTCACAACTTTAGGATGCGTTCTAGCTGGTTGTGCTATGGTAGTGGCCCGGTGCTCGGTTGGCGGAGTCGTCTTTGCAACTTCCATGACTGTTTCCGGCATGGAGCTGGTCTCTACGATCGCCACAGCGGCATCAGTACTCTCCGTTCGAGGACTGCCAGACAACTGTAATCGTGGCATTGTGCTATAGTCTAGGGCATCCAAACGGCCGGAGCAGCTCTTCGGCAAGCGGTCCACCGAGTCGGCACGCGCGTAGAACATCAGATAGAAGTTGCACATCTCCGCGTCGCGGGTCATCCTGCAGCGAAAAAGGGTATGTGGCAAAGTACAGGACGTACAGTGGCTAAATTTTGTGTTCCCATGTTCCCAAGACATTGACGGGGATCCAAAATTTGACTTTGATGCTTGCAAGATTGTGCGTTAGGCCGGCGGACATACACCAGCTAGTGTGCATACTGTAAGTCTAAAGCCCATTTCGGCCGCATCAAATTTCGGCCTCCCAGGGCTAAAACCCATTTCGGCCCATTCAAATTTGGGCCTCCCAGGGCTAAAACCCATTTCGGCCTATTCAATTTTCGGCCTCCCAGGGCTAACACCCATTTCGGCCGCATCAAATTTCGGCCTCCCAGGGCTAAAACCCATTTCGGCCGCATCAAATTTCGGCCTCCCAGGGCTAAAACCCATTTCGACCTATTCAAATTTCGGCCTCCCAGGGCTAAAACCCATTTCGGCCGCATCAAATTTTGGCCTCCCAGGGCTAAAACCCATTTCGGCCGCATCAAATTTCGGCCTCCCAGGGCTAAAACCCATTTCGGCCTCCCAGGGCTAAGGCCACACCGTTTTTTATCTATGTTTCGCGTCCCCGCGCGCATGTATTTCACAGCCGGAGTTCAAAAAAAAACGGAAAATTTTTTTTTTTTCGGAAAATGCAATACAAATTTAATGCAAACCCAGAAAACCGGAAAATTTAACTCAGCTCACACACATGTACATGACATGTGTGTGCAATAAGCTGGGCCGCAAGTCACAAAATCATCATGCTAAAACCCATTTCGGCCGCATCAAATTTTCGGCCTGTACTGCTGCCGCCTGTATACACTGTCACATTGAACCGTGCAAAACAAAATTTCAGCCGGAACAGATTTTCGGCCAAACATGACCAGGCCGAAAATAGCTGAAAATTAATATGCGCCAAATATTTGCTGACCTACACTGAGTATGCAACAGTTGACTGCAAATGTGCTTGGTCATATCCGCTTCCACCAGCAACTGGTACATGCCTGGGTTCTATGGTGTAATGGTTAGCACTCTGGACTCTGAATCCAGCGATCCGAGTTCAAATCTCGGTAGAACCTGACTTTTTTCTCCGTTTCCCCAGGAAAACTAAAATTGCCCAGTACGAGAATGGAATATTGAGGAGTGAAAACGCAACAACGCTTTGTCTTTTCTTCTCACGAGGTTTTTACGGTGCGTGCGACTATTTCTTCTATTTTGCTTTGGAGAGAAAGTGATAAGGAATGCCACAAACGCATGGTAGCCACAGCAGTCTGATTTTTATTCACTTTTCCATTGGATGCTCTAAAAAAAAAGAAAAAAGAAGAAGAAGAAGAAGAAGAAGAAGAAGAAGAAGAAGAAGAAGAAGATTCGCGGTCCGCGTGACACTCAGCTGGAGACCGAATTTTCCGCCTCCGCTGGGACGCCACCACCCTCAAAGATCAAGGCGCAGATGCAGCTCCTAAAGCGGTGGGAGGTGAGTAGATGAGACCCACCACCAAAGCGGTCAAAGACCGAAAATCCCATTCGCTGCATCCATCAAAAGAGTGAGGGATAAAACTCTTAACAAGAGGGCCGGAGGGGTGAATTAAAAAGAGCAAACTTGACAAACGGTCAGGATTCGCAAGCCTGTTGATCTGCAGACTGGTCAGAGCAGTGCTTTCCAACTCGGTGGAGGGTGTCACCTGTCAAGCAGCAGTGCTTGTCCTCCATCCCGCACATCCTAACCTAAATTGTATAGCCGATGGTAACGCGGATCTGTGAACTTTACTTGACTTTACACCTTAATAACCTACGAGCTTAGAAGTTGCGACTTCGGCGGTATTAGTCATGCTTTTAAATAACCTAGCTTTTTTTCAACATCTTTGCATATAGCAGAAGCCGAGCACCACCCTGTATGAAGAAGACATGGTGGTGGTGGTGTGTGTGTGTAGAAGGGGGCTCGGATGCACATGCAAACCATCGATAACTCCACCAAGCATCAGTCAACAAAGCCTATAATGTTTGCCGAGCCTAATAGAGAACGTGACGGTTCGTATAAAAGCATGTTAACTCACCCTATTGCCAAATCTGCTGTCTCGTCGCTGGTGTTGTACCTGCACCTTGCAGCCTACGAGGGAAAACAAACGGTAGTTGTAATATTACGACTACAAGTAAAGAAGGACCGTGCGTTGCAGTCTAGCAGGTTAAGATATGCCATGCAGCAAGCAACCGCTACGAGCACGGCAAGTCAGCAAGAGAACACATCACTGTGACTTGTACATGCTCATGTACAATCGCACTACGCGTCATCCAACCCAAAAGAGAACAGTTCCTGCTACATCACTGTACTGTAAAAGCAGAAATTTTCGGTGGTGTAATATTTTCGGTATTCTCCAAAATCGGCGGTTCGGTGGAGGGAAATTTTCCATAAAACCCGTTTTCCAGGGAAGTGTACATGACGCACCGAAATTGATACTATATACATAGGCCTTATGCACATTGTACAGATGCACGAAATCCCGTATAATCTTGTAGAATCCCGTAGACCCGGTTGGGTGTTGAATGTGCAGGACCCTATTGTGTTTACTGCTATTTCCACTATGAAATGGGCCATGAAGGCATTTCATACGAAATCTTTTTCCGGCAGAGATCTAGCTAGTCGTTAGTTCAATCCCAAAGTGAAGAAGGCTTGAAAAGTGATCGTTTGCCATGAATTGTGAGGCTAAATGGGTCAAACGCGCATGTATAGCACACAATGAACACCCAACCGGGTATGTACACACCTACGGCCATAGTACAGAACTTCGTACATCTGTACAATGTGCATAAGGACTATTGTATACAGTATCAATTTCGGTGCGTTTTATTTTCGGTAAAAATTGTCGGCAACGAAATAACCGAAAATAAAACGCCACCAAAATTTCTGCTTTTGCAGTATTTGTACATGTGAAGTCCAGCAGCATTTGCACCACTTCCAGCACATCAAGGGATGTGCAAGTTAGGGGCACAAAATACGCACTTTAGGTCGGTTTATATACCACCTAACAGTCAATCTGCGGACAGAACTGTTTCGTCCTTTGTGGACTCATCAGCGCAGCACAGAGGAAATGAGGCCACCTAACAGCCATAGCTATCACAGCACTGAGACTACGGTAGAGATCTCGAGCTCGCGGCCCGGTTGATGGCTTGCTGACTCCGCATCACCCCTACGGTACAGATATGGCTACAAACTACACTGTCTACAGTCAAGACAGCAGCACTGCACGCATGCAGCATGGACACAGTGCTGGTAGATATCACGTGACTCACAATGACATCACCGGACTGGACTACGGTATATACCACAGATGTATCATGTACGGGATAGAAGGCACTACACTGTCTACAGTCAACACAGCACTACGCCCATGGACACAGTGCTGCTGGTAGATATACTCACAATGACATCGCCGGGCTGGACCACCACAGATGTATCCTGTACGGGATAGAAGGCCTGCACGGCAAGATAGAACACACAGTGAACAAAACACTGGTCAGATTGTTAGCCATGCCCACAACATGTCTTGCCCGGAAACTCAATGCTACATGCTCAAAACAACCTTGAGATCATGTGTTTGATGCAACACAATGTCCCTCATGGATTGCGCAATAATGCGAGCACTGCGTTTGCGCTCAAAGTCCGCTGAGGAAATTCGGCGGATAACGGCTGCTGACAGATCTATAGGGAAGCGCACAAACGCTTAGCCTCAGTGCCTCACCGGGTGCTCAGCTAGTACCCCTACCAGTGCACTTCTGACGAAATGCTCTGCACTGCAGACATCATGCATGATGTCATCATGATGTCATCAGTCTTACCTGCGGCTGCCGTGGATCACGGGTGCCCAGCAGCGACCAGCTGCCCGTCCGGTCTACTTTGAATGCTGAGACTTGCTGTCCTGTACACACGTACACACATACATACATACACACATATAGGCCCACACATACACACACGCCACGTGACACACAGACACCACACAACACACAGCCCGTACACCTCAGACCTGCCCATTGCGGAAGCAATGATAGCGAACAGCTATGTTAGACATAGCAACTTGTGCTGGGATTGCACCATTCAACAGCTTGCAAGGCTGATGAATTGACCGCCACTATTAATTTTTTAGCCTGGTATCCACCACACAGCAGATAGAAGTGACTTTTCTGGCCAGTAAATCCCTATTTTTCATTTTTCCATTTTTCATTTTCTTTCTTTTTCGACACACACACACACACACCACACCACATCACATACTCTGGCAGCCACTGGCTGTTGGTAACCACCTAGTAGAATGAAAGAAGAGTTAGAAGAATGAGAAAGAGAAGAAAGACGTGTGCGACCATAATCGTCTGGAATTGAACCCGCAACCTCTCGCTTGGAAACCGACTGCACCATACGGGACACGCACACATACACACAGATGCGAATAATACAAAAACAAATCGCCAACATAATGAGCACAGCAACACATCAGCAGCAGCAGCAGCAGCAGCAGCAGTGCCAACAAGTCACTGGGGCATCTCCATCGACCTGGAATACTGGCTTCGATGGTGCTACAGGCCACCAGAGTAGGGGGGGGGGGGGGGGGGGGAGCTTGTAACATTTGTGAGGAATTAACCCATGGCAGATTGAAACCAGTATATGTCACGTGGTGTGTCAGGGTGCTTGAGGTAGGTGAGTGGAGGGGGGGGGGGTGATGGGACTGGCACAGTACTTACCTTGACTATGGGGGGGGGGGGGGCACAGTGCTTACCTTGACTATGGGGGGGGGGGGGGGGGCACAGTGCTTGCCATGACTATTGGGGGGGGGGGGGGGGAGGAGACACAGTGCTTACCTTGACTATGGGGGGGGGGGGGGGCACAGTTTCTTACCATGACTATGGGCATGCACACGGAAGGCAATCGGATGCAGCGGCACATCTCCCGTATACCTGCAGGATATATCCCGGTTGTACTCTGCACAAACACAGCGAACACTGGCAATCACTGAACATGTCCGGGTGACCGCAGCAAGTTCTAACCGGGATACGTAATGATGTTTCTAACGCAGCCGCGATGAACTGACCTTGCTACTGCATGTGCACATCTGCGGCACAGCCGTGGCTTGTCAATAAAGTGGTTCAGTCATAGCTTTGTTATGTGACTACATTCGTGTAGAAAGTACAGTCAGACCGTGCGCTACCGTAATCTCGCGTAGAAAAGCAGGTGCTTGCGGCCGTATAACCCGATATCAGTGCTAGGATTCTATTCAAGTCAGGCTTCTATTCAAACCACGTATCTCTATGTATGTCAATTGTCAACACTAAACCAGGCTTATGTGCTGACAGTGTATCTTATAAATCAGGCTTCTATTCAAAACAGGCTTCTATACAAGACAGGCTTTTATACAAGACACTACAGTAGTTTATCTGGATCCCTCGCCATCCGGAAGAAAATCGTTGGTTACAGATTAACAGCATATGTCATGCATACATACAGTATGTGTGTTCAATTATCCGGTTCCCTCGCCTATCCGGATATTTTCGTGGGAAATGGACGTGTGCGGTTAAGCGACGTCTGACTGTATACATGGTACAGGCGGACAATGGAAGCGGCGGCACAGGCGACATCGTGCTTAGCTAGCTAGCAGTGTTACCTGACTGTCCAGCTGGGATATCACCGGTGTTCGACACCAGCAAGTAGATAGAGGAGAGATACTGCGGCCTGCACAACATAGAAGCAAAGCACATTCTCACGGCCATCAACTGTTGTGCACAGGTACAGTGAGCCTTGCAAATAGCGACCCTCGATTGTGCATGAGAAAAGCGTCGTTGCTCGTGAAGTTCACAGTGTGCAGTCAAATGGTCACTACGTGTCGGTATTCGAGAGTTGTTGTTATGCCCGGGGTCGTTATTCACGCGGTTGACTGTGCCGTATCTTCCGGATAAGCCGCATCCCCATTGCTTTTGCCACGAAATACAGACATCTATCCTATTTATCACCGTCAATTTGATCATCGGAGAATACGCCGCACCCCCCCCCCCCCTTTACTTTGGCGTGAATTTGAGTGTTGAAAGTGCGGCTTATACAAGCGCGTGCCCCGTATGGGTTCCTGGGTGCCCGGAACTCCCCCCCCCCCCCTTTTCCGCTGAAAATGTAGGATTTTGCTTCACTCAAATTTGTTGGAAATTTTCCCGGGGAGGCACCCCGGAGCCCCCCCCCCTTGAAGGGCACCGGCGCACGCACCTGTTATACTCCGGAAAATACGATACAAGCCAGACTTCGTTACATGTTGTAGAATATACTCGAAGTAACATGTAGAGCAGCACATCGCTCTCCCACAAACCGACCACACAAGCGGAATATCGTCCAAATCTTTCAATAAATTGTCCGCATAGGGGAAATGTACAGTTGTTAATGCATGCCTGTGCCGGGGAACAGACTTACCTCTGGCGCGTCAAGTGCACAGCCACTCCACTGTCATCACCAGCACCAGCCACTGTATAGACAAACAGAGACGGTTCAAACACCACCAGCATCAGTACAACTCTACACACAATCTTGTAGTGCCGCTGACAGTAGATTCTGTGTGTTCACTCTACACACAATATTGTAGTGCCGCTGACAGTAGATTCTGTGTGTTCACTCTACAGTAAAACCTGGTTTAAGCGACCACCCCACGGTGCAAGCAAAAGCGGTCGTTAAAGCCAGGTGGTCTTTAGAACCAGGTCCCACAGTGTCTGTGTAGAACTGTCGGTGCATGGAAAAACTGCGTTAAGAGCAGGTGGTCGCTAAACCCAGAGGTCGCTTACACCAGGTTTTACTGTACACTCAATTCGTGAACAATACTGTCTAGTTTGTTACATTGCTGTAAACCGTGAAATTATTGCGATGGTCTAATTTCTGCGAAATTCGCGACCGCGTGGAAATCGCGAAATTTAGACAGCGCGAAAAGGAGATCCATGAAAGGGTTAGCAAGAACGCCACAGGTTTAGCAAGAATGCCATTCTGCAATCGCAAAATTGAAACCTCGCAAACCTGTCCGGATTCTGAAAACGCGAACTAAAAACGCGGCGAAAGTTTCACTCTTTACAGTACTCTAAGTCAAAAACTATTCGGCGCATATTTATTCTCGGCTATTTTCGGCCTCATCCTATTTGGCCGAAAATTTGTTGCAGCCGAAATTTCGTTTTGCAAGGTTCAGTGTGACAGCGTATACAGGCAGCAGCAGTACAGGCCGAACATTTGTTGCAGCCGAAATGTGTTTTAGCCCTGGGAGGCCTGAATTTGAATGGGCCGAAAATTTGTGGACTTACAGTATTATAATGACATGACGGAAACCAGGGACTACCCTCAAAGAGACGAACAAGAAGACTGACAAAAGGACTATCGACTACAAAATCGCTCATGCTCATATCACACGTGCACGCAACTAGACAAAGACTGTTCGGGGAATGCCATCATACAGGAAAACAACACATCATTATACAACACACACGTGATGTCGCAGAAGTAACAGCTACCACCTGCAGTGCCGCACACCCTAAAACGCCATCAGTTCCGTGCCTGTGGCCAAGTTAAGTGGTAATACACTTTCTTATCTTCGAGCACATCATAACATCACATCAGTTCACGTGGGGCACACCGTCGATGTTGCAGAAACATCCAGCTGCGGCTGCAACTTGAGATTATTGCTGCCTTGACTGACCAATCTTGCGTGAACACGCATGTGTATTCATATATAGAGGTTGCATCATAGTAGACAAATGATGTGGAGATCTTGCTTCAGCCCTCCTTACAGTCGAACATGTGTGTGTCAACAAGAGCCAGACATTGCAAGCTTGCACGGTGCCAACACGCGCCAGGCACAAACTCATGGTGGTGAGTGGCCATGAGAGACGACAGTGCAGTGTTGTTGGACACCAGTTGCAGCCCAGAGGGCATGACGGGCCAGATACTATTTTTTTCTCTCACTGCGAAGAGCTGAAATGCTTGCAGCGAACGAGTCCTTGTCGCACAGCAGTTTAAAAGGCTACACAATTGGAGTACTACAGTAGTGCCCCACCGAATGATTAGTACTTCACATATTACACCTGGCGAGGTGGAGCCGCAGTTGCACATTAAAAAAATCAAAAAATCAGGTTCTACCGAGATTTGAACTCGGATCGCTGGATTCAGAGTCCAGAGTGCTAACCATTACACCATAGAACCATACATGTTCAGAATTTACGGATAACGATCTCTACAGCACACACAGACCGAAGCAGCACGCACCGCTACATAATCGAGCCCAGCGGGTAGCGGCTTTGATAGAGAATCAAAACTACACAATCTCTCTTGCGTACAAGGCTATGCCCTACATGGGTATTGAGCACTCTTCGGACAGTGAAGCAAACCACTTGACTACGAGAATCAAAACTATAAAGTAGGGAAAGAAAAGATTAAGATCGTGACGTACGTGGTACTGAGTCTGCGTTGCTATAGTGAACCCGTAGGACAAGATGGCGGGATGCGGTTGAGGGACCCACAGGCAAGCCAACACCTGCATGGAGATAGAAAGGCGCACATCCACCCGGCAAGAAAACACCGTAAAACAAATTAAATCAGAGCACACCTGAACTCGGCAGAGGTCAAGCACCGTAGCTGCTGGAGTGCGCAGAAGAGTATGATCAAGCATATGAGCACTGCATACTAGTGGAAGTGCCCTACCCTTACCCTGTCTTGCTATCTGGGAAATCCCCCCCCCCCCCCCCCCCACACACACCAAGTCCTTCTAGCTAACATGTAAGACCCAGAGATGCGCCGCACATGCGCAACTTGGTCCGGTTTCCATGGTTTCCAAGTCGCAAGCCGGGTGGCATATACAAGACGCGGATGAGGTAATGGTCGGTAGCACCATGGAAATTGAGGGAATGTCGGTAGCACCATAGCGTGCCATGATGCATGCTTACCTTGTGGAAGGTGGATGGTCGGCGCACCAGCTCCCCAGCTGAACATGACGCGGCGACCGGACGTGCACACATGCGTGCAGTCGTGCCTGCCGATAGAGAAGCACAGCGTACACGGAGTTCACTTCAGAGTCGGTCTAACTCTGGTGTAAGCGACCTCTGGTGTAAGCGACCTCTGGGTTTAGCGACCTCTGGGTTTAGCGACCTCTGGGTTTAGCGACCTCTGGGTTTAGCGACCTCTGGGTTTAGCGACCACCTGCTTTTATTAAGGACCGTTTTCTCCACGCACGGACAGTTCTACACATCAACTGCACCGGATACAGCGACCACCTGCCTTGCGCGACCAGCGACCGACTTTTAGTGTACCAAGTGCCATATTGGACCTGCACACAGCGACCAAAACTAACTTACCAAAAAGTGCCATCTTGGCTGTCAGGTTTGGCGGCAACAGGGTTGAAGTGCGCTCTGAAGCATGTGCATGCAGTCAACAGAAGTGACAAGTCGGACAGTGCAGGATGCGCTGCATGCACTTGAGTGAGGTGGGCTTTGCCTACCGTGACGAAAGTATTCTATGCTCCACACCTGTCAATATGAGAACATGGAAGTACAATCATGCACATGTATGCACACAATCCCTTACGCCACGAATGTATGGGACCTGGTTCTAAAGACCAAAGTATCCAAGATTCCACGAACAGCATTCTTATACTAACTGTTAGTAAACTCGTCAGCTCAGCTCGTCCTCCTAATTGCGATATTAAAATTGTTGTCTCCTCACAGAATATTGTTAGTACAGTGGAACTTGTCTAACACGACCGCTCAAGGGACCTTCAAAATGTGGTCTCTGTCATCAGGTGGTCGCCTTATCCAGGGTCAATTGACTGGAAATAGCACCCCTTAGTCCTGGTTACAGTGGGCTTCTAGGACAGGTGGTCGCCTTATCCGAGTGGTCGCCTTGACAGGTTTTACTGTACTTCGAAGTAGACTTAAATGTGTTTTCTTCTGCTAAAGTGCTCTGGCCCCCAGAGGCAGAAATTTGTGGACTCACAGTTAGGCCTTGGCGGATAATGCCGGCAGAAAAATTGGCAGAATTCAGTACTTTTCTGGTAAGTTTCATGCATGTTTGGTATGTGGATACTTGAAAGAAATGGAGCAGAATTCGAGGAAATGCCTGCCATAAGGTTTGTATGGTTCTGCCAATTTCACTGCTTTTCGAGCAGAATATGCCACCTTTTCGAGCATTATCCGCCATGGGCTACTCACAGTACATGGACCCCATACATTCGGACCTGGGAACACCAATTAGAAGCTTCACTGAAGCTATGTGACAGCTCGTGAGGAACGTCTCATCACAACACTGAATCACTTCAGCTCAGCGATCACCAGGCATAACCATCAACAAGAACTGAATAGGTATGCGTGCACGGCACAGCTTCCGTTTCACCGTGCAGCACGACCCCCTGCTGCGTGCGTGCATGCTCACGGAAAGCTCCCGGGCTTACCAGACTCCCATGACAAACGGCTCATTGCATGCGAACACCAGCATGTGGTCCACGGCTTGCCTTGCGCCGACCAGATCAAATCCAACTGTGATCACACAGAGCAGGCAGCCAACACCCAGTAATGTTTACATATGCCCAACACCCAGCAATGTTCACTGGGGCATCACACACGGTACAGTCACTACGGTATTGACCGTACCACTATTTGCCCCAAGTACCCCGTGAATCAATAAAATGCACTGATTTGGGCTCTAAATTTCCAATTTTTTTCGGCTCAGCCATCCCTTCCCCATGAGCAAATTGTACTTCACCGTACCACATTAAAATACCTTCCCACGCCCCTGGTTTACATATGTCCAACACAAGATTAGTGTACAGCTCCCTCCAAAGACGTTTAAAGACCAAATTAAATTCCGGGCTATCGGCAATTTGCCTAGCCTTCCTATATAGGTGATATCAATTATGCGCGAAATTGTTTACAGGATCGACGGACTGCCTATGATGTGAAAGTGAGGACGAATGCACTGGTAGTAGTAGACATACAGATAGTATACTAGTACATGCAGCTTGATGCCGCACATGGGACTAAGTATGGCTTGGCTCATTATGCTGGACGTTATCGGCCCTGCAGTACACGTACTGATTTGTTTTGACTTACCTATGTAGGAGTCGGAGGCTGGTAGCTCTATGGACTGGCAAACAGAGTCATCATCCTGAACACGGAAAACCAAGCAACAACCTTTAAATAAAATACAATGTGCAGACCCGCCAAGTAAAGGCTTGTCCTGGTGACCAGGACAATAGGAAGCGGTTTCTTATCGGTCCGGCCATGCCATTGCCCTTTCATACGTGTACGATATTAGAGGTACGATATTAGAGGTACATTTATTGTACAGTTTCTACATGTATAGTAAAACCTGGTTTAAGTGACCACCCTCAGTGACGGTGCAAGCAAAAGCGGTCGTTAAAGCCAGGTGGTCTTTAGAACCAGGTCCCACAGTGTCTGTGTAGAACTGTCGGTGCATGGAAAAACGGTCGTTAAGAGCAGGTGGTCGCTAAACCCAGAGGTCGCTTACGCCAGCTTTTACTGTAACCTCCTCAGCAGTAACTGCGGCATGCGTTGGGCAGACAACAAGTTGGTCCGCTGATGACCGGACCGACCTCACGTACTAGTCAGTTCCGGCGGGCCTGCACAATGCTGTGCATGTGACACAGCGCATGACTAGATACTGTGTATGAAGTACCTCGCTTAATATCCGGAAGAAAATCGCTGGTCACCGATTTACAGCATATCGGTCATGCATGCATACATACAGTACGTGTGTTCGATTATCCGGTTCCCTCGCCTGTCCGGATATTTTGTGGAAAACGGATGCGTGCGGTTAAGCGAGGTCTGACTGTATGTCACTCGGACGGCTTCACTATTCCAATTTCGGGCACAGAGAACTGGGACAGTGAGTTCAGGATTCGGAAGGTGGTACCGTCTTCCTATCACACCCTGGTTTCTCATCATTGTGTTGCTTTTGCCCGTAAAAGAGGCTGTTCTACCTACCGTTACCATGGTTACGGCTATGTGCATATTTACAGGTTTTTACGGCATCAGTCATGGCTCATGTGCTAGAATCATCATTGTGCAAGCCATTCGGACCACCGGCTCTGCGTATGCAGTCAGGCTCTCTGCTCGGTGGTAACCAAATACTAGGTCGCATGCACTGTCTAGCACTGAGCTACTGTGCGGTGACCGCGAGACCGGGGCACACATATCCGTGTTTCTTTCTCAACTTGCTGTATACAGTACCGTCTGGTGTCGGAGAACTTGCAGCTTAGCCCGTTCCTATCTTTCAAGTATAAATACATGTGTATACAGGTTTCCTGTACCTGGCAAAATTCTAGCCTGTTTGTTCTCCAATGCCTGGCAATACTCATCATCATGGAGCTTGTTTCAGGCTTGCAAATCAAGAATCAATGGCAAGATGGACAGGTAAATCGTGTTCCTGCCTCAGAGGCGTTTTCATACCCTCCCGCTCCCTCAGGGTCTCTTCCCTATGCATTGGACCTTCTTCAGATACCAGGCTAAGTACCACTACATTGTCATACGTGTATGTAGCTGTTCCCCCGACTGCCCACCAATGGACTCCAGTACAGTCAGACCTCGCTTATCCGGTCCTCTTTTTTTCGGATCCCTCGCCATCCGGAAGAAAATTGCTGGTTACCGATCACGGGTGTTTCGCAGTGGCCACTCGTCAAGATGGCGGCAAATCCGAGAGTACAAAAATTTCGACTCTGGCTATGTGCGCGGCGGATGCGAATCTCGCACGTGCATGCAAAATCTAGCCTTCTGGAGATCTGGGTAGAGCAAGTGTGTTGGAACGACGACCTTTTCCGAGAGAGAATGTGGCTCTTTTCATCCCAACATTTTACTCGCCACGCTCTCCCTCCCAGCTTATTGGTACGAGTATCTGCTACCGAGTAGAAGTCTCCATCTTCACAGCAGGCCAGGCAAAATCGCAACGTTGAAATACTTTGCTCACTTGGTTTTTTGGTCCTTTGAGGTGTTGATGTGGTTGGTGTGTACAACTCGAAGTGACAAACTTGAGACCCCCGCGCCACAAAAAACTAAGGCGCGCCACAAAGTTTCGTTTGGCTGTTCAATGAAAGGACGTATGGAAGCAGGGATAAAAACTATCGTGGCTGCCGGCAAAACTCCTAGTAATGTAATAAACGGGGATGTGACTTTGGTAATTCCAAGGAGAATGTACGCACGGCCATTCCACAACGAAGATCCGAACGCGTACGCATTTTGCGTACGGGGACGACTGGCCAGAGTTCATGCACTGCAACCACTGCAACCACCCGTGCGATGTGCAGCATATGTTACGCATACAACATAACCGGACCTCGCGATCCGCATACCGGTGCATGATTTTGTGTACAAACTGGTTAAAATGTGTACAAAAAGCTTCATCGTATCTGGTTGCATGTGGCTTGCAGAAGCTAGAATCAGGGGAGTTGTACAAGCAAATGAGGTCCTTGACCTGCTGGGTGCATGCGGACAGCACCCAGTTGCATGCACTTATCATTTTCTCGCTTGTTTTACATACTGTGCACGCTAGTTGTACTGCATAGCAGCTGTCTACATGTATGTACAATGTCACTGCTTTTGACATGCCACATGCATAATTATACAGTATGTGTGTTCAGTTACAGCATACATGATTCATCCAACATAACTGGTGTTCGGTTATCCGGTTCCCTCGCCTATCCGGATATTTTTTTGTGGAAAACAGATGTGTGCGGTTAAGCGAGGTCTGACTGTACTGTCGGTCGCCGAAACACTGGGGGTTAGCCTTGTAGCCGACATGTCATGTACACCGTTCTTATTCTCATGTACAGTCAACTTCGCTAATAACGACTGCGGATATAACGACAATTCGCGAATAACGACATAATTTTCATGCCCAGAGCAAAGTCCCATCCAACTGTGACACATATAATGAGACTTCGGGGATAATGACACTTCGTGAATAAGGACACTTTTCTGATGCCCCGCCGAGAGTCGTTATAAGCGAAGTTGACTGTACCACAGTCTACAGTACTGTCGATCGCCGAAGAACTGGGCGGGGAGGGGGGTCAGCCTCCTAGCCTAGACTGCTCCTATTTTCATGCATTACAGTCTATGCACAGTTGAGTCACCGTGTATACATTGGCATGCTGTGCTTGGTAAAGGGTCTAGCCTGGTCATTCTTCGGCGCTTCGTTCTTCGGCGCCCGACAGTACTGTACAAATTGGGCCTCAACAAATGTGGATCACAGGGTTTTCAGATTGGAGGTAAGGCTCGGTCGGTGGCAGGTGTTGAGTAAAACTTGTTGGCATCATGCCGACATACAGAAAAACATCAGAAATAATGCGAAAACTAGTTAGCGAAAACAAAATAGAAGTAATTTCATGATCGCCCTGCACATTTTTTGTTTCTCTACATTATTTTCACATGTTTTGCAATATTAAAAGCCGTTTCACATGTCGATTCAGCTCGTCCTTTTGTTCCCACTGATTTAGAAATAATGAATTTACTCATAACACAAAACCAGAAATACATGAACCCCTAGCCCCTAGCCCTGTGCAACACTACATGACTAGTATGTGTTGACTGCTGTTGTCCATCGCGTGCCTTGCTTCGTAAAATAAAAACACACGCACTGAGTAGTTTGCTCTGGCCCTTTTGGGGCATCAGGATCTAGGAAGCGGCTTACTTTCATGGGTCTAATGTGGGGCATTTGCAGATGAAGTGTAGTTTCCGCCGCAGTGCCCCACAAGCTGTCACCGTCCCAGCTAGCGTCGGTGAGGCGCAGAACAGTACAGCAGAAGCATATCGTCAGTGCCACGCACAGAAACCGGCTTCTCATCGTGTCGCTCAGGCCAGGCGATATGGTCACCGATGCGTGAAGTAGCGACGTTGCTTCACCGGCTTCGAATACCAGTACAGTCGAGCTACCTAATCACTCCACTGGACCCAGTGAAAAATGGTCCCGATATAAATGACAACCTCCTAAGTGTATATCGGAAGCAGCCGATAACAGTTAGCTCCGGTACGACTGGTGTGACACTACCTCGTACACGCAGAGCGCAGGTCGACCAAATAATTGCAAACTGCACGAAGCAAACCTGCTCATCCTACCTCATCTGCTACACTACACCAGAAAGCGCAGCAGCAGTCGGGTCATCCACCTGAAGAAGATCGCAAACCCTCAGATTTTCAATATCCGTCTTCCAGAATGTCCAATAAAAAATTAATAATGTCAACGCACAGGAGTACTCCGACTCCGAGTAGTCTACGAGGTACGAGTTCGACTTCTTCTGCAGATCTGATCACTCTACTTTGTAGCATTGATTCTGTAGAGTGTAGATCTACCGGTAGATCTACACTCTACAGAACATGATTGTAGATCTACATGACATTACAGACTCAGTCTACAAAGACCATGAAGACAAGGTCATCCACCTGGTGTCGAGTGCCCTAGTAGTGGTGACCGGTGTCACACCCTACTCATCTGTAAAACCGGTTTATTCAAACGATAGGACTTGGAAAGAAGGAAGAAGTAGTGCTCAAGAACACCAAAGATACAAGTACAACTAATTTACTTGTACTGGTATTGGTTGGGTCTTTGGACTTGTACTTTATTTTCATTTTCATTTCATCTTCGAGTTTCTTCCCTTGTACTTGTCTATTTTCATCTTCGCATTTCATCTTCGAGTTTCTTCCCTTGTAGTACAAGGGAAGAAACTCGAAGATGAAAATGAAAATGAAAATAAATTCTAGTCCAAAGACCCTACCATACTCGAAGGTTTCACAACACGGGGGGGGGGGGGGGGGCAGTACAGTAGGCATCATCCCCCGCCGCATGTAACAATAACATTCACAGCGCGCTTAGTAACAGGTCATTGTTGTACGGACAGATCTACACTACACTATGTGACACTATTAGTATTGAATACAACTGTAGACAGTGTAGTATCCCTGCTTTACAGTTTACACATGACTAGTACATGTACAAAATGTATTTTGCATGACTCTTTATAATATAATTACTCTTGTTACTACTTTCGGACAAGTCCTACATCATGTACCTCACACATGACTTGATTACATCAGGAGTACCGCACTTCTAGTTCTAGAAGATCATAGATCTTCCATGCATGCTGCTGTCATCACTTCTAGTATCACTTCCTTTTAGTTACTAGTCATGTACAGTCATGTACGTCATGTTGTTCCGGACTATTCCAGACTTTCCACGTCATATGCCCGATGAGTAAGGTTGCTGACTAAATTGCATAATATAGATATCTCACCTTCTAGAATACCTCGCTTAGTCACTATGTTAATGTTACGCAATGCTCACTTCGTCTACGTGTATAGCAATGATGATCTAGATTTACTTCTCCCCTATTCTAGAACTTGTAGAAGGATGATTTCGTAATCACTGGCTTACCAACCTTAGTTCCCTACCTTCGCCTGTTTGCTTTGCAATGTCATTATACTTTGCTCGCCTATAAAAAGCTGCTGTCTTTTCTGCCAACATCAGATTAGATTAGCTCATATCAGAGAAGAGAGTCCCTCCTGGCAGATTGAGCCGGAGCAGTTATATTCCTTTCAGAGTCCCTCCAGGCAGATTGAGCCGGAGCAGTTGTATACATAACTTCAGGCAGATTGAGCCGAAGAACATAATATTAGTCAGTCTTCTTGTGTGTGCCTCCTGATACCACTCGGCTACCTATTACACAACCGCTATACTAGCGGCTGTCTAGACTAGAGCTCGCTGTAGACTGGACTGTAGACTGACTCACTGTAGTGTAGATAGTGACTAGTGTAGAGTGTCTGTGTCTGTGTCTGTCATGACTGAGTCATAGTGACGGCAATGACATGGTGATCAAACACTGACCATGATTGATTGTCGACCATTGACAATGATATTATGTCAATGACAGAACTAAACCACTTTTCTCCGGACGACAAGAGTGAGGATCCTCCAGCTCTGTCGTGGATGATGCGTCGGATCCGGTCTCTCCCTGTCTCTCCCTGTCTCTTTCTCCCCTCTCTCTCTCTCTCTCTCTCTCTCTCTCTCTCTCTCTCTCTCTCTCTCTCTCTCTCTCTCTCTCTCTCTCTCTCTCTCTCTCTCTCTCTCTCTCTCTCTCTCTCTCTCTCTCTCTGTCTCTCTGTCTCTCTGTCTCTCTGTCTCTCTGTCTCTCTGTCTCTCTGTCTCTCTGTCTCTCTGTCTCTCTGTCTCTCTGTCTCTCTGTCTCTCTGTCTCTCTGTCTCTCTCTGTCTGTCTCTCTCTCTGTCTGTCTGTCTCTCTCTCTGTCTGTCTCTCTCTCTGTTTGTCTCTCTCTCTCTGTCTCTCTGTCTCTCTCTGTCTGTCTCTCTCTCTGTCTGTCTCTCTGTCTCTCTCTCTGTCTCTCTCTCTCTCTCTCTCTTTTTCTCTCTCTCTCTCTCTCTCTCTCTCTCTCTCTCTCTCTCTCTCTCTCTCTCTCTCTCTCTCTTTTCTCCCCCCCCCCCCCACACACACACGATGAGCGCCCTGAGAAGCTCCTTCAAACAAGTACAGACTCAGACAGTACTTATCCGTAGTTGTCCATTGTGACATCCAAAGCACGGTATTGCTCTGACAGTGACCTGCTGGTTGGCATCCCTGGTAAACTGAGAACACTACACTACTAAGTAACTTTGTAGTATCGGTACTAGGGACCGGCAGATTCTGCTCGAAAAGGTGGCAGATCTGCTCGAAAAGCAGTGAAATTGGCAAAACCATACAAACCTTCCTTATTGGCCATGGGCCATCGTGGAAATAAAGAATAATAATAATAATAAACCTTATGGCGGGAAATTCCTCGAATTCTGCTCCACTGTTTCTTTATCCACATACCAAACATGCATCAAACTTACCAGAAAAAGTACCGAATTCTGCCAATTTCTGGCGGCAGAATCCTCCGGACCCTCATCGGTACACGCTATGATAACAGTTGCGACAAGGCACTGGGCGCCTTAGCTGGGCTACACTGCCATTGCTCAAGTTCTCCTCGATCATCTCCTACCCGAATTGGGTTCTTCTCTGTTAGGTTTGCTCCATTTTTTGCACACCCGGCTTTCATGGAGTCATACGATGCTCGGACAAGCCACTATCTTGGTCAGTCACCATGATCCCCGTTAGTCCTTGGCGGATAATGCTCGAGAAATTGGCAGATTCTGCTCGAAAAGCAGTGAAGTTGGCAGAACCATACAATTACAAGCCTTACCGCAGGCACTTCCTTGAGATCCGCTCTATTTCATTATGGTTGGTTGGTTTGTTTTTATTTCACTTCGCACATTCATATAATATATAATAATCTTTATTTCAGGATTACCCAAAGGCTAACGCCAAACGGGATGACGACCCAATAAAATGACGGCGAAGGCTTAGCCTAGAAGTGGCTATGGAAGAACATAGTAAAAGCTATGGTTATCGACATACATGTACCAAACATGCATGAAACGTACCAGAAAAAGTACTTCGCTGTCATTTGTCAGTTCTGCCAATTTTTCTGCCGGTATACTGGGGTTTCGGTCTTTGACCACTTGGTGGTGGGTCTGATCTACTCACCTCCCACCGTTTAGGCGCTGCATCTGCGCCTTTGATCCTAGAGGGTGGTGGCGTTCCCATGACGGATGCGGAAAACTGGGTTTCCAGCCGAGTCTCACGCGAACCGTGAAATTTATTTATTTTATTTATACTTGTACAGTCATGTACATATATGCTACTCCCAGTTGATGATGGTTGCCGGTCTATCGCGGTACTTCGAAGTATCAAGGTACATGTACATGTATGTACATGCATTATTGTTAGATTGACAGCATGAAACAAGGTGGATGACACTGTGTTCGGAAACAGTGACCTTACTACTTGAAGTACAACCTTCCGCGGTTGGCAGAGCCCCGATCCCTGCGGACCATTTGAACCATATGGGTGTTGAACCCGGTTCTGACCCTCATTATGCTAGGGGGGTTGGAGATTACTCCTTGCGTCCGTCGTGTATTCTTTGATCGTTCCTGGATGTCGTCCTGGTAGTCATGTAGCTGCTTAAACCTCAACTTCTTTTCTTCCAACTTCTCCCCATGACTTTATCTAATACTAGTTTCGAACTAGTATAGGGCTTGAAAGTGCTACGTCACAGCATAGCAATAATTTCAAAAATTCAAAAATTGGATCCACTTGGATCCAGTTTTTGTATGGATCCAAGCACATTTCAAGCCGTCTTCCTCACAGCAAGGTGATGTAACCAGTGAAACTGACTGATTTGGCTACTGGGGGCGGGGTTACAACTGGTGGCGAAGTAAAAGTCACCCCTGCATACGACATGAGTGGGTTGCTATGCACCCACATACTGAGGCAATAGCAAAGTCACACCTTTGTGGATCCAAAATAGAAATCTGATGTCAACTTAGTACTCCCTGGCCGTTTTTGATGTCATCACTTCCAAGCCCTATTGGGTTATATAATATGCATGTGCATGTACATGTATTGCAGCACCTCTCAGTAACTGTATCACTATCGCCAAGAGAACCAGGGAGTAGTACGTACTAGTAGTACTACTCCCTGAAGAGAACAATAACCAAAAGCAGTTCTTACTGTACTTTAGACATCATGCAAACACACCACTACCTTTAGCCCCCACTTGCCCCTATGAATACATGTACCGTGACTTGCAAGTGTAAAATAAGCTCCCAGGGAGCTTATTTACTTTTCCATGCACACGAGCGTTCCCCTTGCAAGTTACTGTTCATGTACCCTGTCCTCATCAGTCGATCTACAGTGACCCTCCTCCTCTAGCTCTGCGTTGAGTCTTGTTTTATTCAAAGCCCCACATTAGGCATATGCGGATAATGCCGGCAGAAAAATTGGCAGAATTCGGTACTTTTTCTGGTAAGTTTCATGCATGTTTGGTATGTGGATAAAGAAATGGAACAGAATTCGAGGAATTGCCCGCCATAAGGTTTGTATGATTCTGCCAATTTCACTGCTTTTCGAGCAGAATCTGCCACCTTTTCGAGCATTATCCGCACACCCTACCCCACATTGAGTGAGTAATAGCAAGAAGGTACAAGAGAAGGGCTAGAGAGAAAAGGGAAACCAAGGAGGAGTCCAGGTGGAAAAGTAAAAGTAAAGATAAGAACGTTGAAAGGATCGGCCACACAATCACGTGACCTCCTCTAGCTTTGCGTCGTCTCATCCAGGGAGTAGTACAATATTGTACTGCTCCCTGGTCTCAACCACCCCTCCCGATGGCGACGAGGCTGCTCCTCTATTTCCAGTTGCCACCTGTTTTCCTTTTTTTGCTGGCTACTACCCATGCTAGTCAATGGGTGTGTTACCATGGTTACAAGAGTACATACACTGTAGCATAGGGGGGGGGGGGGGGGGGTATGTACTCTTGGTGTGTTATCGATATCATAGGCTCTGTTTTCATTCCCTTTCCATTTTCTGTGAACTACTATTACTAGTGCACGACTTGTACGTGTACCGGTATACTGGCATGGATGAAGCTAGTGAGCTTCTCTATTTTACTGCTCCCTGGTATGAATACATTAGTTATGAACCGTATGCATTGGGGTCGTAGCCCAGTCCCTCTGTGTTCTTGTGTGTGTGTGTGGGGGGGGGGGGGGAGAGAGAGACTGAGTAACCGTTTCCGGTCCGGCGGATCCCCTATTTCGCACTTGAGAGTTGGAATTATGTGGTCGTAAGCTGCGTGCTGGTGTCTGTCGAGTTTCCTCCTTCATTTTCATTCCTGCCTGTGTGGTTGTGTCAGGGAGCAGTGAGCATCAGGGAGTCCTAACATATTTTACGACTCCCTGACAAGCATGCTACTGGTACTTCCACTCCCTGGCAGGAGTCCATAAACTGTTTACAATGCACTCTTGCTTTCTTTATGTACAGTCATGTAATTGTTACATGATGACTGTACACTTAGTCTGTACAGTCAGTACAGCAGTACAGGCATCATGACTGCATAGGGCCGTGATAGGACCAGGCCTGCAGGACTGTCTGGACCAGGGAGCAGTACTCCCTGCCCCTGGCCTGGACCTGGTCTGGACTGGCAGTCTGGCACCGTGGCACGACCCATGTCGTTGATAGCGACTTGTCGTAGATCTACCTCTGCCTGGCCTGGGTAGCTGGTACACTGTACATGGTGTTGTCATCTTTGCATACGTCACACATGACAGTTGACACGATATCTATTCATCACAAAAAATTGATCTCAATGTGACGTCACCAGCTACGAAATCTCGCGCGCAATCTGTTTTTCAGTCTGTGTATGCATGCACATGATGCAGAGCTTGACCGACTCGGTCTGAAAGCCGTGGTGTGACTGTGAGTGAAGGGCGAATGTGAGCTGCGCGCCGCCAAGGAAGAAAATCTTTCCAAGCGTTGTCGTTATCCCTTTAGACTGTCTTGGTGAGCCCGGCATGTGCTGTTGATGAACTATGGAGAAGAGAATTGATCTCGAGAAGCGAGGTCTGCCTAACAAGGAGGTAAATACATTGGGCCTAATTGTTAGTGTTATTTGGAATGTTGATTTCGTGTATATTTACCTGAATACACACATTTGTTGGGAAATATGAATACTGTTGTACAATGCCATTGTTCAAGTATTCTAAATTCTCTGTGGAGTACCTGCATTTTCTCTTATCGTATGAGCAGCATTGTCCTTCCTGTTTGCGTGATTCCTGTCTAAATTGCAGATTGTTGAACTAAATCTTGACAACTGTCGTTCTACGACAATCCAAGGGCTCACAGATGATTTCGTCAATCTACAAACGCTGTCTATGATAAATGTTGGCCTCACCACTCTCAGAGGCTTCCCTAAGCTGCCAAACCTAAAGAAGGTAGGTCCCTATGCAGTCTTGATTTCTGCATTCGCACTCGGTACGGAGCATTGACGGCAAACCGGCCTCTCTCTTCTTCCTGTACTCGCGAGTTCACGCTGACTTTTTTTCCCCTTTGCCGTATGAATGCGTGTGCATGTGTGGGTTGTTGGGTACGCTCGTGTGCATGTATCCCCTGCAGCTGGAGCTCAGCGACAACAGGATATCATCTGGGCTGAACGCATTAGTTGGTTGCCAAAGACTCTCGAGTTTGAATTTAAGTGGAACGAAAATCAAGGACCTGGAGGCCCTCGAACCTCTGGTAAGTAAAACGTGGTTCCCCGATTGAGAAACGAGTTTCAGCGGCGTGACTGTGTTGAAAACCACTCGCGTTGTTTAGGCTGTGCAGGTGTCCTCTCTAGCTAGCTGAGGGGAGCAGTGGGCATTGTGGAAACTGGGAGTTGGTCGTGAATCATGAATGAAGTTCCTGACACCGACTTCTTCTCTGTACATAGCTGCTCCGCTCGATGCGTACAAACGAACTCTTGCACGTGGCTCGGTGAACTGAACCGAGTGAGTGCTGTGGGTGTCATCGGAGGTGTTCTCCAGCGATTGCGCAGTGGATTTCATTGTTTCGTTGGACCTTGCACAGGCTCATTGTGGTTTCTCGTCGTGCTCGATCTCTTTTTCCCAGTTTTGCCTCGATCCTCTGAAGAATAGCGTTTGTGTTGCAGAGTGTTTCGTTGTGTAGTTTGTTGTGATGCAGTATTGCGTAATGTCGCGAAGGGACAGATGTAGTGTGTGTACAAACCGTTCAGCTTCCTGTACCCACATTATAATAAGAATTCCTATGGCAGGTAATCATCAGTACCCTCTTTTTGCCATCTGGCGTGCACACAGTAGAGTCTCCTGCCGCATACTAGTAGCTGTACACTGCCGAGATTGGCAACGAATTTACGTATCACCGTAGCAGGTACAGGGAAGAGGATAATGGGGGGGGGGGGGGGGGGGGTATTCACAACAATTTCGCACGTGTCATGACAAGGCCGCCGGAACCGGTCCGTTTGGTCAGGTTATTACCCCACCAACATTTTGGCCACCAACACATGTTAACGACAACGGAGGCCATGCGTACCCACCATATCATGCACAACTTCTGAAATGCACTGAAACTACCGGACCAATCAAAAACTTTTTCCGGCGGTCCTGCATGATCAGTGAAACAATAGCAATTCTGCGATTGTGCCGTGCGTAAGAGGTGCCTTGTATGGCGTGTCATCAGGTGCACTGGCTTGTACTGTAGTTGTCGCTCATACAAAAATGATGATGTCATGATGACATCATTCGTATATGCAGTGGGTGAACTGGATATCATTGCTTTCATTCTCTGTGCTTGTTTCCTGCAGAAAGATTTCCCGCAACTCAAAAGCTTAGATTTATTTAATTGTGAAGTAACGAATGTAGAGAACTACCGTGAGGAGGTATTCCGCCTCCTGCCCACGCTCCGTTATCTAGATGGTTACGATCGGTAAGTTACATTCCTTACCTTTCGTTTCATGCTCAATGTAACGTGAACTTGTGCCAGCTGTGCTACACTCAATCTGCTTATAATAGTATACCGTCTGCATGGCTCTTCGTGCCGGTGACGTGTTGTTCAAGTTCCAAGGGCCTGTTGTGATGGCCTTGTGCGTTTGGGAGAGCCTCATGGGTAGAGAAATCTAGAGCTGTGCTCCTTTCAAAGGCTTTGTTTTGTTGCGTTTCACCTGGTGCTATGCCGTTGGCATCTTGCCGGTTTTAATAGCTTCAGAGATGGTACACGTTGTGCTGTGTTCTGAAGCTGGGATGCTTCTGGGATACATGAGCGTGCGATAAACCTCGTTCCCTGGGTTCAGAATGCAAAACAAGTCAAATACATGAGAACTGGACTGTGTGTTCACTGCCATGTGCTTTGTTGTGCAGAAATGAGAAAGAAGCAGATTCCACAGAGTCGTCAGATTACGACGAGGAGGACGAGGAAGATGGTCAGTTCTTTGTGCAGTGCTGCGTGCTGGTTTTTGTGGAGATGTTTGCGGGTGCAAGTTATTTCGTTATGATTGCACGTGATTCTCAGGTCAGGTTATTTTTCCTGAATCTCTCCCACTACTAGAGGTCACCCATATGACCAGCTTGTGCATGCGTGTGTGTGCTTTCCGTTGCAGGTAGTGAGAATGGGTATGACGAGAAGGCCGGTGGGGGATCGTCGGATGAAGAAGACGAGGACGATGATGACGATGAAGACGAGGACAGCGACGACGATGTGGACGGTGGTGAGGACTCGGACGATGCCACTGCTGCGGCGCCGGGTTATGAGAATGTAGAGGGCGACGATGGTGATGGTGATGACGAGGATGAGGAGGAGGACGACGAAGACGACGAGTCCGTCAGCAGTGGAGAAGGTAGGGATGGTTGAGTTTAATTAATTTGGCCATGGTGCGCCGGTGACTTGTGATGTCATCGTCTGGAGTCTGTTGTGCTTAGTGCATCTGGTGGCAACTTCCCAAGGGAAAGGTAGTCGCTCAGTAACTCGACGCTCGTTTCGAGAGTGTGCTACAGTCACCCACGGCAACGTGCTGTGGTCTCTAGGTGCGGTATCTGCCGGTGGGGGGGGGGGGGGGGGGGCTACGCATTATATGGTTACCTTTATCTATGCACCCTACAAGTAGAGGACGCACAGTAGCTGAGTTTATAACGCAGGAGTAGCCGAGTTGTCTCCACGTTAACCGGCCTTACTACTACTAGTGCCATAAGAGTTGAATCTCTAGGACAGTACTAGAGAAACAGAAGACGCGTGTGTGATGGCAGGGTCGTTAAACTTTGTGCCGTCAAGTGGGAATTTGTGCAAATCGTTAAACTCTTCACATTTTCAACTCTTGCGGTATTGCTTTCGTAAGACGTAGAAGCCGGTGAAATTCTCTACTTAGAAAAGCAATTTGGGACGAATGTTACTAAGGTTCAAAATACTCCCAAGCGAACAATATCAAAGTGTGGGGGGGGGGGCATAGTACCTCCAGGAAATCGGTGCCGCCGTGCAGTTGGTTATACAGTACTACTGCAAAACATGTTATTTTCGGTGTACTGTAATTTCGCTGATTTCGGTAGAGAAGACGAGCACCTAAATTAAAATTACACCTAAAAGGCACTAGAGTATGCACTGTATGTGATGGGAAAGCTGGTCACCTAATTCTACAATGCGGCTGCGACCTGGTAGGTCTCTGGCACCGAAATTGTAATGCACCTAAAATTGCATGTTTTACAGTACCTTCGATCAAGTAGTAGGACTAGAGCTGTGCTATTCAGTAGCTGCTCTGATGTATAATACCACGGTTAGAATGCACTGCTCGAATGCACCTGTTGTGGCTTTTAAATGCCGTTAATTTTGTCCACTTTATATTCTACTCTAGATGAGGATGAGAGTGACGCCGATGGTGCTGCTAAGTTAGCGGCGGCAGCTGCTGCTGCGAATCCCGCCGCTGCGGACGACTCAGACGAGGATGAGGACGATGACAGCGGTGACGATGACGAAGTCGGTTTGGACTACCTCAATCGGCAAGACTTGGTAAGCAAAGTAGAGGGTAGGCATACTGACCAACCACCGAAACCTCAATCCCTTGACAAGACATGCAGAATCCCTGGATGGCACGAAAAACAAGTGAAAAAGAGCTTTTCCTGCCAAAAAAACCTTCGACTCTGCAGATCTGCGTACAGCACAGTTCGACCCTGCAGTGCAGTTCGATAAGTTGGCGTCCGCCTGTCACTTTGTCAGTGCAGATCTTGCAGGCTAGGCTGGTCAGGTCTTGAAAGTGCCGTGCACAGTTCGAAGTGGGAATGGGCCCCTTATATATTTTGCAAAAACCGGGACATTCGGGGCGAATCCATGGAGTTTTCAGGGAAATCCTGTATCAGACAAAACTGTGACTTTTCCGGGAGTTTGCTTGAAATCCCGGGACATTCGGGAGTAGGGTTGATTTCCGGGAGTTTCCCGGGAAAACCGGGAGGGTTGACCAGTATGCACCATGTATGACCAGGGGCGTAGCTTGTCCCCATTTTTAGGGGGGGGGGTGCACGGCCGCATATGTGTAGGATGGCTGGTGTATGTCATTCATAGTCATGCGAATGCTGACCCTACGTCGGAATGTTAAGGGGTGCACGTGCCTGATGACCAGCCCATTCCAGTTGTGATCATGGACAGTAACCTTGTAACTTGTAAGCCTGAGCACTGCTTCATCACAAGAATCATCAAGAGCGTACAACTGCGATTGTTTTGGCCCTTGGTGGAATTTTTTTGTTGACTTCACCTTTTCTGGGGGTCATGAGTCATCCCATGCAAGGCATGTACTGCGAGTCTGAAGTTGAATTCGGCAGGGTTTCACAAAACTTGGACTACGCGTACGGTGAAAAGTTACAGAAATGGGAGAACAAGTTTTAAATAATTCGTTTTGAAAGCAGCAAAAAATCAAACTCGCGCTGAAAGTCGTCTTCCAACGCATTCTTTGCACTTGCTTTGTACGACATGCGTCATAGGTTCTGAAATGGTGACGTCAACAAAACCAAAAATTCCGCTGTGGACCATACCATGTACGAGCTACTGCGAAGTTGCACACTCTTGCGTGTGTACTCTTGAGTTCACGGTACGGGACTCCTGTTGGCTCCAAGGCAAAAGGATTTATTGATTCGCTCCGTCTTATTTGCGATTGATATCTTTAGGATGACGACGATGAGGATGAAGGCGACGACTTTGTCCCTGGTGAGGAGGAAGATGACGACGATGATGAGATCGACGAGGAGGAGGAAGAAGAGGGTGCAACCTTCTCAGCCACAAAGCGGCCGGCAGGCGAAGATGATGATGACGACGACGATGTTGCACCGCCCGCAAAGAGGCGGTGAAGGTTATCGATTGGACTTCACCTTACGTCACCAACAATCTCTCTCTTTCTCTCTCTTTCATCCCTGACTCGAGTTCCATGTCTCCTGGGATTCGCTCCAGGCGAGTGTGATGTTGAAATGGCATGCATCGCGAGCGCCACCGCCGCCCACTTGATGATTTTCCTCGAATAGAGCAGCTACCTGCTCTTCCCCCACCCCTCACCCCGATGCTGTACAGCCATGGCCGGAGCTCCGGGGTCTCGAATGATAACTTTCTCTCTCTGTGTGTGTCCGCTGTCTTTGTCGTTCGTAGCAACTACTGTTGTGCTTGCTGGTGTTGTACAATGTGTGATGGCTGACTGACAGCTTACCTTTTACGTACTGAACGTTTGAATGCCAGTGTTGACGTTATGCTTTTTAGCTGGCCGAAAAATAATTCCCCTGGCATGAAAAAAGGCTGTGGTCTTTCCCTCACCCACGCCCGCATTTATAGCAGTATGTATGGTCTATCGGGGCCGACCGTTTTGTATGCTTTCTTCCATTTTTTTTAGTTGTGCTTTGTTTAGGTTGCAATCAGTGGTGCCCCTATACTGATGATGCGTTGTGATACTTTGCTTCGCCGCCAGTTCTCTCTCGCTCCCCCTTTCCGCTTCTGTCCCTCCTAGGCAATGTCTTTGATTATCTCCTCCCGTGGCGCTGTGCTTATGTTGCCGTTGGCGCGCGCCGCCGCCGTCTTTTTGCTTGTTGAGTCAATCTCAAAGAAACGGCCTGCTACTGTATGCCTCCCAGTCCCCAGTGTTACGTAGTTTAGTAGTAGCAGATCGCTCTTGGCTGCGTTGCACTTCCGCTCCTTCACGTCTCTTCTGCTTTCAAGCGTTTTGACCTTTTTTCCGTTTGTGATTGTTTTTCACCGTCATTCATGATCATTTTATGGCCTCATCCTCAAATGCATTTTATGGAATATTTGTAGCTGTGTAGTGATGTTCAACCTCATATCAATCTTCATACAAGTACATATAAACCGCTAGTGGTATCAGCTGCTGCCGATACAGCTTGAACACAAACGCGGTCGGTGATGTAATAACAAGCAAGAAACTAGCTTCCTCGTGGTTCCTGCTAACTGGGCTTGGTGTTCGTGTGACGCATGGACACTTCACGTGCATGTGTTTGTGCCTGCGCACCATGACCTGTCTCCGTGAATTGTGCAGATTGCAGCTAAGCCGTTGCTACCGTGATAACGCACATATAAGCTCATGGCCTTATAAGTGAATTTTTGCTACGAATCCAATTTTCAAAAATGGAATTTGGAATTTCTTTCACCTAAACGCGCACGCGCGATCAGAGTTTGTTTGCCAGAGTACAGTGCGTATCGGTTATAGTGTGGTCGTATACAAGAATATACTGCTTACAAGAATGAACACTCATTTTTTCATTATCATAACACATATTTTATGTGTATATTTATTCTTACAAGCAGTATTATCGCATAGTAGAATATATCGGCCCTAAGAATGGATTTTGTGTAGCAAAATATGCCAGATTAGTGCAAAGTGTATCGCCTGTAGTAATAGCATCTGTGCTCTGTGCATACTCAATACAATAATATTCAACACAAAAAGAGAGTTATGTCCAAGGGAGCATTGGAGAATCACTTTTTCTGTCCAGTCGGACTCTTTCTTCGGACTTCTCTCGTATCCGCTGCTCGGCAGTCACCTAGCACGACCGCGAGTCTGATTGATCCGTGTACCAAACGTGCGTGCATATGATATGTCACACGTGATTTATCGTGTGTAAGAAATATCGGCAATAAGAATCAAATGTCGTTTTTCAAACACCCACGCTATAACCGATACCTACTGTATTTGTGTTTGACTAGGTCTTCTAGTGTCAGCTTCATGGTTCCTGTATGCTGTTTGCAGACTTTTATCCGTGATTGTGTCAAATGAGAATTTTGGTAGTGCTTCGCCTATAAGAGCATGCGCTTATAAGTGAGAGTGTGCTTATATCCACATACAGGCACATGCGCCTATACGTGCGTTACTACGGTAAAACTTGAACTAGTGTTGAAACGAATAATCGAATAGTCGTAGGAATTATCAGAAATCGAAAAAAAAGAAAAGAAAAAAAGATCTATGCTCAGTGCTGACCCTACTGATATTTGCACTGCGTAGATCTGCTCGCAGTATTTCTTCTCAATCTCTTCTCTAAGTTTTAATCACCTATCGGTATCTAGTAATACTTCTGTTCTTTCCATACGAGGGAAACATGGATGCAGTGAAGATCCAATTACGCTCGACCAAGACCCGATGCGATATGCAGAGCTGGATCAGGCGTTGCACACTCTGCATCTGGGGGTTATGTACTCTTGGCGGTACATGTTAACCGGTTTTGCACCTCCACATAACAAAACCCGCTAATCAGCAAAAAATATATAAAAAAACTACTTAAAAGTGCTGAAAAAGTGTTGAAAAATGCCATCATGCGTACGATAGAATATAGATTATTCGTTCGATGGAGGGCGAAATTATTCGATAGATTATTCGTTCGAAGAATCCGTGTTCGGTTTAAACACTAACTTGAACGCATGACTTTTCAGAGTCATCTTGCTATTCATGTTGGCCCAGAAGTGCAAAATTTACGGTAATATGATTGGCTTGGGATGAGTTTTGGTGTGGTTGCGCCAAAAGTCATAACTCTGGGCTTTGATGCACAGGATATTTTCATGCCTATTTTCCCTACTTTCGGTCTTTGACCACATGCTGGTGAGCTGATCTACTCACCTCCCACCACTTTAGGAGCTGCACCTGCGCCTTGATCCTTGAAGGGTGATGGTGTTCCTACGGATGCGGAAAACTCGGCCTCTATATAGATAAACCGAGTCACACGCAAACCGTGAATTTTTTTCCCTACAAAAATAGGAGCAGTATACTATAGCATGTAACAGTTATTTGCTGTTTTGTTTGGCCTTTTATTTTTCTGTAGAATCCGGGGGGGGGGGGCATTCACGTGGTCCAGCTGGCATGGATACTGCCATAGCAAGTGCTGCTTGGTATGGGTCATTGTGTGAAAGGAGCCATGCTTGTTTCAAGGACAGTAGAGTCGTGCGCCCAATTTCCCCAAGAACATTGTTTCCAAGGGGGTTAGCCTGGGACGTTCTTATTTTTCAGCAATCTGGCGGCGTTCTTGTACAAGTACAAGTTATAGCACGTTCTTAGAAACCGTGCGTACTGGATCGTGCATGTGTATCCCTCAAGCGTTAGTGTTTCAGGCTGGACGTTCCTGGGCTCCACGTTCTCCAGCACGCGACTCCACTGTAGTCGTAGGCCAGGCCATTATACATGTACATCTCTTGTAATGGGCATCATTGAGATTGAAGATGGTCATGTATTACAATCACGTGTAGTCTTCGGGATACCATGCTCAAGCCAAGGTTCAAGTGTTGATTCCGCAGTCAAGCATGCAAGATTCATCATCTGGACATTTATCAGTCATGCATGGCCTGACCGAACAAACCAGTTTTCGCCAGACGTCTGCCTGGTGCAGCTGTATACGCAACTGCGACGTTAGAGTAGAGACCACTATTATCTGGTTATCACTGCAGTATTTGGATATGCATGTGAGGATGATTTGAACTATCAGAATTGTGTGGATTATCAACAGAAAATCATAGAGCTACATGATTGTATAGAGAGGCTGCTCAATGAAATCCAATCAAGCCAGTCATTGGAACTTGGGGTGCTGTTCTGCCCCAAACCTGCGAGCACTGCAACTTTCACTCGCACAGCCGTGAAGCCGACTCATGATATACACTTGATCAGATCATCTTACTACTCCCTGATACAGTGCTCCAAGTTCAAACACTTGCACATAAAGGCCCATGTGCTTTATATGAGTGAGTTTTTGCGTTATTTGCTATTTTTGCAGCTCGGTTTGTAGTGTGCATGTGGGGTACATACTCATTGTACTGATTTGAGAAGTAATCAGTTATGCCTATGCCTATGGTCACGAAATGCCTCATCAGTTTCACAACTGACTTGTGTGATATTACTGTACAGTGACTGTGTACATACCAAAGACTAAAATCTCTAGGGCTGAGTCGGGTAGCATTTTCTTCGGGTATCGGGTCCGGGTAGTTTTCCACGGGTACCCGATCGGGTAATGTTTCCATGGTAAGACCACAATGCACACCGGCCCCTTCCCTTGCGCACTGGGTAGACATGCGTGAATTATTTGTACACGTGTACACGTGCACTGTACATGATGTCATCTGCGACCTCGGGTTTTCGGGTACTAGGGAGGTTTAGTTCCCACGTAACGGAAACGCGTACGTGGGTGATCCACGTAAAGTGGATGAAGGGCACCCACGTTGCAATGTTGTGTTTAGTCACACGCCGGGAACAAACAAAAGCATAAAGCGAAAGGCCCGAACCTGGTCAAAGACGAAGCTACCCGGGCCTAAGAAGCTCATCCAATATTTTGATTTCGTGCTTCGGAAACTTCTTCAGCTGAGCACCCTCACAGCTCGCACAATGCGCTCCATTCTGATTTTCACCCACGTTTTGGCGGAACGTGGGTGAGCCTCCATACACGGTATGTCGTGAATCAGAAAACGTCTGTACGTGGGTCACTGAGTATCACGTGGTACACACACGTAAAGTACCCACGGATTACGTGGGACTAAACCTCCCTAGCCCTACTATTCGGTACCCGACTACCCGAGGTCCTCCCGGCCGGGTGGCACGGGTACCCGACTACCCGTACACACCACTAAAAATCTCTTACCGGTGTGTTTCTGGGCCTTGCATGCAGTAGCGGCCATGCGCCAGGCTGTGGCCGGATGACAGCGAAACCGCATCGCCCTTCTTCACGGCAACTCCGAATGCGTGAGCCAGTACTCCGTGGTTAGAACTAAGCGCATCTTGTCACCAGGTCACCAGTTGTCTTCAGGAATTTAGCTAGCATGAAAGCCGTTGAGAAAGTAGCCCTACTACTAGTAGCTAGGCCCTATCCCCAGATCCCTGAGGCAGACGCCTGAGTGACTGATCTTTCCCATTCAGACCGAGAACGAGAAGTCATCCAAAGCCAGTTCAGTTTTTGCAGGCCTCGTCGTTATCCTCCTTCTCCAATCAACGGCTTTACTTTACTTGCTGCAAACGAGATAGGATCGCCCACGCCACAATTGTAGGAAGTGAAAATTAATCACCAACGGATCTTCCCGGCATCAACGACCCTTTTTTGCTGTATGTTGGCGCTACCTCCAGGCTTCACTCGGATCAGGGTTTGCCCCAGCTAGCAGCTCGCTGGTGACTCGCAAACATCGGTTGGCCATGGCCGTAGCTAGCTAAACGTGATAGCGCTTCGTCACACCGGAGACGAATGCAAGCGAACGAAGATCCTGCTCGACCTCGGGCGCCCTAGCCAGCCACCTGACCCAGCTAGCCAAACAACGCTGAGCAGAAACTCAAGCCATGTACACATGCATGTGCAAGACTTGCTGTACTCTACTGCACCGCGTATTGAAGTTTCTACACAGCACATGTGCTGCGCCATCGATGTGCAAAGCGAAAGACTCAAAGTCGTTGTTTTTTTGGCTTTTCAACTGACTCTGTGGCGGCGTCTGCGTTTTTCCTTCCAGTGCGGGCTGCCTCATGCATGTGTTTGTTTGTTGGCTAACCAAGCTCAGTGTTGGCTGATGTGGCTTGTCGGTGATTGGAACCGCTGATGTTCTCGGGATAGCAGTCCTGGAGGAGGATGTGGCATCGGACTGCGGTAAATGGCCTCCAAAATTTGGGCATGTATTTGCAATTGCAATGCAGATAAAGTGGAGCAGAGGCGAATACACCGCGAGATCGAGAAGGAGCTGAAAAAGGACAAGAAAGAGACGAACCGGTCATTCAAGCTCCTTCTCTTAGGTAAGAGGCATTTTGATGCTATACTGTTGCTGTATGCCAGCCACCTAGAGGATGTTGTTTGACAGTGCGTATCTCCTGAGGTCATCTTGAACACAACCCCTCAATCCCCACCGTATTGCACATCAGGGACTGGTATGAGAGCGGCCTCACCCCAACCTGCTCCCGCAGTCCTGACAGTATACAAAGAACATCATTCATAGTAGCCAAAAGCTATCCGTTCAAATCCTCGAACATATCGCTTTTCGACTTTGTAACTTTCTCTGGGGATTTCAGAAGGTTTCCACTGCACCTGAAGATGCTGTTGAGTACTAGTGAAATATCCAGGGCCGTTTGATGTTCGTGGCGTGCTAGTAGTACTGTAAATGATTCCACGGTCGTACAAATGGTGAATTACCTGCTTGCATGGACCTAGTACTGCCCTTGACAAGTGCTGCCGTGCCACGGTCAGACCCGCTACAAGCGTATGTATGGAAGACTAAGAGCAAAGGTGAAATTGCGGGCTAGCACATCACAGACACAAACACACACACACGCATACACACACACACACACACATACGCAGACATGCACATACACAAACGCGCATTTGCGTGCCCCCACACACACACATATACACACACACACACACACACACACACACACACACACACACACACACACACACACACACACACACACTTTTTGCCCACTGCCACTAACTGGTCATGTAGGTCTCCCAGGAGATGGGGTAGATTTTCAAAAAGGAATCTTCGGACAATAAGATTACTCAATTGGTCATCGAACCGCCAAGCGGGCGACACCCCTTGAAATCCCCCTTAGACCCTAGGTGGAGTTGGTTATGAATCAAGTGATCCCATGGCCCACTTGCATGTTCATGGACTTGTACAGGGGCATAGCTGGTCCCCCTTTTAGGGGGGGGGGGGAGGGGCACGGACGTACGGTATGTGTAGGATGACTGGTGCATGTTATTCATGGTCATTATGTGCATGCTAAGGGGTCGTCGCAAAAGTTTTTTGTCGTCCCTGAAACGAACATGATTCATTGGGGGGGGGGGGGGGGGGGGGGAGGGGGTGCGAGCCAAAATCGCAAGTCGACCGACACTGTACATATGACATGTACATGCATGCAATTTTCGTCGTCCAGCATAGCAAGCTGTGTTCGTTTCAGAGGGAGGGGAGGGGTCCGAGTACAAAATGAACGATGTTCATTTCAGGGACGACAGAAAACTTTTGCGACGACCCCTAAAAGTAAAACCTACATGTAGGCCGGCAATTTTAGGGGTGCACGTCCCCCCCCCCCATGCGAGCTATACGTCTGATGTATGGGGTCTCCATGGTGTAGTTAGTGGGCGAGGACAAGGCGCAGGAAAGGATTGCCGCCTTGAGCGTCCGTCCCAGTAATCCATCTGGAGTTTGAAGCCTGCAAAGGTGACAGGTACAAACAATACACCTTTGAGCAGAAGGTTTTTGAATCCAGTGACAGTGCATGCACATCCATGCACTTACTCCAGTGCGCACACAAACAACAAACACAACAGCCACAATAACAACAACAACAATAACAACAACCTAGTTTGCCTGCTGCTAATCATGCATTCCAATCCTTTCCATGTGATGGAAATCTCACTAACATCTCTTTTTGGCCACAGGCCATCATGATAATAAAGATTTGAAACGACAACAACAGCCACAACAACAACACTAGCAACCACCCCTGCCCGTACACTAAAGTAGTCATTAATCCCTGGGCTCTGCCCACCCAATTCTTCCTCACTCTTTCTCTTTTCTTACACTATTATCTCTATTGGCCACTGGCTATCGTGAGAATAAAGATTTGAAACACACACCCAGCCGTACATGTATGCACTACTGCATGCAAATAGGGCACAGTCACTTCTTGAATCAGGCTGCAGTCTTTACAGTGCCATTCAGCTGGAAGTGTAGTGTTCCATTATTGTCCTAGGAAACTGGTGAAAATGCAAAAAAACCTTGTTGACAACAGCTGGATATGGCTTGCAAAGTGTTCTGTATTTGGCCAAATGTTGGTGGTCAGCTTGAAAGAGAGCCACCGACATGCTCACATTCAAGACTTGTAGTGTACTCATACATTCCATATTTGGAAATGCACAAGGAGAGAGATAGCTCCAAGAGTAGGCAACTCTGCATATGGGGTCTGGTGCGATGCGCTGCCTGCATTATGCAGCCACGAACTGTGGGCCAGCGCATCATGATTGATCTGCTGCATATGGCTTCCTGCTTCTAAATCCGCTTACCTGGGAGACTTCGGATGGTTTTGTACGTGATGCGTCACACAAGCATTGCTTTGTCTGAACTTACCGTACTGCACATGAGATCGTTGAGGCTAAACCGTAGGAAAACTCGAATCCAGGCAGCTGGGTTGTCATTTCACTACGTACTGCAGGCAGTGCGTAGCGCAGGGCACCCATACTCGGAGGCCAGGAGTTGCACACTCTTGGGGTCATGGTCTCTTGCCATCACTCACAGCAACTTCGAACAAGTGTTTTTACGTGTCCCTGTTGAAATTGCTGAGTATGTTTTTTTTGCTGCTGTCTATGATTGTCATGTACTTGTACCGTAAAGTACCTTTGACCCCCCCCCCCCCCGAAAGGTGTCGAGTGCATTGTTGTTGTGTGCCCATGTTGTATAACTTTGATGCGTCTCTCTCTCTCTCTCTCTCTCTCTCTCTCTCTCTCTCTCTCTCTCGTCACCTTGGTGTGCGTTCGTCCAGGTACTGGTGGTTCCGGCAAAAGTACGTTCATAAAGCAGATGCGCATAATCCATGGCAATGGATACAGTCAACAAGAACGCGATTACTTCAGGCAGCTTGTGTTCCAGAACATGTTTTCCACGCTGCAAACCCTGGCACAGTCCATGCAGGATCGTGGCGTTATGTTCAAAGTGTCAGAATCTGAGGTGTGTTGCTTGAATTTTCTCTCACACGCGTGTGTGTCTGTGTGTATGTGTATGTGTCTGGACGAGCTTTGACCTGACCTGTCTCTCAAGACACTGGGTATGTGCAGGCGGATGGATCGCCACTTCACTCTGGCCCTGTGAGCTATGGTAGCCGTTGTGAATCTCAGATTGAGCATTCCGCTCCTGCTCTTGTAGTGGCTGAGCACTCTCATGTGGGGGAGTGCCTTTGCTGTTTGCGTTATGCAGAGCTCATTGACTTGTCAGTTTCAGCACTCCGGCAAGGTACATTCGGGCCTGGTTTAAACCTGGCTTTGGAAAATTATTCTCCGTTGCTATCAGGTTCGACCTCGTTTCTCTGCGCTGCGCTGAAGAGTCCACAAAGGATGAAACAGTTCTGTCCACAGATTGAGTTTCTCTCTGTTCTAAATGTTGGCGCAAAATTGCAGGAAAACTGTGCTCAATCCGTGATTTGTATGCATCTCTGTGACTGTATACAGTGAACTTCGCTAATATCGACTGCGGATATACAGTCAGACCTCGCTTAACCGCACACATCCGTTTTCCCAAAAAATATCCGGATAGGCGAGGGAACCGGATAACCGAACACCGTTTATGTTGGATGCATCACGTATGCTGTAAATATGTAACCAGCTTTTTTCTTCCGGATGGCGAGGGATCCGGATAAACGAGGACCGGATAAGCGAGGTCTGACTGTAACGACAATTCGCGAATAACGACAGAATTCCCATGTCCAGAGCAAAGTCCCATCTAACTGTAATACATATAATGAGACTTCGGGTATAAAATAAGGACACTTTTCTGATGCCCCGCCGAGTGTCGTTATACGCAAAGTTAACTGTACATTGTATGTTTGGTGTATGCATGAACGTGCGTGTGTGTGGGTGTGCCCGCGGGTGCGTATGTGTGTATGTGTATGTGCATGTGTGTATGTATGCGTATGCATTTTGGCGTTCTGTATACGACGAGTAGAAGTGGACACGATTACTGTTCGCCATGAATCCGGAGACGATAACGGAGTTGTCACACGCGCAGCAGAACATGGCCAGGGTGCTGTGGCAGGACGCTGGCGTTCGCGGCACTTTTGACCAGCGTTTTGAGCTGCAGCTGCCAGTGTCGGACGCATCTGTGTCGTGAGTTTCTGCCCTGTTGTGCTGTTTGCTGGTCTTGCTTCTGTATGCACTTTGGCTTGGATTTTACCTTGCACCACCGTCGTACTGTGACAGTCCACAGTATATAGTCAGACCTCGCTTATCCGGTCCTCTTTATCCGGAACCCTCGCCATAGCTGGTTACATATTTACAGCATACGTGATGCATCCAACATAAACGGTGTTCGGTTATCCGGTTCCCTCGCCTATCCATTATTTTTGTGGAAAACAGATGTGTGCGGTGTTGCGAGGTGTGACTATACATGTACTTCTGCGTTCTACTACAGTTAAGGACGAGCAGGTGTGTTCCGAACTCCCACAGGTTCACGAGCATTCGATTGTTGCGTGTTGTCTCGCGAAACTTGGATGTACAACCTGTAGTGTGTGCCTATCCAGTATGCTCTGTGTATTTCTAGTAGTTTTCTACACACTGCAGGGCCGTAGCACTGTGCACTGCGATTTCAGGTGTTCCGACCGGATGGGGTACTGGACCAGAAGTGGGCATTATTGACGAAAAGAAAACCCCCAGTTTCACGTATTTGATGGGTCGGCCTGTTTTTTTTCTCGCGAAATAATGGCCGAAGCAGGTGCTACGGCCCTGCACTGAGTACTGTAAAACTAGTGGACTGCTGTACACTTGCAATGATGTATTCTATGTGGCCTATGAAGCAGGTGCTACGGCCCTGCACTGAGTACTGTAAAACTAGTGGACTGCTGTACACTTGCAATGATGTATTCTATGTGGCCTATGCTATAGCTTCCTCGAGGACACGACCCGGGTCTTTTGCAGCAACTATGTTCCGACGTTATCGGACATCTTGCGGGTGCGCGTCCCCACGACTGGCATAACGGAGTATCCCTTTCACCTGGACGGCGCAGTCTTCCGGTAAGTGTGTGCCAATTGGCGTTGCACTTTCTGCAGGTGCTGTTGTGGTGATTGATCAGCATCAGGGTCTTGCTGGTGTTTTTGTTCTTGTTCTTGCTGGCTGTGTTGGTGGTTGTGAAGGCGGTGGTGGTGATGGTTGGTGATGGTTGGTGATGGCGGCGGTGGTGGTGGCAGTTGGTGGTGCTGGTTGTGATGGCGGTGGAGGTGTGTCCCATATGGTGCAGTGGAATGTGCAGTCGATTTCCAATCGAGTCGTCGCGGGGTTCAATTCCCGACGATTATGGTCACACACGTCTTTCTTCTCTTTCTCAGACTCCTCCTGACTTTTCTTTCATTCTCCTGGGTGGTTACGGTTGGTTCACATATCGCCGGTACACGCCGAATGTCACCGGCGGTGGGCCTCTTGCAACCACTCCCGGCGCATTGTGATTATGTGAACCAGTGCAGTCGTAAAAAAATCATACGGTAAATAATCGCAAGGGATAGCCGGCAAAGTTGGCCAGCGCCAAACTCTTGCGATCTGCCCCGGCGTCGATCCCGTACAAATTTGACCAAAAGTGGTTTGTGAATCGTTCGCGCCGGTGATCGCCAGTGCTGGGACCAGACTGTCAAAATTTCAAAGCAAGACTCGTCCTAAATTGAAGCTAAAGATGAGGTCCGTTCGCCATTCTTCTAGTCGCTACAAGTAGGGATATCAGCGAACGCACTGTGCAGCCCATCTGCGCAGGTCAGCCTGGCCCATCTACGCGCGGCCGACAAGAAAACTCATGAACACTTTCATTTTTTTGCAAAATAAATCGTGCGAAGAAGATGAGCGGAATGGCTGAAAACTAGGCTGAGGAAAGTAGCATCCCGAGACTCTCAAGCAAATTCATGGTCCATCGCTTCTGACAATGGCAGCGAAGACATCTGGGAGCTGATTGCAGCAACTCTCTACCAAGCGCGACGCTGGTTACTCACCAGGGCAGAGCGCTTCCATCGCGCAAGAAATGGCTGCGAGCGAGAAATGCAAGTCCGATTTTGGAACGATCCAACCAGGGTAATCCCTTGAAAATTTGCCTGAACACCTCTCAAACTGGTGTTTCACGATGTGCAAACTTTCAGAGAAATCGACCGGGGAGAACGTGGTCAGAACGTGGGTCCTCCGTATCGCGTATGATTTGAATGGTCGCGGGGACAGAAGAACAGTAATTTTATGACTCCCAGCAGTGCAAACAGTCCGCGGCCATATTTTCTGTCGGCCGCGATCACGTTCAAAAAATCGATGACGCAATGGATGCGCAGAGGCCTGCGCAGTGCGTTCGCTGACATCCCTACTTATTATTATTATTATTGCAAATAACGCTGAGTAATTACACGAATGCATAAAAACCAGCATTTGCTTCTGGGAAGGATTCACAAACATAAGACAAAAACACCATGGCTCAATGTAACTGCACATACGAAAAGCAGCTTCTATTGTCAAGTTCGAGTGGCAATGTCAGAAAGACGGTAGACTGTTCGTGCACGATGTTCACCCTGCAGGGGATAAGTCAAGGACGCGGCTCGGCAGAGGAAGATGAGTGCCGCGGGGTGCCATTCCACCGTGACTTTATCATCTGCCAACTGCCGCAGCTGATTAAGGCCTCTAAGCGTGCCCAGGCGAATGCCGAGTCGGGCTAGGCAGTCCTGAGAAAGAGCTGAGAGGAGAGTTGTCCTGGGTCGGCCCAGTCGACTGCGCAGGCATCCCTACTACAAGGTGGCAAATCAAGTCAGCATACCAACCCCTCCTTCTCGGGTGATCTGCTTGACTGTTGTGCAAGTTAAGAGACAAATCCAATTGAAACAAATAAAAATACGAAGGATACATTGGCAAGTCCTTGCGACTTCATCAACGTTTGCATGCTAATTTCGACACCACCGCTTGCTAGACTGCAATAAAAGGTGTAGAAGTAGTTTCATGATCTCCAGTAAAAGGTAGCACCGAGTGGCCATCACCCAAAGACCTTGAACTACTGGAGAAACAAAGAATTCAAGCTTCAATTGGCAAACTGTAAGACCATTTGGGCACATTCTGCACTACCGTACTGGCAATATATGTTGCCGCGTAACGCGTAACGCAGGGGGGTGCGGCGTAACGCGCGACTAGGCTAGTGCGACAAATTTTCGTTGAGTTCGTAACGCGCGTCCGGCGGGGTGCGGCGATCTTTTCATTGCAGTTTGCACTGCAAAAAAAAGGCTGAAAACTGTGAAAGCACGTGTACCGCGTGGTGAAAAGTAGTTTTTGGAGGAAGCGCTCTTCCCCTATGTCACTTTCCTTTTGATGATCTTTTTGTGAACAGATCACTCTGATAGTTAAAATATACATGTACAGTCTTCTATTGATATCGTTGTCGCCCTTTGCCGTCGGGTTTGTAACAGTTGGATAGCAACTCTGTGCCTTCAATGTGGATGAAAAGAAAAAATGATGCGGCAAAAGCAAAAAAATAATGCGGCAATAGCAAAAAAGTGATGCGGCAATAGCAAAAAAGGACTGCGGCAATATAGAGACCTGTGTAACGGCTCCTGTGCGACTTTGCATGTAACGCCCTGCGTGCGGCAAACATGTGCCAATGTAACGCTTCATTGCCTCACTGCGGCAACATATATTGCCAGTACGGTACTTTGTAGTAGATTTGATCATTTGGTACTCGAACCGTATGCAGGACGGATCGGGAGCTGGCTCACCGCCTGGTGCTTCCTGGTGCCGATTTGGCTTATGTGAACCAACCCTTACCAACACTAACAGCCAGTGCATGCCGGTGTATGTGGTGTGATGTGTGTGTGGGAAAAAAGAAAGAAGAATAAAGACCAAAACGTAGGGATTCCCTGGCCAGAAAAAAGCCACTTCAAATAGCTGTGTGGTAAAGACCAGGCTGAATAGTGGCGGTCAATTCTTCAGCCTTGCAAGCTGTTGAATGATGCAATCCCAGCTCAAGTTGCTATGGCTTCTGCTGTAGCATCGCTATCATCGCCTCTGGCGGTGGGCGTCAAAGTGGCGGTGGGCGGTGGTGGTGATATTGCTTCTCCTGTACTGTTTCTCGGACTACCAGTCTGCGAACAGTATAATATATAACTTTCCTCTGGCACTGATGCAACAAAGTCCTGAGGAACTGAACATTGCTCACGACACCGAAGCTGTTAGTCTTTTGCTTCACGAAGGAACCTAACTAATTCTGCCCGCATGTGCATGTGCGACCGGGGCAGTGCAAATACATTAGCAGAAGAAACACATTGACCTAAGGCATTGCACACACACTGCATGCGGAGAATATTGTAGAGGTACTATGTGCGACTATAGAACTAGTCCCATGGACTCTTGAACTCACAAATGCCATCCATGCACGAATAGATTAATACATGTGCCCGTGAACAGACGACAATGCACGGAGGTCATTGAGCAGACATTCCAACATCTCCTGCGGTTGTTGTTGTTGTTTTGTTGTTTTTGTTGTTGTTGTTGTTGTTGTTGTTGTCATCTAACAATACATGTACATGTGCAAACAAGGTAATGCTGCTGTCTGATGATCGCTAAAATTAGTGGTGTGTGTGTGTGTGTGTGTGTCTGTGTGTGTGTGTGTGTGTGTGTGTGTTGTGTGTGTGTGTACATGTACATGTTTTGTTTTGTTTGTAGTCCTGCTTTTGAGGTATGTTTTTGTTATCGCTGTATTAAAGAGGAAAATCATGGTGTGTACAGCCAGTAGTGTACTGGGAGCTTTCAGACATGTCTGCTTCTCTTGCAACGGACTGTCATAGTATATGGTGTGCATACGTGTGTACATGTGTGTTTGCAGGATGGTTGACGTCGGTGGTCAGAGATCCGAGCGGCGGAAATGGATACATTGCTTCGAGGACTGCACGTCAATCATCTTCGTCACCGCCTGCAGTGAATACGATGAAACAATAATCGACATTGATATTCAAGTAAGTGATGTGTTGTACACAGTCAACCTTACAAATAACTGCCCTTGATTGGGTGTGAGAAAAGTGCGCGAGGTCGAAACAGATCTGAAGATGTCAATCAGCTTGAGAGAGTTGAAATGGGAGGAAAAGAAAGGAGAAAGGTCTACAGTCAGATAGTGTGCTGTTGCCAGTCGTGAGTTATTCACGAAGTTGGCCGTATATTGTGTTATTTCGGAAGAGGTTTTGGCCATCAGTGATTACTGCACGCCCTAGTCGCCAGGGTTTGTTGTGTTGCTGCATTTTGCAAATCTAGCCTTTTCCTTGCTTTGCCATTGCTGGTTTCTTGGTGATGCTGCGATCACTGGCTGTGTCAAAAAATGAGAGAGAACACAGCTAACTATTGGCATCTTTTTTCTTCGTTGTTTGTGTTCTCCGCGCTCTCACGCCCAGGGCCATGAGGTTTCAGGGGTAAGTCCCAGGTTGTCTTTGCAGTTTGATCTTGTAGTGGCTTCGTTTCCCATCATAGTGGCATGCATATCCAGTACTAGCACTGTGGTTTCACCTGGCTGCATTTCTTTTCCGGTGTACTCTCTCTCTCCCTTTCTCTCTCTCTCTCTCTCTCTCTCTCTCTCTCTCTCTCTCTCTCTCTCTCTCTCTCTCTCTCTCTCTCTCTCTCTCTCTCTCTCTCTCTCTCTCTCTCTCTCTCTCTCTCTCTCTCTCTCTCTCTCTCTCTCTCTGCGTGCACTATTTCACACGCCAGTGAGTCAATCCCTGCATCAATTGGTCATATGTAAAATGATGTCGGCCATGTTGCAGTAACGTGGCAAAGAGGTGTGAAACCACTCTATATGCCCTGAGTCAGGATAGTGGCCATAGCCCCCATGTGTGTGTGTGTGTGTGTGTGTGTGTGTGTGTGTGTGTGTGTTTTAATTGTAGGCTGATTGTAATTTCCCTGTTGATTCTCTTGCACTTCAGAACCGTATGGCTGAAAGCCTGGCGCTATTCCAGACAATCATCAGCTACCCGTGGTTCCATAAGTCATCCATCATCCTCTTCATGAACAAGAAAGATTTGCTGGAGGAGAAGGTGGTGACAGTGGATTTCAAGAGCCATTTCCCATCCTACTCTGGTATGCTGGGCACTGGGAATGTGGGAATATGAGATACTCTAATTTCAGAAATTTTCGGTGCTCAATATTTTCGGTATGAGGGCAAAGGGCCAGGTTAGGTGAACAGAAATTTTCGGTACAAAGAAGCAGTTCCCTGTTGGATTCTGTGTGCGAGTGTTTGTTCGGTGTATTGAAAATTTAGGTATGAAACAGATGCACCGAAAGTACCGAACATAAAAGTACACCGAAAATTTGTGAAATTACAGTACTGTAAAACATGTAATTTTCGGTGTATTGAAAATTTCGGTGATTTCGGTAGAGAAACCAGGCACCTAAATTTAAATTACACCTAAAGACACTATTATGTACTGCATGTACAGGGAACGCTGGTCACCTAAGGGCCGGGTTCCACTGCGGCTCCGCTGCTCATCATCCGCGGCTTGAAACGTCATCATTACCATAGTGGCCGCGGCTCACCGCGAGCTTTTGCTACGATTCTTGATCAAAAACTGCGGGCCGCGGTCGCGGCTCGACCTGTTTCCCATACTTTGCATTGTTTTGTACGCAGGAATTTTAAAATTCAGCGCTCCCTGTGAAAAGTGCCCCCCCCCCCCCACTCATTTTTCTGATTTTGCAGTTTTTTCATGCCATTCAACGAAAATGCAGTCGATAGTCGGTACTAGAGGGTTCATAAAGGCACATTTGTCTGGGGTGAAGTCAGGTGTTCGCCCCGTACGTTGCATTTCGCATTGCAAGACAGTTATTTTAAATGGAAAATGGGTTACGGGTAACTGTTTTCCCTGCCCCCCCCCCCCCCCACACACACACACTATTTTGACCAGGCCAGAACCCTGTAGATGTCTGTCCCAACACGAAATTCCCATTCATATCCGTAATACACTTGATTCGCTCGTGTTGGTGGACTAGCAGAAAGTATCATGCTGGTTTTAAAATGTGGGATTTTCCAGACCCATTCCCTGTGATGTTGATTTTCAAGCATTGGAACTTCCGGCCAAATAGCCACAATCATGACAGTTGGACTACTAGAACAGTAGTGAAAACCCGCTTGACCCCTAATATTTATTCCACAGAATTTTTTCTCCAAAGATCACATCTACGCGTCAGCAGAATTTGGAGAGAATGATACACTTTTAAATATGAAAATGTGTGTGTGTGTGCACGCGCGTGTGTGTACCACTACCAAGCTAAAATTAGTGGCGGTCAATTCATCAGCCTTGCAAGCTGTTGAATGGTGTAATCCCAGCACAAGTTGCTATGTCGAACATAGCTGTTCGCTATAATCGCTTCGGCGATGGGCATGTCTGAGTCTGTCTGTGTGTGTGTGTGTCTGTATTCCTTCACGTGAACTTCTTGCTCTGCAGGACCACCGAGGGACTACATACGCATTCGGCAGCACATCCTGGAGATGTTCTCGTCGCTGAATCCGGACCCGTCGCGTGTCATCTACCCACACTTCACGTGTGCCACCGACACGGAGAATATTCGCTTTGTGTTCTCCGCTATCAAGGACACGATCATCATGCTGAGTCTGAAACAGTATAACTTAATGTGATCCAGGTGTGTTCGTTTCGGCCCCGATCGGCCACGCGCATGTGTGTGGCATCCAGATGGCTTCCAGTGTTCACGGAAACATTTGCCATTTGATGGCTGGCCAGTGTCCAGCTCACCTCACCTCCATCGCTGACCCTAGCTTGACGCTGGTGGAGTTTTCCCCGTCCGGTTTCTTTACGCCCATAATACACAGCATTGCATACTGGATCTACGCAGCTTACACGGATCCTGTACATTTTTCTGTCTTCCCCCATTCCCCGCACACATGCAACGCCGGTCGTGAATTGTGATAGTCCGCAACAGGTCGCTGGCGTGCTTCCTGCTACGGATGCGTTGCATGCCTTCTTCCGCGACTTCTAACCTTGGCTTATGCAACGACAACGCGGACTGGGTGATTTCCACTGTATTTGATGACCTGTTCCTACTAGCGCTCGCCAGCGTTGTGTTGCTGGCAGCTGTATAATTATATCTAAACGAGTTATCGTTCCACGGCCCCGGTGGTCAGATGGAACCAGTTTAATTAGACTATCATCCGCACTCGCCCGTGCTTGTACTACTCATTGTTGCTTCTCTTCTTTTCTGCACTTTGCACGGTTTGCCCTAGCTCGTTAACCGCTACCTCTTTTGCTGAACCTCTCTTCTCACCTTTATCCGCGCCTGCATGCACAGTGGCCTACCGACAATCGGAAATGGTAGCGCGCGGTGGAAGGAGTGCGAATGAGTACTCCTGCTTTACGCCGTATTGCCCTATTTGGCCCCGCATCGCCCGGAAATTCATTTTCCTGCAATCTCGTGCTTTCTCATGCTTTCTTTCGATCAATCCCTCCCTCTTCTTTCTGCTGCTGATTTTGAATGGAAAATTCCAGTTTGTATGCGCACATTTGCCAGAGCTTTAACACCACCATCAACAATTTTACCTCGTTCGCCTCAGAGCGCTGTCCTCTGCAAAAATTCTACGCACGCCGCATCTTGAACAAATTGATCCGCACGCACCTCTATCTGCTTCTGCCCGTGCGTGTGGAATTCCGTGTAATGACTCTGGGCGCTTGACAACGACGCTGATTTACCTGACGCATGTCCAGTCTCCCCTCCCCATCCATTTCTTTTATCTTCTTTTTTTCTTTTTTCTTTCTTTTTGTCACTTACCCAGCGTTTGGGACCCTCCGTCCCTAGCACTTATCGATGTCCGTTTCTTACTAGGTTCTTGTGCTGTATTTAGAGCAATAAATAATTTGCAGTGTTAGACAAGTATTCAATGACAAGCAATGGCCGTGTGTGACAGTGTGTGTACATGTATAATCATGTGTGTGTGTGTGTGTGTGTGTGTGTGTGTGTCCTGGGATTTCCGGTGGTGTCGGTCGTTCGGCGGTCCAATACTAGACGATAGCCGATTGAGATATCTTTCCAAGATTCTTGTTGAATCTATCTCCCCTCTCCCAGGCCGGGGAGATAAGACCCGTTTTGGCAGTGAGCAAGTACACAGTGTGTGTGTGTGTCTGTCTGTCTGTCTGTCTGTCTGTCTGTATGTGATTGTGTGCATGGGTTTTATTTGCGCCATATGGTGCAGTGGTATGTGCAGCAATTTCCAAACGAGAGGTTTTGGGTTTTTGGCTATTTTTGGGTTCGATTCCCGACGATTCTGGTCACACACGTCTTTCTCAGACTCCTCCTGACTTTTCTTTTATTCTCCTGGGTGGTTACCAACAGCCAGTGCATGCCGCAGTATGTGGTGCGATGCTGCACCGCTGCTTTGCATGTCATGATTGGAAGCTGTGGCCTTAGTAAAAAAACAAAAAAACAAAAAACAAGTTGCTATGGCTTCTGTCGCAGCATCGCTATCATTGCCTCCGGCGATGGACGTCAAAAGGTCAAAGGTGTGCATGGGTAGGTGCATGTGTGTGTCTGTGTCTTGCTTATGTAACGGTCAACACGTACAGGGAATATGCCACAGAGGTGTTCTAGCGGATCTGCACCTGCAGTATTACATGTATAATAAGGGTCAGAACTGGGGTTAACAGCCATGGATCTACGGTTCGGTTGGTCGGAATACCGGGGCTCTACTAACCGTGGATATAGTTGTAGTTAGGGGCACTGTTTCCGAACACGGTGGTCCTCCGCCTTGTAACAACATGCTGTCTTTCAACCAACAGCCATGTATAGCCCTTGGCGGATTAATACTCGGTAAATTGCTGAATTATGCTTTCCATTATGCCCAGATCACGCCAGTGATATGCCAGCAAATGTGGTACTTATGTGCTACAAGATTATGCTACGTTATGCTGGAATGATGCCAATGATGGTGCTATGCTGCGGTCCAATCTAATGGTATGGTGAACTCAGTACAAACAGCCCTTGGCGGATTATGCTCGGTAAATTGCTGACTTATGCTTTCCATTACGCCCAAATCATGCCAGTGATTATGCCAGTGATTATGCTGGAATTATGCCAATGATGGTGCTATCGTACCCTCGCACTCTTGTTACACATTGCAATGTTATTACTAGGGCTCAAACGGTTAGTCCGATTAACCGGTTGCAGACCGGTTACGAAGAATTAACGGTCAACCGATAAAGATAACGGTTACGCAGTAACGTTTCAGTCAATTTTTCAAGTATCATGTCAGGTCATTGCAAAGTATGCACTTTCGCAGGCTGTCGCACGTGTACGCAATTTCTGGGCTGTCAACTCGGTCATATCTGGTCTCTTGGTGTGAGAGTATGCATGAATGAGCATGCAAGAGAATGTACATGTGTGCGTTGTACTGAATAGGGTACATTTTTCGAATGAGTATAGTCAAATATTATGGTTAAAAAAGAGTCCGCAGGATTGCCGTGGCTTATAGGTTATAACCGTTAAACCGGCCGTTAGCTTAGCAGTTAACCGTTAGGGGTAAAACCGTGACCGTTTGAGCCCTAGTTATTACAACTCTGGCACCATGGCAGCACGGCTTATAAGGGGTAACACTCACCAGGTCACAGTATTTCTTGTTACGTGCTTAGATATGCCTGGAGCATTAATCTTCAGCCAGGATCGTAAGGTTATGCCGACCATCTGGTCTCAGAAGTCCTTTTATGCCAGGGCATAATTATTAGACAAAATCCGAAGAGTATGCCAGAAATTATGCCAGCATAATCCGCCAAGGGCTAGTCATAGTACATGACTTGTACTAGTACAGTAGTACAGTGAAACCTCGTTAAGAAGAACACTGATAAGACAAACTTTCGCATCAATGTGTATTCAAGAAGAACTCCCGTTATTGCGAACAAAAACCGGCGGTCCCTTGGTGTTCGTCCTAAAGAGGTTCGACTGTACATGTAAACGCAAAGACAGAAATAGCAAAACTCGGAGACACTGAAACTGTGAAAGAGACCTGTACCGCTGCCACGGTTACCGTTAGTGACGTCGGGACAGACTTGCGTGCACTTACATGTACCATACCCTCTGCGGATCTGGCCTCTCGTAAAATTAATCCTGATAAGGGTTGGCGCATGGCGGGTTCTTTCTCCTTCTTCTTCATGATCCTGAATCGTCCTTGGCGCAGTCGTCATCACGCTCCCCCGCACGAATCGCACAAGATTGGCCGAGTTTATTATGAGCTACCCGCCTTCACAGAATCACTGATGATGCCGTGACTGACACTACATTGTATACCAGCCCGTGGCTATTCCATGGTTCCTCTTTGAGTAGACGTTTACGACTTGTTCGTATCGCTTCGCCGATGCTGCTACGAAGTGTTACGAGGAACTCGACCGGCTGGGCGAGAGGCTGAGCTATCCTGCATGGCCCACAAAGGCTACATGCACGCGAGTGTGGTCGACGGTCGGTCAGTGTGGCCAATGCACTGCATGCACGGCACCAGTGATAGACAGACTGTCAGTGATTGTGAAGTGTGAGGGGCTTCGCGAATTCGATCGGGACGGCGGTCAGGTCATCCTCAGCTTGGCAGGGTGTCACGCCCTTCAGCCAAGTGCCAATGCCATTCCTGTACTGCTCAAGAATAGATATGGGCATTGCCACGGCCCCATTATTATTGCACTGACTACGAGTATTGCAGTTCCGTTTCTCACTGAAGATCTGAACATTTTAGCTCAACGAGTCGTGCGACACCAACCAGACCAGGCGCGGCTTTACTCCGTGTCACCAAGCCGATTGAATAGAAAATGCAGTCGCACTACGAATCAGTAGGGCACTTGGGTAGGACCAGGAGCCGAGCTCTGAGCGCGCGCTGATCTATTTTGCCGAGGTAGATACGCTACGCCAGGCAGAAAGTATGTTTCTTCCTTGTCAGTAGGTCTGCGGCAGGTACGTACACGAATTATCTCTTGTCGGATTGGTCGATCGTGGAGCACACGACTGTCGCGGTCGGTTGCATGTACACTCACTTCGAAGCCCAGTGTGCGGTCGCCCAGCAAGGGCATAAGTGACACATCGTCAGGTTCACAAGGTCAACAGGTCGTGTCGAGAGCGCGCTGAAAAGTGCTCGCCCAGGGGACAGCAACAGTAGTTACGGCTAGAAAGTAGAATAGATAGCGACAACAAATCCCAGCTAGCCTCTGCCAGGAAAGCGAATATGAGTCGTCGCTATCCTCCACTAATCACACAGGCGGGACAGCAGCTAGCCGCAGCCACGGCCGATCTAGCACCTCCGCAACGGCCAACGTCGCGAATGCTGCAAACGGTGGACGGGGCCGTTCGCGGTCGAACCGTCGAGTTCGAGGTGGACACGGCGTTTCTGGAGAGCGAGGCCAAGCTGAAATTCCACGTGACGGGCCCGAGCAGGACGGAGGTGCACGCCATCCCGCGGCCAGCGGAGAAAACGCACCTGGTGACATTCGTCCCGCAGGACGCCGGGATCTTCTCGCTGCGGGTGACGTACAACGAGGTGGAAGTGGACGGCTCGCCGTTCCACATCAGCGTTGCGGACGACCCGAAATACGTGCCACCAGCGGGAGATGCCAGCAAGTGCGTGGCGTCCGGGCCAGGCTTGAGCAGTTGTGTGGAGAATCAGACGGCATGCTTTGAAGTGGACACCAGCCGAGCAGGTTTCGGCCGGCTGACGGTGAAAATGACTGGTCCGAGTAAAGCGGAGATTGTATCACATCCGCCTCCCATTGACGCCAGCAGCATAGAGGACGTTGGCAAAGGACCGTCTAAGTTTGATTACAAGCCGCTGGAAGCCGGCGAGTACAATCTCTACATCTGCTGGAGCGAACGGCACATACCCGGCTCGCCGTTCAAGGTGAACGTGCGCCGCAATCCGGCCTGCCAGGTCGAGGACAAGGTCGAGCAGTGCCTGGAGGCGGCTAAGAAGGTGCTGGTTCCGCCGTGCGATGGCCTTCGCAACGGCACCTCGCGCCAGTGGCGCTCGTTCCTGGTGGATGCCCGGGCGGCCGGTGACGGAGCGGTGGCCGTGTCCGTGCAGGGGCCGACGCGCTGCGACATTGAGCTTGTCAAGCAGAACGGCGGCGGCAGCAGCAATAATAACAACAGCCTGGCTAATACCAGTGGTCTGGGTGCGGTGGCTACCGATCGCATGTCCGGGTTAATTGAGGTGCGCTATCGGCCGGACAGCACGGGCAAGTTTGTGATGCAAGTCACGTTCAACGATATCCAAGTGCCTGAATCGCCATTCACCATCAACGTGGCCGACTAGTGAAGCTAAAACGACATCTCGGGTGGCAGCGGCCTCTCACCGTCACATTCATTGCCGCAGTTTGATGATCGCCAAGGCTGCATAGCCATACAAAGCTGATGCATTTTCTAGTCGCTGTATAATCAGCCAACGACAATGCCAATATTATAATATGCTGCAGACTGGCGGAGTACAAGGAAGTACGGATAAACTTCTGAAGCAGTTTCTCCAGGTGAAAAACTGTAGCAATTAGTATTGGTAGAACCATGGCCTCAGTGCTATTATGATATCAGTGCTGGGTAGTCCACTGCATTATCAATAACCCTAGATCTGCACATAAAATGGCACGACTTCAACGAGCCCTGGCAAGTCCGTCAGTCCGCTGCACTATCTTTCGCCCTAAATCTGCACAGATGTGCATGGTGCAACTCCAACTAGCCCGGTGGCAAGGTACGTGTTTACGTACCTTACTGTCCCTATTATGGTGCATGTGTATGTGCAATACTGACTTGTCGAATTGAATCCATGTTCAGATAGAAATTCGTCCTATGATACAATCACCACAGCCTTTATAATTATGATTTCAGGAGCAAAACCCCGGATGGAAGCCGTTACAAACCCGATGGCAGTGGGCGCTACTGTATGCGTGCGGAGCTGCACTCAGTCCATGAATGTTGGTTCCGTGCCGGGTGCATGTGCTGTGGTCGCCGCCCGGGGTGAGCATGCGTCTACAGTCCTCGGCGCTGTTGCTACGCCCTGGCATTCAACGGTCATGGTCAAACATGACAATGCCGTTTAATCACTTTTAAAACAGTACAGTGCTGGCATGGCAACTGAAATCCGACCCCTGAGCGGTGCGCCCACATCGCAAGGACCCAATACGGGATGGTAAAACTACGAAACAGGGACCGCTAGAATGTGGACGCACCGCTAAGGGGTCGGATTTCAGTTGCCAGCGCTGTACGTGCCCCGATAAGACTCATTCTTGCTTAGTACGGTCATTTTCGGCGGCACACGTGCATCGATCCATACATGATACTGAAGAGATGTTGGGATAAGAAGTACTGTCTCAGATATACTGCTAAGAGTACACTGTTCGGGGGCGTCGGAAGGTATTTTAGTGTGGTACGGTCAGCCATCTGAAGTACAATTTACTCGTGGGGGAGTGGCGGCTGAGCTGAAATTTTTGGAAATTTAGATCCCAGATCAGTGTATTTTATTGGTTCGCGGGGTACCTGGGGCAAAAAGTGGTACGGTCAATACCGTAGTGACCGTACCGTGTCCGACGCCCCTGCTGTTTTCTGCTGGCCATGGCCATGCGTCGAGTACGTCTTATCATGGTTCCACAGTGCCGCTCAATGAAATCCAGTCGATGCACTCATGGATGTGCCGCGCGTTGCGCAGCCCCTAGACCCGCGGACACTGGGATTCGAAACGGTGCAAGGTGCAAACTTGAGTGCCGCAACTGGATTTCATTGAGCAGGACTCATACTTACATCTACATCATGTCGGAGAGCCTCAGGGTGTCGTATGGCATCTCAGGGTGTCGTATGGCATCTCAGGGTGTCGTCTGGCATCTCGTAAAGATTGTGCACTGCGTACGGGTGTACCAAGAGTACAAAAATCAAACAAGTTGGCAAAGAGGACATTCAGAATTACTACAGAACATGTGGTATTCTGCATACGGACATACTTGCCACGAAATGTTCTATACGTGGGCATATGCCACTGCACTTCCTCCATGGCCACTCCCCCCCCCCCCTCCCCTTCACACACACACACACACACACACACACACAGTGACACACACACACACACACACACGGCTGCCCCTGGTTGCATAATACCAACCTAGCGCATCGTGCTCACTCGTAGTTGCCTCTGGAGTCACAGGAGCGCCGCACACAAGCCTGCGCACACCAATAGGCACTCCACCAAATCCAGCAGTAACCATGGGAACCACACTCATAGTGGATTGGTTTATTCACTACACACGCCGTGATTTATTGCAGGCGGAGAGCTTGAGACGTTTGGTAAAAGGGAAGGACAATGTTTGCTTTGTCCAGAGCAGGCACATGGATCACCGCAGTGGATCATTTCCATCAGGCATTGCACAGTGGAATTGTTTTGCAAGGGTGCGCACGCGGACTACTACGCACGCACAAGAAAGGTGTCGCCTTTGTTTGGACAGCCGTGAGTGGCCGCAAACGGACAATGGTCAGAGCCTGTACAAGTTGTTGCCATGCCGCTAGAAGTGACGGATGCCATGGCCACTCAGTAAGCACACTTTGATCATACTGACAGGGGGCTTTGATCTAAATTCTTGGGGTGATTCATGGTCTCCAATCTGCATAGCACGACCGCTGTAGTGTTCAGGGGACGCCTCACTCAAGTTGGGGGCGCCAATGGAACACTTTGCGACCTTGACAATAGGCTCTCTGACAGCACTGCCAGTGCAGCCGGAGTTCTGGTTAAACTTCTCCTATTCATTTCAGTAGCTCACCTACTACGGCCTGGCGAGAGCACACAGCGTAGCAGAGCCAAGCAGGTTGGACCATTATTTCACTACGATAATTGGTTCCATGGCTTCAGTTGAGACTTAAAACAGACTCCAGAAGGATTTCGGTTTCTGTTGTTCTTGCTCTTGGTGACCTTGCTTGGTCCTCTGCTCTTGCAACGCGCGCAGTTGCAGCAGTTCATCCTCCAGTTCAAGACGTTTGGCGCGCAGCTTCTCGCGCGTCTCCACTGTGCGCTGCAGTTTGGCATTCCAGCTGTCGTACTCGCCGGTGAAGAGCGACACGAAGGCGATGTGCGCCGTTCCGGTCAGGAGCAGAATCACAGCCGCGCCCTTGAACCACAGCAGGCCACGGCTATTGTTTGGCTGGTGCAGCTTCACCATCGCCGTGCCGGGGCGCTCGCTTGCGGTGATTCACTGTACTGTAGGAAGACGCGCAGCACAGCACACACAGCAATGCAAGGCAGTGGACTGCCAGGCTAGGCTACGGGCGCCAGTTGTAGATGCACTCCTGTCCTAATCTCCAATGGCACTCACGCGGCAATTGCACTTCTATCAGCCATCTAGCAATGATTCTCAACCTTGCCTGAAAATTTGAAAGTAATACCGTGACCCTACTTCCAGCACAGATCTCCAGAGTACGAACATATAGCGGTCGCTGAAATCACTGCTATAATTATGCAATAGCCACCGGAACGTGCAGTAGCCACTAGTATGATGTATTTAGTACGATTATCCTGGAACTGGGAAACCTTCTGTCCTCGTCACACTGGCTAGTCAATTACTTTGGGCCAAGACAATATTTTCATGCAAACGGACTGTCGGTCTCCTGATTTCTCCAACTTCGTGCAGCACGGCACTCGGATCCCTGCGTGCTCGCCCTAAGCAGTTAGCAGGTTTACACTACAATTACAAGTAAGTGCTAGAGTACTCGTACTCGTACTTGCCAACTAACTAAATTTACTTGGAACAACAGCGACTATAGCAACAGCGACTAGAGCAAAACTGCCAAAAGCTTGAAATACCAATAATAACAGTGTATTTTTGCGATACATGATTATTATTATTAAATTTTATTATGATTGCACTGACATGATGATGACATGAGTTATGTCATGCATGAGCGTCACGTCACGTGACGTCAGATCATGACGTCATGAGCGTCATGAGCGGGGCGCGGGCCAGGCCAGCGGTAGGCCTTTCCGGATTATGTGTTTGCATATTTTTGCATTTTGGGGGTCAAAATGCATTTTGTCCATTTTGACCCACTTTGGGCCAGGGAGTCGCAAAATACCGGGATTTTTCGACTCCCTGCAAGCGATAGGTACTTCACGATCACCATGAATGATCACCATGGTGCCAAATGTCACGCGACTAGCTGTCGCCATTTTGTTACCATGGCAACGGTGGCATTTTTTGTGCTTTTTGGGTAAATTTTTGCATTTTCTTTAGAAAAAAATTTGATTTATAGGAAACGCCATGGCTTTGCTATGGCGAAGGCGGAGTTTCGGGATGGTTTACATCTCCGCTACAACTGGAGACTACCGCACATGCCGTCTGCGTGCTCTTGTGGGAGCCAGTTCACCATCGCCCATGCCTTGAGCTGTCCAACGGGTGGGTACCCCAGTATTCGCCACAATGAAATTCGAGATGTGACAGCTGGCCTTCTGAAGAGAGTAGCTACCAATGTCTCCGTTGAGCCGCACCTCGAGCCTCTGTCGGGTGAGCAGCTGTCTCTTCGCACTGCCATTCGTGCCGATGCTGCCAGATTGGACGTGGCCGCTAACGGGATATGGGGAGGACGATTTGAACGCACATATATTGATGTCAGGGTTTTCAACCCATTTGCGCCCTCAAATCGCTCCTCCTCCGTCTCCGCAGCCTACACCCGCCATGAGAAGGCAAAGAAGCGTTCGTACGAACAGCGCTTGCGTGATGTAGAGCATGCCTCGTTTGTCCCGGCCGTGTTCTCTACGACTGGCGGCATGAGCAAGTGTGCGTCAGCTCTGTACAAGAGAATTGCTGTGTTGCTTGCAGAGAAGACCGGTGAGTCCTACTCCCTCACCATGGCGTTCATCCGGTGTCGTCTTAGCGTAGCGCTAATACGGGCCAGTGTAATGTGTGTGCGTGGTAGCCGATCCATGTTTTCTGCCCATGCTCCTGTCGCGTCATCTGCAGCTGTGGTCGCTGCGGAGGCATCCATTATGGCTGACTGAATATTGTCATATAGACTGTTTTCACAGCCACACTAGCTCATTTTTACTACTTCGAAGTACTTATTATTTGCCATGGCGACCCCCGTAAGTCCAAATAGCTGGCCGGGCAGGGTTGGGCCTTTTTTCCTTTTTCTTTTTCTTACTCAGCTGGCTTGGCGCATCGACTGTAAAAAGTAAGAAATTTTTATTTATAGGGGTTTTTCAAAACACTTTCCATTTCCATTTTAGACCAAGAAAAAACGCATAATCCGGAAAAGCCTAGCCAGCGGGCCCTTGACTGAGTCTTGACTCTTGACCCCTTGTCGATTTGAGCGTGCTAAAGCAAAAAACAAACCAGGGAGTCGTAAAATATTTTACGACTCCCTGAAACAAATCAAAATTTATTGGGATTCATTGGGGAATATCGAATACGGTTCGGGCCTGATTGGAAATTTTTATTTCCATTGCTATCAGGTTCGGCCTCATTTCCTCTGCGCTGCGCTGATGAGTTCACAAAGAACGAAACAGCATGCTGTCCGCAGATTGAATAATAATATTATCAAGCCTACATGTATGGTAATCAGGTAATGGGGCCGGCGGGGGGTTATCATGGTTATGTACCATGTGTACTCTTGGGGAAAATCAGGGAGTACAACTACAAGTACTGAAGTAGTACAATGATTATTGTACTCACCCTGGGTAAAATACCCGTTTCTCCAAAGCAAAAATGAGCAAAATAGCGGGTTTCAAGTAAAAAAAACTTGAAACCTTGGCACTTAAGTGCCAAGGTTTCAAGTTTTTTTTATTGCGCCACAACATCAGCGCTACGTTACGTAGCTACACTGCAGCAGCTACCGTTACCGTACCGCGATACCGCGTCTACCACCGGTCAGGGTCAGACTTCACCTTGACCATGTATCTGTGTATTGTTGACAGCAGGTGCAGTGCAGTGCCGTAGCCTGGATCGCCGTAGCACTATGACTACGCGATCGATCCTGCATGTACGAAGTGCAGAGTACAGGACATGGTTGCAGCGGACCTGTCCTTTCAAACCATGTTCGTCTGTGCAGTGCAGAAGGCGCAAGAAACGGAAGGGGTTTCTTTCCACCGTGTGATTTCCAGCCATGTACCTGTGGCAAGTGCATCAGCTCGCTTTCTTCGTGGATAACACGGATGAGGCTTGCTATTAGCCCTACCATCAACTCTGGGGTAGCTGTTTACCAGTTACCCGCAGCACTCAGAGTTTCAGCACAAAAATAATAATTTGTTGTGATTTCGCAATTTCTGTAGTGTGGTAGAGGACGAGATCGAGGGTGTCCTGAGTCTGACCTTCAGTGCTTCGATTGCTCGTAACAATGGCATTGACTGGAGTGAAAGGACTGCAGAGATGGTGCCAGATTCAGCTGGAAGGATATCCTGGTGTGGAGATCATCAACATGACGAAGTCGTGGCGTGATGGATTAGCATTCTGCGCCCTTATCCATCGTTACCGACCCGATTTGATGTGAGTACAGTCATGAATGGCAACAGTATACGTACCTTTGCACCCCTTCTACTCCTTTCGTGTCCTTTTCGTCGTGGTAAATGGTAGAACCACTACATGTAGCACGTGTGAAGATGTTTCTGGCGTGCTGTGAAAAGTAATCATGTTGCTGCAAATTTCTCTTAGTGTATTGAGCAGTCGTAGTGTGAAGAGTGTCTCCGTGAGTGTCTGGCCCGGTGTTTGGAGAGCCCGATATGCGCGTGGGGCTACCTGGACAATAGAGATCAAACGGAGAAAGGAAAGAACCTCCTGCAGTCCTGAAGCATGCACATGATTTGTCTTGGAGACGTCACACGACGAAGCGTGTACCATTGTCCACGATGTTCAGGAAATCTAACAAAATCATACCCCCTGCATAATAATAAATCAATAATCATTAGCAACGCAGAGAGAAAATCGACTGTCTTGATCTTATTCTGCAGTGCTGGGTTGTCAGTGAAGTAATTATTTTTTTAGTGCGCCCTCCAGAGTAAAGTAGCACCATGCATCACCCCACCCTAACACCACAAGCACTACACTTCTGTGCACTCAAATGCGCTGCACTGCTTTGTTGGTGGCAGTGTGCCTATTGACATGGTGTACTTCAAGGCCTGGGCTGTTGTCCATTGTCCAGGGAAGGAGAGTTCTTCTCACACAATAGCACCCCCCCCCCCCCCCCCCCCAACCGGGCTGATCTGTAGGAGAAGGTGAGTTTCCTGGTGACCAGGGGGCGATTACATGTCGTAATGGTATTAGCCATGCCAGCCTACATATGACAGGCCCAGGATGTGTTGTATGGTGAACTGATATTATCACACCAAGACTACGAAGCCAGTTGTGAATCTGATGAGGCCTTTCATACCATTACTTTTCAAGTCAGTACAATCATGTTTATTTTTATTTTTTACATGGTGATAATGTGACGATGTACAACAATGTCAATCTATACAGCGTATTGTGCCAAAGAGTACCGAAAACCATATCAAAGACTACGCCAATGGCATGAAAACTGTGCACTCACAATGCAGCACTAGCGTTGATTACGTGGCGAGACTCACTGGCAAGTGAGGAAGAGGTGATGTGATGCCAAACATTTACAAACTAGAACTACTCAATCTGCGGACAGAACTGTTTCGTCCTTTGTGGACTCATCAGCCCAGCACAGAGGAAATGAGGCCGAACCTAATAGCAATGAAAAATAAAATTTCCAAAGCACGATATAAACCAAACTAGAACTAGAAGACTTCACATCAAGTTCACACGGACAGTAACAACTACTGTATTGTTCCGGAGTATAAGCCGCACTTTGAACACTCAAAATTCACCCGAAAAAGAATGGGGGTGCGGCTTAGGGCATGTTCGATTGAGTGGATCCTTTGGATCCACCAAGGTCCAATCAAACGCTGCCCTCCCTTGATCGAATCTGGAATTTTAGTGATTTTGAGGGTTTCCATGAGAGAAACATCGATTTCCGCACTATCGCTTTTATTCCCGCCGATTGTACACGTATCACGTACAGAGTACACAGAAGAACCTTGACTACCGGTCACAGTTTTGTTCACGTACAGAGTACGATTTTTGGGGAAAAAGAATCTGGTGGATCCGGTCAACCCTGCTCCCCGAGGTGGGTTGACTGGATCCAGAACCAAAGGATCCGGATCCGTATTGGACCAATTGAAAGGGTTCGAATCCAGTGGATCCGGTTGATCTGGATCCGGATCCTACCAATCGAACATGCCCTAATACTCTGATGATCAAATTAAACAATGATAATTAGGGTGTAGGGTAGACGTCTGTATTTTGGGGCAAGAATTGGGGGGGGGGGGGGGGTCGCTTATACCCCAGTGCGGCTTATGCTCCGGAAAATACGGCTAATTGTTGAGATTGCATCTTGCCGGACCAACCAGAATGAGGCTGCTACAGCTAACAGGCCTGCACCCAAAGAAAAGTATGAGTACATGTAGCAATATTGGCTGCACATCGCCAAGGGACCACAGGAGACACACATGTTCTCATCACCCTTTCGGATGGAAAGAGTGGACGGCATGCCAAGCAACTTCAGTCTGTGTGTACATATGTGTAGAGAGAGACGGCATGTCTCTACTAGGGCATGCGCACAGCATTACTGATGGAGGTTATGTGGTACAAGTATAACATTTGCACCGCCTGACAAGTCTCAAGTGCCAGCATGTGACTGGTCTGTGTGGCAGGAAAGCACTGGTGTCCAAGGTAACTAGAGAAAGGATCCAGTTCTTCAGTAAACCCGCATATGACTGGTCTGTGTGGCAGGAAAGCACTGGTGTCCGAGGTAACTAGAGAAAGGATCCAGTTCTTCAGTAAACCCGCATATGACAGGTCTGTGTGGCAGGAAAGCACTGGTGTCCGAGGTAACTAGAGAAAGGATCCAGTTCTTCAGTAAACCAGCATAATGACTGGTCTGTGTGGCAGGAAAGCACTGGTGTCCGAGGTAACTAGAGAAAGGATCCAGTTCTTCAGTAAACCCGCATATGACTGGTCTGTGTGGCAGGAAAGCACTGGTGTCCGAGGTAACTAGAGAAAGGATCCAGTTCTTCAGTAAACCCGCATATGACTGGTCTGTGTGGCAGGAAAGCACTGGTGTCCGAGGTAACTAGAGAAAGGATCCAGTTCTTCAGTAAACCCGCATATGACTGGTCTGTGTGGCAGGAAAGCACTGGTGTCCGAGGTAACTAGAGAAAGGATCCAGTTCTTCAGTAAACCCGCATATGACTGGTCTGTGTGGCAGGAAAGCACTGGTGTCCGAGGTAACTAGAGAAAGGATCCAGTTCTTCAGTAAACCAGCATATGACCGGTCTGTGTGGCAAGAAAGCACTGGTGTCCGAAGTAACTAGAGAAAGGATCCAGTTCTTCAGTAACCCCGCATATGACCAGTCTGTGTGGCAAGAAAGCACTGGTGTCCGAAGTAACTAGAGAAAGAATCCAGTTCTTCAGTAACCCCGCATATGACCGGTCTGGGTGGCAAGAAAGCACTGGTGTCCGAAGTAACTAGAGAAAGAATCCAGTTCTTCAGTAACCCCGCATATGATCGGCCTATGTGGCAAGAAAGCACTGGTGTCCGAAATAACTAGAGAAAGGATCCAGCACTTCAGTAAACCCGCACATGACCGGTCTGTGTGACAAGAAAGCACTAGTGTCCGAAGTAACTAGAGAATGGATCCAGTTCTTCAGTAAACCCGGTTTCTTTTGCTTTACCGGAAGTCGAACCAATATGCTATGTATGTAGTGCCACTGACAAAGAATGCGGCATCCGAAATTTATTTTCGTGAGCAAACACCATCCCGGTGGAACCGGCAAGCGATTTTTCTTGCCCGCGTGTAGATCGGAACTGCGGATTGCACTGTTGTCACCGCTCACCCAGGCTCATGGGCAGCTGCTCGCACTTCCTCTTTTTCAGCATACAATACTATAGTGCGTAACATCCATGATTGTACTTGTAGTCCTTTCTGGATAACATCCATGTACAGTTGTGTACACTCGTTATTAATTTTATTACTCAATGCAACAAAACACTGTCTCGGCCGATGGGGCTCCATCAGTGCAACTACGAGCTAGATACAGCTGACATGCCAGCCGTGGCGACAAGAACCACAGACACTAAGGCACGTGTCAGACCCACCTTGGCCTATTTATAACAGTTACACACAAAACAGATTTACTAAATGCTGCTGTCTGATGATCGCTGAAATGCGCGAAACTTCAAGTTACAGCTACACAGCCTTTCGCCTCTGTTGTGTGTGTGTGTGTGTACTGCCCTGTACATTTGTGCATTGAGCAATTTACCTCGAGCTGCCAAGACCGGCTTTGTTTGTGTTTATAACGGTTACACATACAGTAGAGACGCCAAAAGCAGTAACGTGACACCTCTCCTTTGCTTCTTTCTGTTCTGTGCAGTGATTTCCAGTCCTTGAAGAGCAACAATGTCCTACACAACAATCAGCTTGTGAGTTGGCATGGCATGCATGGGGGAATCCAGTCCTGCTCTTTGGTTTCGTAATGTTTGGTTTTGTTTTGTGCTGGGTGGATGCATTCCCCAAACCAGCGCCGAGAACAAATGCACATGTGTTTGACAGACGTCCGTGGATCATGATCCCGTGTTATGGCAAAAAGCCGGTCTTCAGTGTACACTTGATATCTGTGCGCCGTGTAGTTTGGTGTGTAGCAGCTCTGAATGCTGCGATTAGACACTGTGACATCATCATTACGTCATAGTCAACCCTATACCCTCTAACAGCTGCTTTATTTGGTATGTGTTCGATGTACACTTTATATCTGTGTGCTGTGTAGTTTAGTGTGTAGCAGCTCAGAATGCTGTGATGACTGATAAGACACTATGACATCATAGCCAACCCTCTAACAGCCGCTTTATTGGGTCTGCATGCGATGTACACTTGATATCCGTGTACTTTGAAGCGCCGTATAGTTTAGCGTGGCAACTCCGAAGGCTGTGACGAGACAGTGCGACATCATCATTACGTCGTCGTCGACCCCATTCCCTCTAACAGCTGATGCGTTACGCCCGGCAGTGATCATCTACCTGTGCATTTACCTGACTGTGTGTTTTTTGTTAGGCATTTGATGTTGCTGATCGTGAGCTCGGCATTGCACCGTTGTTGGACGCTGAAGACATGGTTGCCCTGGCCGTTCCGGATCGCTTGAGCATCTGCACCTACGTGTCACAGTACTATAATGTTTTTAATGGTGAGTTGTTTGTGGTACTGCTGACTTGCCTCTGTGCATGCATGCATGCGTGTATCCACGTGTAAATTATACGGAGCTCTGTGAGCATGCTCTGCGGCCATATATTGAACCCTCTGTGTGCAAGGGAGAAATTTGTCTATGGCCAACTACTCAATCTGCGGACAGAACTGGTTCGTCCTTTGTGGACTCATCAGCGCAGCACAGAGAAAATGAGGCCGAACCTGATAGCAATGAAAAGTAAAATTTCCAAAGTCAGATTTAAACCAGGCCCGAACGTACCTATGGCTATCTATGGCTAATTTTGGATTACATACACGTTATTGGTGGTCCACTGCCCGAAGATTGCTCTACGGCCCAGAGACAGAGCTTTGAGCTCTGCCACGCAGCAAAGAGAGGAAAACCTTCGCTGCAGCGTTGGGTTTCACATGTGCACAATCACCAGGCGATAACGTGAAACTTGGAGTTGCGATCGAATTTTCCCTTCTCCATGCGATGTGATTACAAAGAAACACATGCTATCATTAGAGAGGTTCTGCAAAACGAAAATCCGACCGAAGTTTCGCGGCGGTCGTTGCGAAAGTGTGTACGGATTTTCGCACGAACTTTGTGTTCTGCACATTTTCGTAGTTTGCACCCGCCAATTGCACGTACGCCACAACCCCATCTCACGAAACTTCCTACGAAAGTTCATTTCACGTTCCCTGCAAGTTTCGCGTCCAAAGTTGCGAAAGTTCGTGCGAAGTTTCGCACTTCATGACGTAGAGCGAAAGTTTGTACACATTTTTGTTTAGCAGAACCTCTCTACTATACCAAGTGTCTATAGCATTGAATATGGCTGCACTGGTATGCTCACTGCTGAAACTAAACAACATAACTCTTGCCCAACAGTCTAGCCTGATCCTTTTTTTCACCATGTCCCCATCTCCTTCTCTGTGCAGGTTTAAAGCCACTTGGTGGAATGGGTGGCGTCAGGGTCACCGAAGGTGCTGCGGCTGAGCCGTCAGCCAAGCGTCCAGCACAGAGCGGCGTAGCAGGTAAGATCTCTGCACCGGTCTGCAGCGCTTTCCTGCAGGAAAGGCGTGCGGGTTCTTGCTTTACCTGCGGTGTGTCGCGTGCATGTATGTAGCGTGTGCTGGCTCACACACTGGCTTCGGGTATACGGGCCCACTCAGAACTAAACTAGTGGTCAATGCTGTCTCATTCAGATCTGCCGCAGCGTTTTCCTGCAGGAAAGGCGTACTGATTCTTGCTTTGCCTGTGGTGTGTCACGTACATGATATGTACATGTAGTAGCGTTGCCTTTGTACCCTGTGATTTCGTTTACACATGTGTGCTGGCTCATGCCCTGGCTGCGGGTACTGTAATTTCAAAATTTTAGGTGCTCAATATTTTCGGTATGAGGGCAAAAGGCCAGGTTAGGCGAACAGAAATTTTAGGTACAGAGAAGCAGGTTCCTATTGGATTATGTGTGTTAGCGTTTGTTCAATTTCTTGAAATTTAGGCATAAAACAGATGCACCGAAGTACCGAAAATAAAAGTACACAGAAAATTTGTGAAATTACTTTATGTAGGCCTGGGCTCAGAACAATAATAGTGGTCAATGCTGTCTCATGATCACCCAGTGCGTGACACTTTCGGTCACAGCAAACCGTCTCCTGTATTCATAAGGCTTGTGATATTCCAAGGCAAAACTACTTTCCCGTGCATTGGTTCTTGAGCAGACGCTTGCGCCATTATGGTTAAGTGGTTAAGAGTGCAGCAGAGGTGCTGGTACCACTCGAAATGTACCACTCGAAATGTAGTGAAGGGCAGGTATGACATTGTGTGGACTAGTTGTATCGTTGCTTTTCCATTGTTCGGTGGGAGAAAATATTAAAAGCTGTTTGTTCAAGCTGCTGTTTAGTTAGTTCTACATTGATTGTTGTGTTTTCTCTCAACATGCACGTGCACTTTTCTTGTTTTTGGTGCTCAGATCGCAGCACTGGCGCATCGGCTAGTGCGCCGAAAGCTTCTGCTGCTGGGTCGAAGGGCGCTGCGGCGCCGAAATCTGCTGCCGGGGCGAAGGCCGCTGCGGCACCTACAAAGTCCAGTTCAGGAGGAGCACCGTCGCGTCCGAGTGCGCCTACTGGTAGTGCGGGCACATCGGCGGCGGCGGCCTCGGGATCGTCTTCGCCGGCCACGAGCAAGTCATCGGTACCCAAGTCTGCACCGCCGTCGGAGGGCAAATCGGCGAGCGAAGGTAAGAAGGGCACTCCTACGGCAGGACGTGCCACGAACGGACCCCCGTCATCTACTGTCGTGTCTATGTTTGGAGACTCGTCGGAAAAGCCAACTTCGTCTTCGGCCAGCACCGTGACCAAACGCACTGACGTGAGTTGTGGGTTATTTCAAAGTTTGAGTTGATGTTTACCGGCTGAAAGTGCACTGTGCTGCACGGCACAGCTTTGGTTGTGCGCCTAGATTATAATACAGTAAAACCTGTCTAGGCGACCACTCGGATAAGGCGACCACCTGTCCCAGGCGACCACTGCAGCCAGGACCAAGGGACGCTATTATTTCCAGTCAAATGGCACTGGATAAGGAGACCACCTGGTTACAGAGACCATACTTTGAAGGTCTCGTGAGCGGTCGTCTTAGACAGGTTTCACTGTAGATGATGCTAACATGCTAAGATTGAGTGGCTAGTGAGCGTGTCAACTATGCTTGTACTAGATTTACAGCACTGGTGCCAGTACATGTACTTCCCCAAGCTACCATCGCTGATCAGTCCAGGGGCGCCGGAAGGTATTCGACATTGGTACGGCTGCATGAGTAGGTGGGGTCCGGGGTCCCTTCCCCCGGAGAATTTTAGGAAAATTGGGCCCAAATAGCCCGTATTTCATTGCTTCAAAAGTCACAAGATGGAATTATTGGTACGGCTTTGGCCGGACCTGCCGCACAGGTTCCGACGCCCCTGCAGTCGTTTCAGCTTTGAATGCCGATGCTCTTGCTGGCGATGTTCTCATGTTCAGGCCCCCTGGTTAGCTGTCAGATTTTGTGTTGGTTTTTTTTCCTGTCACACTAGGCTGCCGCATGTGCGCAGTATTCTACCTTTCTTCCTCCACGTATACATGTACTGGCAGACACAGACCGGAATAGCAACAGCACCCACGTATACATGTTACTGGCAGACACAGACTGGAATAGCAACAGCACCCAAGCTGGCCGGCAGCCAGATGTGACCGGCCCTGGTTAGTTATCCGATTTTGTGTTCATTTCTTTCTTGTCACACCAGGCTGCCGCACATTTGCGCAACATCCTACCTAGCTCCGCTTCTGCCGCCTCTCGGGCTCAGTCGGGGAAGCCTGCTGCAGAGCAAGCGCCTGCGAAGCCACCTGCGGAGACAAAGTCCTCAGCGTCATCGTCGTCGTCGTCTTCCAAGACAGGTGAGCGACGAGGTGGTCTACTTGGCCGTGCCCGCCAATCTGGCTGCGTCATACTGTAGCTACGCGTGCCTGTGTGTGTGTCTGTGTGTGTCTGCGGGCATGTGTGTGCTCGACATGTGTGGGTGTCATGGTTACCATTTGTGTTGTTTATCCTTCTAAGTCTGCCATGTGGTTTTGTGATGCTGCTATATCAGTATATGTCTAATGTGGCACCCTTGTCCCTGTTGGTGTGAGTGCCTTTGTTGTCCAGTCCCCTGGTACGTGTATTGTCCATTGTGGCCGTCTCTGTGAATTGCATCACAGCCTGGGGGGCTCTGCGTTTTGTATGAGCTGTGTTCATTTGTTCTTGGCACTGCTGCGTTATCTACGACAATGAGTGAATGTGATGTGTGGCTGATACATGAACGCTGCATGGTTGGGACGCTCTGCCCTACACTTGTCGTCGAACGGTCAGTCGGTTAATCCGGTGTTCACCGACGGCTACAATGCAATGGTCACTCGTGCCACGTCCACTGATACGTTCGAATCCCCAGCTGTACTGTACGATGCCTGTCCATGTCCTGGCCACTGCCACTTTCACTAAGCGCCGCTCAAATCCATTGCCATCTGACCTGCACATCTTCACGATGTCTCGCATCCATTGGTGCTGATCACCTGTCGCAATAATACCGATATTGAACTAACAAATCTGCCCAAGAAAGGCAATTAAACTATGTTATTATCAACTCCTTCGAAAAGGCTTCTCAAAAACTTCTATGTATCACGCTTTCCTGGCGCGCGGTAATTATTTTTAAATCTAAACTAATCCCTATGACCTGTGATTGGTGCAATTTGCACTCTTGCATCTCTCTGCTGTTGTGGAGTGTGCCAAACGCTCATAATTAGTGCAAAGCTAAATTTCCTACTTTGACTTGACAATTATTTGCTAACCATGACCCTTTACATAGCTCTCTAGATGAGTAGCTAGCTGTGAACATTGATTGTCCATTGTATGGGAATGTGTTCCTGTTCTGGTGTTTCCTGGTGGTGTTCCTGGGTGCTAAAGGAGTTGATGAATGCTTTGTGGGCAGTCTTCAGCCTTAGTGCTGCCTACACCCAAAGAGTTGGTCAAGCCTGGGGCCCCTGCTGGTGTCCTCTGTCCATGTGAACTACTTCCTGGTGATAGCTGAAGTAGCCTGGTCAGGCTAGCTAGCTAGCTCCCCAGACTGCCAGAGGCCTAGAGCTGGGTACACATTAACTGCAGTGTTACTGAACCCACTGTAACACAGCATGATGTTACTGAAACTGTTAGGTTGAGTGTTCAGACTCCCATACACTGGCCCTAACTAGCCTAAGTGCCTGGACTAAGTGGTGGCACTCCAGCCTCTGACAGCTAAGACATGTGGGCCCTAATGCATGCTGTGCTATGCAGCACTGGTTGCCCTACCCTGGCCCTGTTGTCATTATGACATGCTTACTTAGCAAGCCAGCTACTGCTTGATTGCCACCAATCATTTTGTTGGTGACGTCCTGCAACTATCAGTGTCAGTATGGGTGCTAGTACTAGTACTAGTAGTACAGGCTGCACAGTCACTATGCACACTGGATGCAGTCAACTGACTTCAGTTCAGGGGGATTTTATGGCATCTGCTGGTGGTTCTGGGCCCTTTCAGTGCAGCTGACCATGAAATGACTGAAGTAACCCAGTTTGTCATAGCTGTCATTGCATGGCTTCCACTGGCTGGCATGAACCCACCTTGCTGATCCACTTTCATGAACAAACCAACCAAAGATCTGATCTGCTGAGCACATACACATGCACTGGTGCAGACTCTCTCAATCACTTCCTTCCACACCAATGATTATGTACTTCAAAATAGCCAGGTCACCTCTGATTGGATGTAGCCTGGCAGCCAGTCTTGTGATCATGTGGGGTTCCTTGTCTACTTGACATTGCTGAGGTGTTGTCTCTGTAAATCTTTCTATTGCCATGCCAATTGTGTATTGTGTTTGTTTTGTGTGTTCAGTAAATCCTCCTATTTGCCTTGTCACTGCAAACCTGACTTTAAATCTCTAAGGCTGACTCTCTAACCATCAATCTTTCTTCAATATGTGTATTGTGCTGTGTTGTCTGTAGTTATATTGTTTATGCATCAGATTACTTGTGTGTGTGTGTGTGTGTGTGTGTGAGTGAGTGAGTGAGTGAGTGAGTGAGTGAGTGAACATTGCTTCATTTCCCTGGTTGTTACCAGGCCTGGCAAGATGTGCAGCTCATTTTGTTCTTGAAAGCTGTATTCAGCTTGCACACCGTCACTGATAAATCTGGTTTTAATCGGTATTGAATTGCCGTCCGACATTGCCAGAGCATGTGTACGGCAGTCTGTTGTCATGATCTTCCAAGGAAGCGATTCGTGATGAATTTGTTTGAGTTGCAACTACCAGACGTCTGTGTATGTATTATAGTACCTTGCTTGCTCCTGGTTTGTGGAGTTGTCTTTGTGTTCTCTTGTATGTGTATTGTTATGTGTATCTGAAAATCATTGCAGATGTGGTGATGATGGGCGTATTGCAGCTGTGTCTGTTTCATCAGGGCCTTTCCCAGCATGTTCTCTCTCTCTCTCTCTCTCTCTCTTCTCTCTCTCTCTCTCTCTCTCTCTCTCTCTCTCTCTCTCTCTCTCTCTCTCTCTCACACACACACACACACTCTCTCTCTCTCTCTCTCCTCACTCCCCACCACCACACACACATTTCCTCTTTCTCTCACTGCTTCTCTGTTCGTGAAATTCCTTCTAGAAGTCCTGACCTTGCTTTGGTCTTCTAGTCAGTGGTCTGTCGGGGAAAATTCTCCCCTCCATGCATCGCATAGATGCATGTGCACGTTTTCTCACTCACTCTGTGTGTGCTGTTGACTCTTTGTCTGCTGGTTTGCAAGCAACACAGTTCATGGCTCTGCCTGTGCATGCATTGTATTTTAGTGCCGGAACGTGTTTCTTTGCTCATCGCCGTGTTATCAGCTTGCTGGATGATTCTGCGGTGTGGATGGCAGATGTCTGTGCGTGCGTGTTTCTTATCCTGTGTCGGAATTTTTGAGATAATCGCATTGCACTTCGAGGAAATGTTCGTGTTTCTGCTCATGTGCACAAGCACGTGTTTACCCTGGGCAGCTGGTTGTCTGAGGTGCACAGTCCACCGCCTGTCAGCTGTCGTGTACGACCTGTCCAGGTGTCAGTCAACATTTGGTGTCCAGTCCAATCTTGACTAGTTGCGCTGTCAGCTTGCTTTCGTGCCCGTGTTTTGTCCACGTTGCGCGTGTTCGTTGTCGTGTTGTTGCTGGTCGGCTGGTATCGGCAGTGCATCGTTTGTGTCAGTGAAATTCTGCTTGGAATGCACTGGTTGGACATGTGCTAGGGGTTTCTGCTGTGTTAGCGTCATCTCCACTCGTGGTGTCGGTATGCTGAAGGGTTGACTGTACTCTCTCTCTGTGTGTGTGTGTGTGTTGTTTACATTGCCTTAAAAGGTATTACATTTTCCTGGTATGCTTGTGTTTTGGAGCACGCCATTGTTCTGTTCAGACCTAGTCTGCATTGTCGGGGGCGTCGGACACGGTACGGTCACTACGGTATTGACCGTACCACGTTTTGCCCCAGGTACCCCGTGAATCAATAAAAATGCACTGATCATGGGCTCTAATTTTCCTAATTTTTCGGCTCAACCACCCCTCCCCCACGAGTAAATTGTACTTCAGGTGGTTGACCGTACCACACTAAATTGTCTTCCGACGCCCCTGATTGTCTTGTACTTGTATGGTATGTCCGGTTTGTGTTGTATTGTCTGCTGCACCCTGTAGTATAGGTTTGTGTCTGGGGTTTGCTGTGTATCGATTACGGACTTGCATGTTGTGGACTTTCATCAGTTACCGTGTTGGGTTGTGTGTGTGTGTGTGCGCGTGCGTGTGTGTGCGTGCCTTTCGTGCATCTCTGCTGTGTTTGCTTTGGCGATGGGCAGAAATCACCCTTGCTTGAGGTTGATGGCTGGCTGCTAGTCTGTCGGGGATGATTTTCTGAAATTGCCAAGGAGCGGATCAACGATACAGTCATGATGATAATCCTAATCAAGCAAAACTTTTCTGACTGTTGTGTTTCCTAACTTGTGCCTATTGTATTCGCTCCGTGTGTTCTTGTGTTCTAGAGCAAGCCACCTCGGAGTCACGTCATGAGCAGGCTGCACCGTCGTCAGCACCAGCGCGGCCCGTTGCTGCTCCTCGTCGCAGTAATACACAGCTGCAGACAGTCGACCCTGTGCAATCACCGACAGCGGACGCACCACAGGTGAGCGGAAAGACAACTGGATTTGTCATTTTGTTCTTTGGTATAGTTTTGCTTTTGCGTTCTCTCTTTCTTATCCAAATTTTGCGAACGTTCTCTACTATCATATGTACTGTGTACGAAGTAGTGAAAATAGATCTCCATCAGCCATTCTGCACCCCCATTGTCATGTCTGGTCATTATAAGACGTCCCATTATACACCTGCTTCTGTACATGTAATTGAAAGCTTCAATCATGCCGGGTGTTGGGGGGGGGGGGGGGGGTTGCAGGGGTGCAGTTCTGTATGGTGATTACACTGATGTGTACTAGTTCCCATCCCTAGTGTCTTTGACGCAGATTTCCAACGGATGCATTCTCCTGGTTGTAGCCTGTCAGGGAAATGGATGTATTGCTGTGCACATAGCGACCACAGCTGCCCACACCGCTCCATCATCATTGTAATCCTCTCATAGCGGGGCCACTGTGGCTATACTGTGAGCACCCGGCCATGTCCAATTTTGCTGTGTTTTTATTTTTATTTATTTTTACTCCTATTTTACTAGGGAATTCCCAACAGGCGTCATCGCCTTTTTTACAGGGAACCCTAATGTGTGCAAAGCTTTTTGTTTCCTCATTCAGTGACTGCCCCTCTTCGTGCATCTTACAGGATTCTGCACCGGGCTCGGAAAAAGACAGTGCTCCCAAAACCACCGCGAAGGAGTCTGATTCGGGAACGACAACTGTGACCGTGCGTGAGAAGTCAGCGCCCTCTCCTGCAGATGTCCGGGCCAGTAATGGCGGGGCTAAATTGGTATGTCAGTTTGCTGTTGGCGTTTAATTTTTAATTTGTCCATGCTTGACGATTCTCGTCATTTTTCTACTGTCGATAGTGGCAACAGCGCAGTCTCGATAAATGTAGCTTACTGTATACGCAGAAATATTTGCCCAGCGTTTTAATACACTCTTATGGTCCATGGGCTAAGTTTTCAACCGGACACAATCCCTCTCTTTGGAGTTGGACGATTATTTCACTGACTAAATGTTCTGCGTGTACAGTAACTGTAAAACATGTTTTTTTTTATGTATTAAACTTTAATTTCGGTGATTTCGTAAAACCAGGCACCTAAATTTAAATTCCACCTAAAAGCCTCTAGAGTGCACTGTATGTGATGGGAAAACTGGCCATCTAATTCTACATTACACCTGAAACCTATCAGGTCCCTGGCACCGAAATTTAATACGCCTAAAATTACATGTTTTACAGTATCTAGTAGGATTACATCTACGGACTTCAGTAGGAGTGCTGAGTAACTTTCCTACTGCAAACTGTAGCTTCTCGTCGTTCTTTCTTAACTTAGAGTGTGGTCTTGTTTGTGTACCGGTATGCCTTTTCTTGCTCCCTCGGCTGCAGGCTCGTCGAACATCGCTGACAGGGCCGGCGTGCCATCTCTGCAGCTTGCCGGTCGGATTGATGGACCGTATCACCATCGAAGGCATCGTCATGCACCGCCAGTGCTTCGTCTGCTCGCAGTGCAGTTGCCAGCTGCGAGAGCAGGGCTACCATATCTTCAGCGAGCTCTTCTTCTGCGAGCGAGACTATCGCTTAGAGGTGCGTATGCGAACAGCCGACCAGACATGCGCTATACCTGCTGTCAAACCCTGGCTTCGCCAAACATACTACATGTAAATCACATAGTGATGTCATTCGGATTTTGGCAACGCTCCGGAAGCAGTCTATTTTGCACTCTGACATGGTGGCTAAGCAATGTGCATGTGTGTGTGTGTGTGTGTGTGTGTGTGTGCTGTTTGTCACTGTGTGTGTGCGTGTATGTGTGGGTGGATGGGTGGGTGGATGGGTGTGTAGACATTGCCATGCCCTGTGCATCTTTTGGCTACAACAGTGTTATTTTCATGTCATCATTCTGTTCTCTGCTCGTGTTGTTTTCTGTACTGTGTTCAGGTGCGAGGCACCAGAGCACCAACTCTTCGCCGTAATATCAAACTGGAGCCCGCTGAAGAGACACCAGTGGCTGTAGCATCCACCATGTATGCCGCGGTCGTACCCAAATCCAAGAGAGCTGAGACCGATGTAAATCGCGCACCCGATCCGGCTCCTGTTGACCCCGTGGAAGCTGCCCTCGATGATGCGTACGGAGTCCTTTCCTCGTTTCAAGAAAAAGGCAAAAAGAAGCAGGGCGCGAAACCAGGCACAGCTGCTCCTGCCAAGAACTCCCCGAAAGCGCGCTCAAGCTTTTTCACAGGAGCCCAGGCTTCGTCGGACACGCCCGCATCTACCCAGGCCGATCCTGCACCGACGGCCAAGCAACCGGCGAAGCCCGAGCCGCCGAAACCGGCCACTCGCAAGTCAATGTTTTACAGCCAGCCCGCCGATGAGAGCCCCGAGCCTGCTGCTGTGCAGGCGACCAGCGCTGCTAGCAATACTAGTGGTACAACGACAACAACTGCTAGTGAAACTGGCACCACCAGTACTAGCAATACCAGTAGTACAGCAGCAGCAGCCTTAACAACAACAGTGGCCAATGCTACTAGCTGCACGACTATAACGCCCACCACCAGCGCAACCAGCGTGTCGTCGCAGGCGCCCGGGGGAGGCAAGAAGACCACTCCCAAGCGCTCCGCACCGGTGCGCCCGACCCAGCCGATCGGCCGCGTACCCACCTCTCCGCCATCGGAGAGCCGCGCCAAGCGCACTGCCCCACCACCGCCAGTGTCACCACCGGTATCCCCACCCAAGCGTCCGGTGTCACCGCCAGCCATGAAGCAACCCGCAAGCAAAACATCAGTAGCTAGCCGATCATCGGCACAGTACGCCAAAGGCAAAGCGCCGCCCGTGCCCAAACCATTGCCGCCGTCCGACCAGCGTAGGAAGCGCAAGGCGCCCACCATACCGAAAGGAGCGCGCAAGTGGATCCAGGGTGGACGCGTGCTCGTGGACGACCGCCTTACGCTGCCCCAGGTCGAAGAGAGGCTCACCACCCTCGACAATCAGCAGAAGTCGTTGGAAACGGAAGGTCTCAATTTGGAGAACAAACTCCGAGATGGTGAGTGTGCCCTTTGACTGTGATGATGATGCATTGAGGGGAATGCCCGTGCAGACGTTTTTGGTTGCGAGCGTTCGTGTGTCATTCGAACAGTGCATGCATTGTGTCCACGTGGGACATGTTGCAAAATTCTGGCTTTGCGACCAATGTTCGACTGTTTTTTCACTAGACTGATGTGCAGTGTGTGTGTGTGTGTGTGTGTGAAACTACAGTCCCTTTCAAAACTA